GGTGGGGCCATTTCTGCATAGATGCAGGTGTCCTTGGCTGAGAGAAGGAGATGAAGCCTCACAGTGCATGAGGTCACCCAGGACTAGTATGCTGGGTGTGCATGACCTCGAGGGGCTGGCAAGCCAGGGAGCCGTGGAAGAGGTGGATGCTTTGCTGAGTCTCCAGAGTCAGCTGGATGAGACTTCCAAGGGACCCTGGAGAGAAAAGGCTGCTTGTCCTGCCGGGTGGAGCTGACAAGAGAAGCACCAAGGTTCAGAAGCCAGGGAGGAAGGTGGAGAGGAGGCCACCAGATGTGGAGACTTACAGAGTAGGGTGAGGCCGAGGAGGTTCTCAGAGTGTAGCTACAAGAAGTCCTATGAGGAATCCTGGGCAAGCTAGATGGAAGCAGATTTAGGGACTTCCCTGATGGTCCAGTGGCTAAGACTCCATCCATGCTCCCAATGCAGTGAACCCAGGTTCAATCCCTGGTCAGGGAACTAGATGCTACATGCTGCAATGAAGAGTTTGCATGCGGCAACTGAAGGTCCTGTATGCCACAACTAAGACCTGATGCAGCCAAATAAATAAATAATTTTTAAAATCTTTTAAAAATTCAGACTTAGAGAGGAAGGTGGGAGGCAGCTCTCAGGGGACTGAGGAACGAGACGAAAGGAAAGGAAGGGGATTCAGGAGGCCGATTTTTCACAGAAGGCAGGCTGTGAAGGGGGCAAGCAGTATGGTGCCAGGATGTGGAGTCGAGGCAGTGTATTTTGATTTTGTTTTAAGGTTGTAGAAACTTGGCTTATTTAAATGTTGATGGGAAGGAACGAATAGGGTGGGAGTGTAGGCGAGCTGGAAAAGATGGTGTCTGAGGATGCAGAGGGAAGCTGGATTGGAAGGACTTGGCCTTGGATGCAAGGAGGGCCTCTTCTGTAGTAAACGGAAGAAACTGTAAGTATGGGGCAGTTACGTTTATAAGTTTTAGAGCAGGGAGCATGTGGAGTTCTCCCCTGGTGGCTTTCATATTTCTTTGAGGGAGGAGGTGGGGCTTTCTGTGGACAGTGAGAGGAGCAGACCAGGTTTGAGAAAGCAGAGGATTTGCAAACAGTCCCTGTGAGAACAGGAGGGACAGCAGATTGGGGAAACCCCAGGGGTACAGCCTGAGAGGCCAGCTGGGACCAGAGGCCTTGAACGTGCAGCCTGCTAATCTGTGTGGTTGTGTGATCTTCTCCAGCTTTGCTTGGCCACCTTCACATGGGCTCAACAGAGAAGAGAGTAGACAGAGCCAGGGATGGGGTTTGGTCAGGTGGCTTAGACTAAAGAAGGAGGCGAAAGACTGAGAACTGGTGAGAGAGCAGCGGAAGTAGGCAGGGTCCTTGGAGGAGGGAATGGAGGTGGAAGGGGACAAACAGGCAAGAAGAAAGGCCAGGGGTCAGTGACCTGAATGTCCCCATGGGATCAAAGGTTGACTAGGAGGACTTGAGCACAGGTACTGGGATGGGCAAAGAAGCTGAGCTGGGGAGGGACCATCTCAGAGACTGACCTTAAAAGGTGGCGGGACTGAGTTCCAGGGCACAGCCACTGAGTGGGGAGGAGAAGGTCACTGGGTGTGAGGTGGCAAAGGACACTTAGGACAAGGGCCACAGACACAATTTAAAAATTTTTGGCATAACTTTTAATAAAGGAGAAAGAAACAAGTTAAATGAATTTTAATTTTCAACCCAGTATTCCCCAGATATTACCTTGGCAATATGTAATCAATGTAAAGAATTGTTCACAGAGAGTTTTCTATTCTCTTTTTCATGCAACATTCTCTTTGCCTTTCATCTTTATGTCTCTTTCTCTATTTTCTGAGGGATCTCTGTCAAATTTATCTTGTATCTTTCTTTTGACTTAAAATTTTTCTGCTTTATTTTTAACTTCCAAGAGCTCTCTTCGTGTCCCTTTTATAGCATCTTGTTTCTGTCTCACGGATGCTCTTTGTTTCTTATCTCTCTCTCTGAGGATGCTCGCTGTGGTTCTGCTTGTTTTTTCTTTCGGGGGTGGGCCACCTTTCTGCATCTCTGTCCCTTCTCCTTCCCTCTCGGTTGCTTTTTTCTGTTTAAGGAAAGATAGACCCATTTGAATTCAGAGTGTCAAAGAATAGCAGGGAGAGATAAGAAAGCCTTCCTCAGTGATCAGTGCAAAGAAATAGAGAAAAATAATAGAATAGGAAAGACTAGAGATATCTTCAAGAAAATTAGAAATACCAAGGGAACATTCCATGCAAAGATGGGCACAATAAAGGACAGAAATGGTGTGGACCTACCAGAAGCAGAAGATATTAAAAAGAGGTGGCAAGAATACACAGAAGGATCTTCATGACCCAGATAACCATGATGGTTTGATCACTCACCTAGAGCCAGAATCCTGGAATGTGAAGTCAAGTGGGTCTTAGGAAGCATCACTACGAACAAAACTAGTGGAGGTGATAGAATTCCAGCTGAGCTATTTCAAATCCTAAAAGATGACGCTGTTAAAGTGCTGCACTCAATATGCCAGCAAATTTGGAAAACTCAGCAATGGCCACAGGACTGGAAAAGGTCAGTTTTCATTCTAATCCCAAAGAAAGGCAATGCCAAAGAATGCTCAAACTACCGCACCGTTGCACTCATCTCACACGCTAGTAAAATAATGCTCAAAATTCTCCAAGCCAGGCTTCAACAGTACATGAACCGTGAACTTCCAGATATTCAAGCTAGATTTAGAAAAGGCAGAGGAACCAGAGATCAAATTGCCAACATCCACTGGATCATCGAAAAAGCAAGAGAGTTCCAGAAAAACATCTATTTCTGCTTTATTGACTATGCCAAAGCCTTTGACTGTGTGGATCACAACAAACTGTGGAAAATTCTTAAAGAGTTGGGAATACCACCTGACCTGCCTCTTGAGAAACCTGTATGCAGGTCAGGAGGCAGCAGTTAGAACTGTACATGGAACAACAGACTGGTTCCAAATAGGAAAAGGAGTACGTCAAGGCTGTATATTTTCACTCTGCTTATTTAGCTTATATGCAGAGTACATCATGAGAAGCGCTGGGTTGGATGAAGCACAAAGCTGGAATCAAAATTGCCGGGAGAAATACCAATAACTTCAAACATGCAGATGACACCACCCTTATGGCAGAAAGCGAAGAGAGAACTAAAGAGCCTCTTGATGAAAGTGAAAGAGGAGAGTGAAAAAGTTGGGTTTAAACTCAACATTCAGAAAACTAAGATCATGGCATCTGGTCCCATCATTTCATGACAAATAGATGGGGAAACAATGGAAACAGTGACAGACTTTATTTTTGGGGGCTCCAAAATGGTGAGCCCCCAAAATGGTGACTGTAGCCATGAAATTAAAAGACTCTTACTCCTTGGAAGGAAAGTTATGACCAACCTAGACAGCTTCTTAAAAAGCAGAGGCATTACTTTGCCAGCAAAGGTCCATCTAGTCAAGGCTATGTTTTTCCAGTAGTCATGTATGGATGTGAGGGTTGGACTATAAAGAAAGCTGAGCGCAGAAGAATTGATGCTTTTGAACTGTGGTGTTAGAGAAGACTCTTGAGAGTACCTTGGACTGCAAGGAGAACCAACCAGTCCGTCCTAAAGGAGATCAGCCCTGAGTTTTCATTGGCAGGACTGATGTTGAAGCTGAAACTCCAATACTTCGGCCACCTGATGTGAAGAACTGACTGGAAAAGACCCTGATGCTGGGAAAGATTGAAGGCAGGAGGAGAAGGGGACATCAGAGGGTGAGATGGTTGAATGGCATCACCGACTCAATGGGCATGAGTTTGAGTAAACTCCAGGAGTTGGTGATGGACAGGGAGACCTGGCGTGCTTCGGTCCATGGGGTCGCAAACAGCCGGACACGACTGAGTGACTGAACTGAACTGACTCCCACCTTTTGTGCAAGGAGAGGCAGAGACCAGTGTTCTGCGACCTTTGGTTGTCTGATTGTATTTCAGGGACGGGGGCTGGAAAGCTGATTGGCAGCTCTGCTGAGCAGGAACGGGGGCTTCTCAACTGCAGGCCTGTCTGAATGGGCTGTTTCCTGGCGACTCCAGAGGTCATCACCCTCGGCAGGTTTCCGTTTAGGCTGGTCTGAGGTCACAGAAAACCATCTCTCAAACTCTGTTCCGGAGGATACAGATATAGGTCCCGGTGCCAGAGTGCTGGTGTCTGGGTGGGAAGGGGAAGTGGGGGTCTTAACATTCATGTGTACCTGGTAGCTCACTGCCCCTGCTTTCAGTGCGTTACTCTCTCCTGCAACTGGGCCTGGGGGTCCCCAGTCCAGAGACCCTCTGTTTGTCTCTGCATTGCTTCCCCAGACAAGAAGCCTTCAGTCTTACACTGGGGCAAGGAGGGGCAACTTGCTTAACTCTGCGAAGTAGGAGAGGGGACACGAGTAGGGCCACTTCCTAAACTTTCAGCTATTCTGCTTGTTTTAGTCCCACCATCACCCCTTTTCTGAGATCCTTGGAGCTATCAGCCCCCCGAGCCTTTGGAGGGGGTTCTTAGCCATCTCCACCGCCAGCTGAAGACTTTTCTTCTTCTCCTTACCCATCTGCTCTTCCACTTTTCAAATGTTTTCAGTTATTATCTTGTTGTATTTGTGGACTTATTCCTTAAACAAATGAAACATTCTTTACTGTTGTTTTAGTGGTTTGGGAAGAGGAGCAAAAGTCAGCGGGTCCAGTTGCCTTCTTTACCCAGAGGTTCTGCTTCATTTATTTTGTTTTATCTATTTATTTCGCTGCGCTGGGTCTTAGTTGCAGCATGTGGAATCCAGTTCCCTGACTAGGGATTGAACCCAGGCCCCCTGCATGAGAAGTGCAGAGTCTTAGCCACTGGACCACCAGGGAAGCCCCGCTGCTTCACTTCTTACTTTTAAATGTCTCCGTGTGCCCTAACCCCATACCTCTTGAACTGGTGTTGGTTCTGGCTTGCACCCTTGCACAGTCCCCTCAGAGGCTCTGCCTGTCTTTCTCCCCAAGGACCCTGTTGATCCTCTTTGTGGAGATCGACTACTGGGAGCGGTTGCTGTTCGAGACACCCCATTACGTGGTGAATGTGGCTGAACGTGCCGAGGACCTGCGCGTTCTTCAAGAAAACCTGCTGCTTGTCGCTCGGGACTACAACAGGTGGGGCCCACTCCTCACTGAAGCCCTCCTGCATGCCACTTCCTGCCTTCTCTTTGTTTTTTATCTGCCCCATGATATTGTCCATTTCCTATAGTACACATCCTTCATATTTTGTCCATCTCAAGAAAAAAAAGTTTCCTGTTCTCTCTCATGTGGCCCTATGATTATTCCTGTCCCTTGCAGTGTTGTCTTCTATCTTTAGAGTACAGAGAAAAACAACAGGTCCCCTCCCACCCCATCAGGCACTTGGACCATGTATATTGTTGGCCTGAGTCACTTCTCTGGGAAGGAAGTTGATGGCATTAGGTTTATGGGCCCATAACAACATAAGGTTGGTTGAACCAAGCAAGGTCATGCTGGCCCTCCTCTTAATGCCACTGGCACTCATCTCTGAAGTGAGGCTTTGCTCAAAATTGGGTACCTTTATCAGGCCATTTCAAGTCCAAAGGGGTGGGACCAGCAGTCTTGTTTGGGTGTCTAGAATTGTGTTGTCTAGTACAGTAGCCACTAGATGCATGTAGTTTTTTCTATTTAAGTAGTTAATCAAAATTAAATAAAAGTTTAAAATTCATTACTCATTTGCACAGGCCACATTTCAAGTGCCCCACAGCCACACGAGGCTAGTGGCTACCATACTGGGCAGCACAAATGGCAGAACATTTCCATCACCGCAGGAAGTTGTATTGGAAAGTCCTTGCCTAGAATCATGAACTTTCATATTTCTCCACCAAGTGTCCTGGTGTGGAGGTGAGGTCTGTCTGAGCTCGTCCCCATTAGGTACTGACCTTCTCTTACTCGCAGGATCATTGCCATGCTGTCCCCAGACGAGCAGGCCCTGTTCAAAGAACGTATCCGGTTCCTGGATAAGAAGATCCACCCTGGGCTCAAGAAGCTGCACTGGGCCTTGAAGGGGGCCAGTGCTTTTTTCATCACAGAGTGCCGCATACATGCCAGCAAGGTAGGTCATGGTCATTCGACCCTAAAGGTCTGCAAGGCTGACTGAAAAGCTGACATGTGGGTACTTAATACCCAAGTCTTGGGTAGTGGTGGAGAGACCAGGGGAATTGTGTGAAAGAAATGAAGTGTGTTTAGTGAAGGACTTTTCTCTTTTTTGGTCAATAATTCTAGCTAGAGAATAGATGGGAGAATGGAATTAGGCCTAGAGGATCTGTTCCCAGACTCCCCCACGGGTGGGGTCTGACTCCAGGTACAGACGATCGTGAATGAGTTCAAGGCATCCACTCTGACCATCGGCTGGCGAGCCCAAGAGATATCAGAGACACTGCTGGTGCACATCAGTGGCAAACGGGTATACAGGGACATGGAATTTGAGGAGGACCAAAGAGAGCATAGGGCAGCCATTCAACAGAAATTGATGAGCCTGCATCAGGATGTGGTGGCCATCATGACCAACTCCTATGAAGTCTTCAAGAATGACGGCCCCGAGGTAAGGATCCTGTGGCCAGGGCTTTGTGGGTGAGCAGATCCCCAGCCCCTCCAGCCCCATCAGAACCTTCTCTTGGTCATCCCCCTCCCTCCCCACCCCGATTCTGTGTGTGCCTCTCAGACATCCCATTCTAGCCTTGGATTCACCCAGTCTTCAGCTTTCCAGCCTCTTCCTTCAGGACTTGGCATCTGCCTTTCTATTAAAACAACTCATTTCCCTCCTTGTTGGCTGGTTCTCATTTCCCAGGACCTGCCCTGTTTTCCCTGAGGGATTCTCTTTCCCACTCTTCCCACAGATTCAGCAGCAGTGGATGCTGTACACGATTCGGTTGGACCACATGATGGAGGATGCTTTGAGGCTGAACGTGAAGTGGTCTCTGTTGGAACTGTCCAAGGCCATCAATGGGGATGGCAAGACCACCCCCAACCCACTCTTCCGAGTGCTTGTCATTTTGAAGAATGATCTTCAGGGAGGTGTGGCCCAGGTGGGTCGGAACCACTTTGCCCCGAACATCCTGAAACCATCACACTTTGTCAGTTTCCGTTAATCCTTAGACTTGGCCCTAGGCATTGGTTTTGTCCTACAGCCTCCAGGCCTGGTTCTGAGGTGTCCAGCCTGCCTGGTCCTGAACTCACCTCCTCCACGGCCTCTGCTGAGCCCTCTCCATGATGCTCCCACAGGTGGAGTTCTCACCCACTCTGCAGACCTTGGCAAGTGTGGTCAATGACATTGGCAACCACCTCTTCTCCACCATCTCTGTCTTCCGCCACCTCCCTGAAATTCTCATCAAGCGCAAGTTTCAGCGTGAGCCCATCCACACCATCGTGGGTGAGTAGGCATCCAGTGCAGGGGTATCAAAAGCCTAGGACCAGATGAGGGCATTCCCTGGCAGTCCAGTGGTTAAGACTCCACATGCACTTCCAGTGCAGGAAGAGTGGGTTTGGTCCCTAGTTGCAGAACTAGGATCCCACATGCCACGTGGTGTGAACAACAACAACAAAAAATTAATTGAGGAAAAAAAAAAAGCCTAGGACCATGTGGAGCTAGGAGGAGAGACCAGGGCTGTTTCTGGACATACCTGGCCAGTCGTCTCCATGGATGGTGGAAAACCCAGGTCAAGGGGCTGGATTGGGGAAGGGAAACAGGACACAGACAAGGGTCAAAATTAGGTGACTGATGCTCAAGGAGTTTGGAGTTTGGTGTGAAGAGACCCGGAAGGAACTGTTTGGGTAACAGGGCTGGGATGTAAGAGGCCTGGATACCAACAGGTGAGACATCTGAATCTCCCAGAACAGAGTCATTCTTTTATGTTCTGCTTCCTCCTTCGTTTCCTACTACTCACATTTGAGTGTGTTTCTTTGGGGAGGTGATGTTGGAGGGTAGACTCTGGGGCAGTAGCCAGGGGCTGGGCTGGAGCTTGGGCCAGGGTGGAGGTTAGTAAGAAGTATCTTGCTGGGTCTTGAAGAGCGGGATGAGGACATCAAGAAGATCCAGGCCCAGATCAGCAGTGGCATGACCAACAATGCAAGCCTGCTGCAGAACTACCTCAAGACCTGGGACATGTACCGAGAGATCTGGGAGATCAACAAGGACTCCTTCATCCGCCGATATCAGCGTCTCAACCCGCCTGTCTCTTCCTTTGATGCTGACATTGCCCGGTAAGGAGCTGTGAGGATCATAGGAGGGGGTCTGGCCTGGAGACTGAGGGGTGGGCAGGAAATGAGAAGAAAGGCACTGGACCTTTGTTTCTCAAGGAGGTAGGGATCCAATGAGAGCTGGGAAAAAAAGAAACATCACTTAGATTTTTTTCCCACTAATCTCTCTGCTGAAGCACTGCATCAGCAATTTAGAGTTTCCATCAGTCTTCTCAAAAGAGCATATTAATAATGATTTCCTCACCTGCTGAGAGTTGGTAAATGAGAGTTTATAAATGAGTCTAGAACGTTCTGTCACAGTCAGTTCAGTTCAGTTCAGTTGCTCAGTCGTGTCTAACTCTTTGTGACCCCATAGACACCAGGCCTCCCTGTCTATCACCAACTCCTGGAGTCCACTCAAACTCATGTCCATCGAGTCGGTGGCCATCCAACCATCTCACCCTCTGACATCCCCTTCTCCTCCTGCCCTCAATCTTTCCCAGCATCAGGGTCTTTTCAAATGAATCAGCTCTTCACATCAGGTGGCCAAAATATTGGAATTTCATCTTCAACATCAGTCCTGCCAATGAAAACTCAGGATTGGTCTCCTTTAGGATGGACTGGTTGGATCTCCTTGCAGTCCAAGGGACTCTCAAGAGTCTTCTCCAACTCCACAGTTCAAAAGCATCAATTCTTCTGCGCTCAGCTTTCTTTATAGTCCAACTCTCACATCCACACACTGGAAAAAACATAGCCTTGACTAGATGGACCTTTGTTGGCAAAGTAATTAATGTCTCTGCTTTTTAACATGCTGTCTAGGTTGGTCATAACTTTCCTTCCAAGGAGTAAGCATCTTTTAATTTCATGGCTGCAGTCACCATCTGCAGTGATTTTGGAGCCACCCAAAATAAAGTCTGTCACTATTTCCACTGTTTCGCATCTATTTGCCATGAAGTGATGGGACCAGATGCCATGATCTTAGTTTTCTAAATGTTGAGTTCTAAGCCAACTTTTTCACTCTCCTCTTTCACTTTCATCAAGAGACTCTTCACGGTAAACTTATTTTTTTAAAAAAAATACTTAAAAATCTTTCTATGTGTCATTTCAGAACTCTCTCTACACCTGTACAAATTCATACATTGTCATTCATATAATTAGAGTCTTAAAAAATTAAGTTAATATGGAATCCATTTCTCTCTTTTTTTTTTTAAAGTATTTTTCTTTTTTTTTCATTTATTTTTATTAGTTGGAGGCTAATTACTTTACATCATTGCAGTGGGTTTTGTCATACATTGAAATGAATTAGCCATGGATTTACATGTATTCCCCATCCCGGTCCCCCCTCCCACCTCCCTCTCCACCCGATCCCTCTGGGTCTTCCCAGTGCACCAGGCCCGAGCACTTGTCTCATGCACCCAACCTGGGCTGGTGATCTGTTCCACCCTAGATAATATACGTGTTTTGATGCTGTTCTCTTGAAACATCCCACCCTCGCCTTCTCCCAGAGTCCACAAGTCTGTTCTATACATCGGAGTCTCTTTTTCTGTTTTGCATATAGGGTTATTGTTACCATCTTTCTAAATTCCATATATATGTGTTAGTATACTGTAATGGTCTTTATCTTTCTGGCTTACTTCACTCTGTATAATGGGCTCCAGTTTCATCCATCTCATTAGAACTGATTCAAATGAATTCTTTTTAATGGCTGAGTAATATTCCATGGTGTATATGTACCACAGCTTCCTCATCCATTTGTCTGCTGATGGGCCATTTCTCACTTATTATGTTTGAAAACATCATTAGAGTTTATGGCTTTTAGAAAATAAAATATGCATGTGGTTAGTAACTTAAAAACCCTATAAAACAATTATCCTCCAATTATAAGTAAATTAATTTAAAAAACCCTAAAGAGTTGTCAAATTAAAAATAAAAGACTTTTTACCAAAAAATCAAAAAGATATAAGGGAAAAGTTGCTCTTGTGGGGAGTACCATAGGATCCTGCTGGAAGAGGAGAGATGCTAAGGATCTGGAAGGTAAGAGACATGAACAGTTTCATTTTAAAAGTGCAGACGGGAGTTAAATTGAAGAAGAGTCTATTTTTAAAATTTTATTTATTTAATTTACTTATTTTGGGCTTCACTTTCGTTTCTGCACATGGGCTTTCTCTTGTTTTGGCACATGGGCTTAGTTGCTCCACAGCTCATGTGATCTTAGTTCCCTGACCAGGGATTGAACCCACAACCCCGCATTGGAAGGCAGATTCTTAACTACTGGACCACCAGGGAAGTCCCTGAAGAAGATTCCTTTTTTTTTTCTGAAGAAGATTCTTAAATTCTGATCTGAACCCTCATCTCTTTGTCCTCTAGTCATTCATTCATTTGTTTGAAAACCACCATTGTCTTATGGGTCGTGAAGAATAAAAAAAAAAAAGAGCAAGTTTTCTCCTCCCAAGGGCTCTAGTGCAGTGGGGAAGATACAAATATTTCTGACAGAGCAGTGGCTGTGGAGCCTTGAGGAATGTTGAAATCCCATCTCCACCATTTACAGCCGTATAATCTTAGGTCGGTTCCTCTCATTCTCTGGGCCTCAGTTTTCTGTGAAATCAGTGTTATACTATCAACCACATAACTTTGTGAGGTTATTAAGTACACGTGGAAGCACTGTGTGAACTCTGAAGCCTGCATGGGCTAACATGCTCATTGCTCTTATATCAGCTTCCCTGTGATCAGCGCTGTGGGTGAGGCATGCAAAGTGCTGGGCAGTTCTTTGGAAGGAGAGAGAATGTCCAACCTGGGGATGTTAGAGGAGGAAGGACGTGGATGAAGGGAGTGACTTCTGGGCTGGCCTTTTTGGAATGGGTAGGATGCCAGTATGCAGAGATGGGCAGGGAGAGCATGTTCACCAAACACTGAGCATCCAGGAAGGAAGTCAGCAGAGGGCTTTATGTACAGTGGCCACCGTCATCCTCTCCACAGCCTCACGGGGTGGGTTCTGTTCTCATTGCCACGTTCCAGATGAGGAGACTGAGGCTCAGAGCCATTAAGTAACCCACCTGAGGGCACAGAGCTGGTGAGCAGGCCTGTGTGAACTCAGCCTGGATCTCTGTGCCTTGAAATCAGACCAAGGAGTCTGAAAGCAGTCAAGGGAAAATGACACGATCACAACAGTTTGCCCCGGGCAGGTGGAAGTGGGGAACACCTGGGGGCAGAAGGATGCTGGATGGGTGGAAAATACCACCGAGTCAGGGCGTCCGGCACGTCTGCCAAGGAAAAGCCATCCTAGTGGGGATGTGTGGGCCCTTTCAGCTACACAGAGGTGGCTAATAATGTGCAGAAGGAGGAGACGGTCCTCAACATCCAGTTTGTGCTCCTGGACTGCTCGCACCTCAAGTTCTCGCTGGTGCAGCACTGCAACGAGTGGCAGAACAAGTTCACGACCCTGCTCAAGGAGATGGCGGCCAGGCGGCTCCTGGAGCTGCACACCTACCTGCAGGAGAACTCGGAGAAGTATGCGGGCAGGACTTCGGTGGGCAGGGGGCACACTGGCTTGGGCCACCGGTTGGGGAGAGTAGGCCTGGCCTTCCCACCCACCCTCGCTCCCTTCCCCTGCCTGCAGAATCAGCCGCCCTCCCCAGACCCTGGAGGAACTAGGGGTCAGTTTGCAACTCATGGAGACCCTGCAGCACGAACTGCCCACCATGGAAACCCAGATCCCTCCCATTCACGAGCAATTTGCCATCCTCGAGAAGTACGAAGTGCCAGTCGAGGACAATGTGAGTTCCAGCGGCCCATCCCAGCCCCAGGCGCTTGGCTGTCAGGAGGGAGAGCAGAGAAGTGAGTAGGGGAGAAGGTGCAAGGCCCCAGAGCCTCTGAGAGCCAAAGTTAACTTGTGTGCTCTTTCGGGTCAGCTGGAGGATTTCTTTCAGGCCCAGCAACTGCTTGATCTCTTTGGGCCTTGTTGCCCAAGAGCTTGGAACTTGGCCACAGGCTCTGGTCTAGATTGGAAAAGACTTCTTCAGGGAGTTGGTGGGACAGAAAGAGCTCCGTGGGCCACCCTCCCCTTTGTGATGTCCCCAGGTGCTGGAAATGCTGGACAGTCTCGGTGGGGAGTGGGTTGCCTTCCAGCAAACACTGCTGGACAGTGAACAGATGCTGAAGAAACACAAGGAGAAGTTCAAGACAGGCCTCATTCACTCAGCTGATGACTTCAAGAAGAAAGCACACAATCTTCTGGAAGAATTTGAAGGCAAAGGTACCCTTCTCACAACCTTTCCTTCTGCTTTTCCCTTGTCTTGACCCAGTCTTTCAAAGTGTGGGTCCCAGGAAAGTGCCAAACAAGGGAAAGAGCCAGGCACTGCTGTCAGTGATATACCTGTTGTCACTGAGTTTTGGCTGGAAGGCAGCAGCCCTGCTCACGACTCCAGTTTTCTTACACCAGCTTTTCATCTCACTCATTACTGACTCTCCAGCCACAGTTAGTAGTTTCAATGCATTCTTTTCAATGCGTCCCCTCTTGTTTTCCTTCTCTTGTGGGAGGAGAGAAGTGAGATTTATACACAAAGAGGTAGGCGAGCCACAATGGCCTTTCAGAGGACCTTGGCTTTGAGTGAGAATCTGAACCTCACCTTGGATTCCCCACAGGCCCCTTCACCAGCAGTGTGGGGCACCAGGCAGCCCTGGAGCAAATTGCCCATGTGCGGGCCATGCTGAATGCCATGCGGGAGGAAGAAAACATCCTCCGTGCCAACCTGGGCATCTTCAAGATCGAGCAGCCAGCCTCCAAAGACCTGCAGAACCTGGAGAAGGTGGTGTGACCAGCAAGGCCCTCATGGTGACCCGGGGGGGGGGTGTGTGTGTGGGTAGGAAGCAGGAGAAGAGGTCCCATGGGCCTCAAAAAACACCTGGGACCAGGAAGATGGGTGCATGAGGAGCTTTTTTAAAAAATGGAGGTAAAACTCGGAGAGCAAAAGAACCATTTTACAAATGAACAGTTCAGTGGTATTCAGTACATTCACGATGTTGTACAACTATCACTTATAATTCTACAATATTTTCATCACCCCCCAAAGAAATGCTTTAGCAATCATACTCTACCCTGTTCCCTCTCCCCTAGCCCCTGTCGACCACTAATCTATTTTCTATGTATAGTTGACCCTTAAACAACACTGGGTTTGAACTGATAAGGTCCACTTATACATGGATGTCTTACAATAGTAAATACTATAATACTATACAATCTGTGGTTGAATCCACAGATGGGAAACTGTGGATATAGATATACTGCAGATATGGAGGGCAGACTATAAGTTATACACAGATTTTCCACTGCATAGAGGGTTGGTGTCCCTCACCCTCATGGTTTTTAATGGTCAACTGAACATGGATATTTCCTATTCTGGACATTCTGTATAAATGGAAGCATGCAATATGTGACCTTTTGTGTATGGCTTCTTACATTTGTCTAATATTTTCAAGGATCACCCATGCAGCAGCATGTGTCAGTACCTCGTTCCTTTTTATGGGTGAATAATATTCCATTGTATGGATATACCACATTTGTTTATCCATTAACCTGTCAATGGGCATTTAGGTTGTTTCCACTTTTTAGCTACTGTAAGGAGTGCTGCTCTGACTATGCCTGTACTTGCATATGTTTGAGTTCCCATTGCCAATTCCTGTGGGTATGGACATAGGAGTGGAATTGCTGATCACGAGGTAGCTCTGTGTTTAACTTTTTGAGGAACCTCCAAGCTGTTTTCCACAGCAAATGCACCATTTTATGCTCCCCCAGCAGCGTACGAGGGTTCCTATTTCTCCACATCCTTGTCAACACTTCTCCCTTTATTTTTGGCCATAGTCATTCTGGTGGGTGTGAAATATCTCCCTGTGGTTTTGATTTGCATGTCCCTACTGACTATTGGCATTGAGGATCTTTTCAAGTGCTTGTTCCTTGAGGCGCTCTTAAAGCAAAAGAGTGGAGGAAAAAGTGTGAACTGAGGGGGAGGCAGCTCTGCGTTGCTGGGAGGGAAAATCTCCTGAGGATGAGAGGAGGTGTTTGTCAGGGAGAAGGAGGGTAGGAGTCGTCTGCCTCTGTCACCTGTCTGGTCTGGTCCCCAAAGGAGCTGGACGCGCTGCAGCAAGTCTGGGAGATCACCCGAGACTGGGAGGAAAACTGGAACCAGTGGAAGGCAGGCCGGTTCCTGACCCTGCAGACAGAGGCCATGGAGACCATGGCCCATGGGCTGTTTCGCCGCCTCACTAGACTGGCCAAAGAGTACAAGGTGTGTGAGGCGAGGGTGGAGGGCCGCGGGCAGGCGACTGAGGAAGGCGGGCTGCGCTGGAAAGGGGGCAGGTCTCCTGACGTCTCTTGCTTTTACTCAGGACCGAAACTGGGAAATTATTGAAACCACTCGCTCCAAAATAGAGCAGTTCAAGAGGACCATGCCGCTCATCTCAGACCTGCGAAACCCCGCCCTTCGAGAGCGGTGAGGCTGCTCCTCACACCTTGGTCTGGCCTGGCGGTCACCTGGTTCTCCTGGTTGTTCCCTCCATGGCATTCCCACCTTGCTCTGCCCCTCTGTCCACCAACACACACCTTGAAAGGAGGCTTCCCAAGAGCCCATTGCCTTTCCCTGTCTGTCACACTCTTCTGGGTTCTCTGACCTTCTTGGCTCTTTCCCTTCTGTCTCCTCTCAATTTATGTTGTCTATCATAGCTCAACTTTATGTCTTCTGTCCCACAAAAGCCTGAATTTTGTAGTCCAAAGTCTAACATTTGTCCTTTAGGGTTTTTTCACTTTTGTGCCTTAAGAGGCCCTTGCTGATCCCAGAGCTGTCAATGCAGCATCTCCGTACTCTCTTCGCATACTTTATAATTTTGCTTCTCAAGTTTAGTTCTTTTAATGCATCTGGAACTTATGTTATAGAGGAGGACTTTGAAACTGTTGAGGCTAGCATAGACTACTTCATATGTGGTGTTTTAATAATTGTATATCCATTTAGGAGTAAATAGTTTTACTTCTTTTATATTGCCTCTAGCATGATGCTTTTGGCAGTGCTTCACTAATATCTATTATACGATTAAGTATAATCTAACCACTTTATTTTCTTAAGTTATTTAACCTCGCTAAGCCTCAATTTCTTCACCTACAAATAGAATAACATTTATAGAGTGATCATGAAAATGAAATGCCTCATGTAGAGCACTTGGCCCAGTACCTCATCTCTAGTAAACCTGCGATTATCTATCTGAACTCCTTTTCTAGTGTCAGCAGCTCAATCTCTGTATTCCCCACAGTGCCTAAAATAGGATCTTAGAGCCTATTTAGGAAATACCTGTTGAATTTCAGATTAATAAAGGCATGGAATCATCATATCCCAATAGAAGAAAGCTAGGGAGTGATGCTCACACTTCCCAGTAGGCCCTGCTGACCTTTTGTCCCCAGCTGATCTGACTTTTTGTCCCTGGCTACAGGCATTGGGATCAGGTCAGGGATGAGGTCCAACGTGAGTTTGATCAGGAATCAGAAAGCTTCACCTTGGAGCAGATCGTGGAGCTTGGGATGGATCAGCATGTAGAGAAAATTGGGGAGATCTCTGCCTCAGCCACCAAAGAGCTGGCTATAGAACTGGTATGACAGAGTCCTCTCCCACACTCCCCTGTTTCCTCAGCTTTCTGGAGCAAAAGCTTCCAGCTTTTCATGATCCGAGGGTCCCTCCCAGCTCCTGTTACCCTTGGGGACTAAATACCTGATTGATCTGTCCCCCACAGGCATTACAGAACATTGCCAAGACCTGGGATGTGATTCAGCTTGACATAGTGCCCTACAAGGATAAGGGCCATCACCGACTCAGGTGGACAGGGCTGCGGGACCTGGGCTGCGGAGTGGGGACCCGGTTTGGCAGGTGGGGATGGACTATGATTCTCATACGTTGCACCCCAGAGGGACAGAAGAAGTATTCCAGGCCCTGGAAGATAACCAGGTGGCTCTGTCTACCATGAAGGCATCTCGCTTTGTCAAGGCCTTTGAGAAAGATGTGGACCACTGGGAGTGCTGCCTCTCCCTCATCTTGGAAGTGATTGAGATGGTGCTCACAGTGCAGCGTCAGTGGATGTACCTCGAGGTTAGGATCACCGCCTGAGCTCTCCCTACATCCTGTTTTGGCTCCTTTCTCTGCAGAGCATCTAGATAGTTGCCCTATTATCAGCCCCATTGTCCCACCTCTAAAGCCACTTTTCATCTAGGACCTAAGCATCTGACTCTGAATTCTTACCTCTCATCTTCAGCTTCCTCCTTGAAAAGCCTTTGTTCTCCTTCCATTTTTCTTCTTGAACCCACATACCTGGCCTCCTAATCCCAAGTTTGGTTCTAGAACCTAGACATCCCTTTGGTTCTTTCTTTCTTTTTTTTTTTTTTCCATTTTCCATATTTATTTATTTTTGGCTGTGCTGGGTTGTCGCTGCTGCATGGGCTACTCTCTCGTTGCGGTGCTCAGGCTTCTCATTGCAGCAGCTTCTCTCATTGCAGAGCACAGGCTCTAGGGCACTTAGGCTCAATAGTCATAGCTCCCGGGCTCAGTCACTCGGTGGCATGTGGGATCTTCCCAGACCAGGGACCAAACTCGTGTCTGCTGTGTTGGCAGGTGGAGTCTTTATCACTGAGCCACCAGGGAGCCCCTCACCCTTTGGTTCTGATGCTTCTTCTCTTTCATTGTCTCTCCTGGTCTAAGCACAGGGAGCAGAGAGTGGAGAGGGTGTGGGAAACAGCCTCTCACACCCCTTATTGGCCCTTCAGAACATCTTCCTGGGAGAGGACATCCGGAAGCAGCTGCCCAATGAATCAGGCTTATTCGACCAAGTCAATGGCAACTGGAAGGCCATTATGGACCGGGTGAACAAGGACCCCAATGCTCTCCGGAGCACCCACTATCCAGGTCTGAGCCCTGACACAGCCTTGGCAGATGCTGTGTGTGTGTGAGGTCATGGTCACAGGCTTCATGTTTTTTTAAAGTTTAAGAATTTTATTTATTTTTGGCTATGCTAGGTCTTCGTTGCTGTATGGCTTTTCTCTAGTTGTGGGGAGCAGGGGCTACTTTCTTGTTGTATAGCATAGACTTTAGGCACGAAGGTTTAGTAGTTGTGGCTCCCTGGCTCTAGCGCACAGGCTCAGTAGTTGTGGTGAAGGGGCTTAGTTTCCCCTTGGCATTTGGGATCTTACTGGATCAGGGATCGAACCCATGTCTCCTGCATTGGCAGGTGGATCCTTTACCATTGAGCCACCAGGGAAGGCCCCACATGCTTCATTTACTGAAAGATTGACCATTGTACCCGACTGTCCTAAAGCATTACATAGTAGTTCTGTAGATTAAACTCTTCTAAGCATTACATAGTAGTTCTGTAGATTAAACTCAACACATATTCGAGCAGAGTACAGTAGAGCAGTGAAGAGGATGGAATATGCAATCAGACTGACTTGAGTTCAAAACCCTGCCTTCCTGATTGCATGCCTTTAGGCAGCCGTTTCCTCCATACTGCAGCTTCCTTGCCTGTAGTATATGTGTATGTATGTCGGGGGCGGGGAGTGTATTTTATTTGATCTTTTTTTATTTTGGCCTTGCCAGAGGCAGATGTAGGATCTTAGTTCCCCAACCAGGGATCAAACCTGTGGCCCCAGCATTGGGAGCATGGAGTCTTAACTACTGGGCTGCCAGGGAATTCCCACAGTGAGGGGTTAATGATAGCTATTTCTTGGGGTCTTTGTGAGGATAATAAAGGAGTATAAAGCATTCAGTGCAGTGTCTAGCATAAAGGTAGTGCTGTTATTAGCACTGTGTCTCAAAAAACTCTGATTAAGGAATCACTCTTCTTCTCTATGTGGTTCATTCAATGAGATGATGTAGGTAAATGAGATAATGCAGATAAAGCACTTATCCCGTTAAATGGCACAGACAAAATCTTTGGTTACTAGGAGCTATTGTTATTACCTTGACTTTAATTGGTTTATTATTAATAGACTAACTAATCTTTAATGTAGACACTTTGGTAGACATGGGGATTGGGTAAAGAGATGGGGGAGATGTACGCATACGTGGTGAGGTCTGGTTATTTGTGGTCAATAGGGGTAAAGAACCAGAAAGTCAGATTGGGCAATGGATGGGTGGGTAGGTAGCCTGAGAAGAGTTTTGGCAGGAGATACAGAGAACCTGTTTATTTGCCTGGGCCAATCTAACAATTGAAAAATTTTCCCGAGAACCTTAACTCTACACATTAAAAAAAAAACCCCACTTTATTTCAATTACTCTGATAAGCATTAGGATGTGCAAAATAGAGTGATAACTTGAATTTTTATTAATAATATTTGAGATAATTGACATAATTACATTTTAGAACAATAAGCAGAGCCGTAAAAACAACACTCTCTCTTGGTTGAACACACAGAACAAACACGTTGTCTACGGCTACCAGGTCTCCCTGTGGTCTCCAGGGGCTACTCATGTGGTCATTCAAAGGCTCTAATGGTTTGTAGACTCTGTCCTTGAAGACCTGAGGGTCACCTTGGAGTTCAGACTCTAGGGCATCCATAGGTTCTTCAATAAGCTAGAAACTGGGAATACCAGGGGATAAGCCAATCAAAATCTAACTCTGGGAGGAAACTAACATTATTGAGAACCTATAGGTGTGAACACAGTTTATTTTATATCTCGAATTATTCTTTGAGGTGGATCTTATTACTATTTTACAAAGAGGTAAAATCTCCCTGAGGTTAAATGACATGCTGATAAATGAAAGAGCCACATCTGCCTCCCAGTGAGGGACATTTTTTTGGTATCATGTAGCTTGCAGATCTCACTTCCATGACCAGGGGTTAAACCTGTGCCCCCTGCAGTGGAAGTGCAGTGTATTAACCAGGCACTGCCAGGGAATTCCTCTAGTACTCTTCTCACTCTGTCATGAGGAACACTGGCAGTCCCAGTGATGGCGGACCTTTTTCATTGTGCACATGTGATATGTATTTAAATCTAATGTTTTAACTTGCTGAATTGTTTATGGGCAGAGCAGTCTCTCAGTTTCAGAAGCTCTTGGGATGATTGGCAGAGCGCCCACTTCTTTGGTGGAAAGAGACTGATGGGATATATAGTTATATTAATGGAATCATATATGCATAATTAATATAATGTATAATATGTACCATAGTGTATAATGAACACTTAATAATGAGTTCATGAGGAGGATGGGAAAAGAGTGATTGGGGGACACTTCTCTTCTTCCAAAAACCATATGGCAGTCCGCACCCCAGCATTCATGAGCTGGCAGAGTGGGTATAGGTGGAGGCTCCAGATCCACTCAGGGCAATGATAAAAGGACCACGACCAATGTCACTCACTGTTCTCCTCCCCAGGCCTCCTGGACACATTGATAGAAATGAACACAATCCTTGAAGACATCCAAAAGTCCCTAGATATGTATTTGGAGACCAAGCGCCATATTTTCCCCCGCTTCTATTTCTTGTCCAATGATGACCTCCTGGAGATTCTGGGCCAGTCCCGCAACCCGGAGGCTGTGCAGCCACATCTCAAAAAATGCTTTGACAACATCAAACTGCTGAGAATGCAGAAGGTCGGTGGAGGTGGCCACGACGGGCAGGAGGGTGGGGAAGGGATGGTGAAATCAGTGAGTTCACAGCCTCTGAGGAGACCATGCCCCTCCAAGAGGAGGGGGATAGTAATGATTCTGGGTATCTGGGACAGAACTTCCTAGAACTGGTAATATAGAGGGGGAGGTGAGAGGAGCAGAAATGACCCCCAAAGGGCTCAAAGCTTCCTGCTTCTTCTGCAGGTTGGGGGACCCAGCAGCAAATGGGAAGCGTTGGGAATGTTCTCAGGTGACGGTGAATACATCGATTTCCTCCACCCAGTGCTTCTGGAAGGGCCTGTGGAGGTGAGCTGTTGCCAGGGTCTAAGAAGCAGGCTCATTCTTCTAACTTTGCTGGCTCTATAAGGAGAGAACATCTCTGTGAAGGGGCCTTTGTGCCTCCCACCTGCCATGCCTAAAACTCTAACCTCCACCGTGCTCTCCTTAAAGTCCATCTGACCCGTCTCCAAGCCCCTCAGGGACTTCAGCCAGCTGCTGCCCAGCTCCTGCTTTTCTCTTGGGCCCCAGAGCCCTGGGGTCCTCCTTCCCAATCACCTTCACTCTGGGCACTCTTTACTCTGGCCCTGAGGCCGAGCCATCCTGTTCTCACCTCCCCCCAGTCCTGGCTTGGAGATGTGGAGCGGACCATGAGAGTGACCCTCCGGGACCTTCTCCGGAACTGCCGCCTGGCCCTCAAGAAGTTTCTCAACAAGAGGGACAAGTGGGTGAAGGAGTGGGCTGGCCAGGTGAGCTGGGGTCAGTAGAAATGAGGGAACAAGGAGGACGGAGCCACAAGGGAGCAGCCAGTGTAAAGACAGAGTCTGGAGTCGCCCAAAAGGCAGGTGTCCTGCCCTCTGTTCTGGGCTGTGACCCAGAAGCTTGCATGCTGGACTCTTAGCTCCTGACTTAGGCCTGTGCCCACCCTCCAGAACAGGTCAAGCGTATTGAGAGCAGAAGCACCTGGTCCTGAATGAGCCAGGATATGGGAGCTGGGCTGTGTGGGTGGCCAGGGATGGGCCTTTGGAATGGAGCCTCCACACATGCCCCAGGTGGTGATCACCGCCAGTCAGATCCAGTGGACGGCCGATGTCACCAAGTGCCTGCTGACAGCTAAGGAGCGGGCAGACAAGAAGATCCTCAAGGTCATGAAGAAAAAGCAGGTGGGGAAACATTACCAGAATGACCGGGCCCTGGCACCAGAGCTGGAAGGAGGGGCTGATCCATTGGAGTGAGAATTAGCAATGAGCTGGTGGGAAGGGCTCAGAATGGGGTGCATTATGGGAGGTGTCTAGCGAGGAGAGGTCAGGTGAGTCAGAAGTATGGGCTGATGTTGAGGGTCAGGAACTGCAGTGGGGGTGAGGTCAGCCTCAAAGCTGGAAGAGGAACGAGGCTGGGACAAAGGCGATTAGGGTTTGGTGGCTCAGCCCACCTTCTCCACCGCCTCATTCCACAGGTGTCAATACTGAATAAGTACTCTGAGGCCATCAGGGGGAACCTGACCAAGATCATGCGCCTCAAAATTGTGGCCCTGGTGACGATAGAAGTCCACGCCCGGGATGTGCTGGAGAAGCTTTACAAGAGTGGCCTCATGGATGTCAGCTCCTTCGACTGGCTCAGCCAACTGCGCTTCTACTGGGAGAAGGTGCGGAAGGGCCAGCATCCCATTCTTGAACCCTAAGCCCGATATTGACGCTTTAATGAAATTCATGTTCTCTAAAAACAGTAATATCTTAGCCCAGCCCTCAGCCCTCTCCCATCACCCTAATCCAGCTGGTAACTCTCTCTTGGATCTGCCACGTCAGGAATGGTAAGAGGCATGTTTTCAGGGAGTGCCCACTCTAGGTGTCCCTTTGATCAGCAGCTGCTGCCACGGACTGGGCTGGACACGTGCAACGCAATTGCCAGTTTCCATCTGAGCTGTAAACCCGTCCCTCCTTCCAGCTCTAAACGGAGCCCCCAGTCTTCTCCCTGATGCTTCCAGCCCCCCTCTCAGCCACAGTCCTGACTCTCCCTCCATGCCCACCTCTCTCTTACTCTGCCCTGTTTCCCAGGATCTCGACGACTGTATGATCCGTCAGACCAACACACAGTTCCAGTATGGTTATGAGTACCTGGGTAATTCTGGTCGGCTCGTCATCACCCCCCTAACCGACAGGTCGGCCGTGGGGAATGAACAGGGTGCTTGGGGTGGGGGCAGTGAATGCTGAGTCAAGGCTTCTAGGAGTTTGGCCTGAATCCTGTCCTCCACTCACAGGTGTTACATGACACTGACCACAGCCCTGCACCTGCATCGAGGCGGATCCCCCAAAGGTCCCGCAGGCACAGGGAAGACTGAGACGGTCAAGGACCTGGGCAAGGCCCTCGGCATATACGTCATCGTGGTCAACTGCTCCGAGGGCCTGGACTATAAGTCCATGGGCCGGATGTACTCAGGCCTGGCTCAGGTCAGCATCCTGCCAGCCTGGCGAGGAGGCCCCCTGTATATCTTTCAGTTTCAGAAAATCAGCTGAAACCCAGATCTGGTTCAGTGCCCTGTAACTGATGACACTGCATCGCCTCAGTTAGGTCTTACAACTGGGGAAGTCCCTGCGCTTCCCTGAGCTTCACTTTGCTTATTTGCAAAATCAGAAGGTTATGTAAGGATTCAGTAAGAGAACTTGTATGAAGTCGTGCATGCTGGGGGCGTTCAACACCCACGAGTTCCCTACCCTGCTCTCTTTCCTACCCACGACTCTCAGGCATTCTCCTAGATCCTTCCTGTCTGATGGAAAGTTCTGGCCAGAAACTACAAAACTAGAACAGCCCCTTCTCACACACACACACACACACACACACACACACGCACACACGCACACTTGCACACTTTCATTTTAGAGGCCGCTCTTCCTAGCCAAACATTTCGGGGGGAGGATAGGTTAGTCACAGTTTCTAGTTTTTCCCAGTCTGGGGTCACTTGTCTTCCTCCCAGCAACTCTGCCTCCCCCCCACCCCCCCACTACAGACGGGTGCCTGGGGCTGCTTTGATGAGTTTAACCGCATCAATGTGGAGGTGCTGTCGGTGGTGGCCCAGCAGATCCTGTCCATCCTTTCTGCCCTGGCTGCCGGCCTCACCCGCTTCTATTTCGAGGGCTTTGAAATCAATCTGGTGTGGTCCTGTGGGATCTTCATCACCATGAACCCTGGTAAGGGCCTGGGAGTAGAGTAGATGGGGCTCCTGAGGGCAAATGTCCATGCATCTTCCCCCTCCCCCACCCCAGGCCAGTGTATTTAGCCAAGTGCAATGCTGCTAAAGGCAACAAAGTGTGAGAGGATGAACATATGCATTTCTAGGAGAAGGGGAAGCAACCTTACTGTCTTTCCTAAAGGGATTAGTGTTGGCTTGGGTGCATAGATGTCATCCTAGTCTTTCAAGGTACTTAGCCTTATTCTTCTGTTGAACTAGCTCCTAGAGTTCTGGTCTACCTGCCATCCCTTTTACCGGATGAGAGAACCTCCCTGAAGTGCAGGGCCTAGGGTCTCTCATCACTGTTGCCTAGGAACAGCTCTGTGGGTAGGATCAAGGAGAAAACAGGAAAGGGCTTCCGCACTAAAAGAATCAGAGAAACAGCTGCGATTTCTATTAGCACTGAGTGAGTTATATTGGGTCAGCCACAAAGTTCATTCAGGTTTTTCCATAACATCTTAACGAATAAACCTGAACAAACTTTTTGGCCCACCCAATCCATGAAACTTGGAGAGATGGGAACAAGACAGCTCTGTAATTTGAGTCTGAAGCAGGGCCCTGCAGCAAATAAGGAAAGGGCTGGGGGTAGGAAAGAAGAGCAGAGTGGTGTGGGGAAAGCCAGGGCTGAGACGAGAGAGCAAGAGTTGGAGCTGGGGAGAGGGCTCAGAATGAAGCAGAGAATGGGGAGAATGGGACTGATGGGGAAGTAGGTCTTTGTGAAGCAGTGTCCCCTGAAGAAGGGAATGGCTACACACTCCAGTATTGTTGCCTGAGAATCCCATGGACAGAGGAGCCTGACAGGGTTTCAAAGAGTTCACAGGGTTTCAAAGAGTTGGACATGACTGAGTGATCAACACTTTTGCTTACTCTTTCATGGATTCTGAATACGTGGTGCTGTTTTCCAGGCTATGCTGGCCGCACAGAGCTTCCTGACAATCTTAAGTCCATGTTCCGGCCAATTGCCATGGTGGTGCCCGACTCTACACTTATTGCAGAAATCATTCTTTTTGGGGAAGGCTTTGGCAACTGCAAGGTATTCTGATCATCTCTTGTCTCATCCATGATTACCCTCTGGGCCCAAGAACCACCCCCCGCAAAGTCCTCACAATGTTTATCCTACAAGAAATGTACCTGACTCTCAGTAGGATATGGGGGCAGGAGAATCCAGAGGAGAGAGTTCTCCCCTCTATCATGCTGCTGGTCCTTGATGACACAATTCACAGGATCTTCTCATCCCTTGTCCTCCAGCTGCTTCATGCCTGGGCACCCAGCTATTTGTAACTACATGAAGCAGAGGGATTTATGGGAAATGGATGGTTCCTTCCTCTGTTTTGGCCTCCAGGTTCTGGCCAAGAAGGTGTACACACTTTACTCGCTGGCTGTGCAGCAGCTCTCCAAACAGGACCACTATGACTTCGGCCTGCGTGCCCTCACCTCCCTCCTGCGCTATGCTGGCAAAAAGCGCCGCCTGCAGCCCGACCTGTCTGATGAAGAGGTAGACTGAGGACGCCATCTTGACCTTTAACCACCACCATCACTGGTCCTCTGCACCTTCACTGGAGTTTTTCACATCCTTACTTTCCCTCAATCAGTTTTCCCACTCTTCCAGCCCTCCTTGGTGTTGCCCAAGTTGCACCTGTCCTGTTGCTCAAGACTAGCTTGGGTGTATCCATTGTTCTTTTTTCTTTCTTATTTATTTATTTATTTTTGGCTGTGCTGGGTCTTCATTGCTGCATACGATCTTTCCCTAGTTGTGATGACTGGGGGCTACTCTTTGTTGCCGTGTGTGGGCTTCTGATTGTGGTGGCTTCTCTTGTTATGGAGCATGGTCTTTACATGCTTGGGCTTCAGTAGTTGCAGCACTCGGGTTCAGTAGTTCACTCCTAGCCTCTTGAGTGGGGGCTCCAGTAGTTGTGGTCCATAGGCTTAGTTGCTCCACGGCATGTGGTATCTTTCCAGACTAGGGAACAAATGCATGTCCTCTACAATGGCAGGCAGACTCTGGTTCACTGTACCACCAGGGAAGTCCTCCCTTGTTCTTAGCTCCTGCCTCTCACCCCTCTAGAAAAGAAAAGCCTAATGAAGAGCTGGGCCCTGGCTCCTCCAGCCTGAGTCTCTCTCTTTCCCCTGCAGGTTCTGCTGCTCTCAATGAGAGATATGAATATTGCCAAGCTGACTTCTGTCGACGTGCCCCTCTTCAATGCCATCGTGCAAGATCTGTTCCCCAGCATCGAGCTGCCGGTCATTGACTACGGCAAGGTATTTGATCCCCAAGACTCTCCCTGACCTCTTGTGTGAATGTGGATCCTGTGGTGTCCTGGAAACAAGACACCTGGCTTTCAGGCCTTGTTCTGCCCTTCACTGGCTATCCATTCAACTGGCTATGACTTTGAGCAAGACGGTTACCTTTTCTTTGGACTACTTTATCTATAAAGTGGGACTCCCACTTTAGGGTGGTTAGGGAATAATACAAACTTATTCCAACATTCTACATTCTCCCCTCAAGTCCCCAGATCCCGACTCACCTGCTCAAGGACTTCTACTCATCAGTTCCTTGACTTCATGGAGATCTCTGGTCCACTGGCCTTTCTACTTTATACCTGTCAGCCCTCCCCTGTCTCTGCCTCTCTCCTCATTCAGGGAGTTTTGAGGAGAGACTGCCAGGAGCTATTTGATAAGGGAGAAGGGTGGGATGGAAAGGGCCAAGGGAGGAGAATTCTAGAATGTGTAGGAATTTTCTTCTCTGGCAATATGGCAGTTTAGATATCCTGAGTGATCCTTTCCATTGAAACCACTAAAATGCTGGATAAAAATATTAAAACACACCTTTTAAAATGTACTGCTAAACTGGCAAGAAATAAGGAATTCTGGGATCAGGAGGGGAAATAAAAGCAAGTGAATGACAAAGCTGGCTTTCTCCCTGAAAGGTTTTGCTGAATGTAAGGCACTGAGGAAAGGAGATAAAGTAGCTCAGGTTTTGAGGTATAACAGAAAACCCAGTCGTGCATAGACTTTGGCCCACAAGGGAAAACACCTTCAGTAAGTGGGAAAGTGAGAAACCCACCAGTAAGGAGGGTCTGTACAGTAAAGAAACTTGCTTGTCACGACCATTGGCGGTGAGAGGAAGGGGCAGAATCTCCTTTGAGACTTCCTAACCTTGAGTCAGCCCTCACGTGGTTTCTGGTCATCGTTTATTTTACTGTGTACTCCCCCCAAATCTCAAATTTAGAATTTAATTTGAAGTATTTCCAGGTTGTTACTGTCTTCCCCAAGTGACTGGCAGAAACAAATGCAAATTATTTCTAGAAGAATGAAACTTCAACTTAAAAGCCCAAAGAATTCTCGTGAAAGCCTAAGAAAATGAGCAGCTTCTGGTCAAAAATCACAAAACAAACAAGGAAACAAGATATCATGAAGGGAAGCCAGAGAACAATAAAACAGTGCAACAGAACCATAGAGACTTCAGATATGGACAATAATCAGCACAGAATTCTAAAAGTACCTACATTTAGTATGTTTAAAGAAATAAGAGAGAAGTTTGAAACTGTGATCCAGGAATAAGAGACATCTAAACAGAGTAGACGTGAAAAGAACCAATAGAATTGCTACAAATGAAAAAATATATTATAATTGAAATTTTAAAAACCCAACAACCTCATTATATTCAGAGAGGACTTCTAGGTAAAAAGTGGATTAAAAACAATTTTATTTCCTTTTGAAAACCTGCTGCAACTACTCTAAAGGGATTTTTTTTTTTTTTAAAGGCATCTATACCAGGAAGGATGTTCTGGATGGCCGTTCCTGGATGGCCATCCCTTTCCCACTTTGGCAGAAGACTAGAGGGTAAAAATAGTAGGTCTCTAGTCTGGGGGACACAAAATATAGTTGAGGAAAGGCGAAAACCCTGTTAAAAATGGAGATTAAGAAACTTCCCTGATAATCCAGTGGCTAAGACTCTGCACTCTCAATGCAGGAGGTTGGGGTTCAATCCCTGGTCAGGGAGCTAGATCCCACATGCCACAACTAACAAGCCAGTGTGCCACAACAAGACCTGGCACAGCCACGTAAATAAATATTTTTTTAATTTAAAAAAAAACTTGGGACATGATGCTCAATACACATACACACACATAAATACACACAAACATGACATGATAATACAACTAATTCTCAGACAGTGGAAGGAAGTAGTAGAAGTGAGGCCTGTTAGTGTATTTGAGAGATACAAGTAAAATCCTGCATATGTTTGAAATTATTTGGTTGCATTGGCTGTATATTTTAAAAGGTCACACTCTTCTGGGACCCACATGTGTCATGGTTCTATAAGCATTTGTTTATTTTTTATTTTTAAAATTTTTTATTGAAGCCTAGTTGATTTACAGTGTTGTGTTAGTTTCGGGTGTACAGTGATTCAGTTTTATATATATGTAAATCCACATATATGTGTATGTATAATTATAATAATTTATATATACATTTATATATATATAATAATAATAAATATATATATACATATAAGCTCAGAACCAGACGGCTTCACAGCTGGATTCTACCAAAACTTTAGAGAAGAGCTAACATCTATCTCACTCAAACTCTTTCAGAAAATTGTAGAGGAAGGTAAACTTCCAAACTCATTCCATGAGGCCACCATCACCCTAATACCAAAACCAAAGATGCCACAAAAAAGAAAACTACAGGCCAATATCACTGATGAACATAGATGCAAAAATCCTTAACAAAATTCTAGCAAACAGAGTCCAACAACATAGTAAAAAGATATTTAATATTAAATATGAAAAAGATTCTTTAATATCCACAAATCAATCAATGTAAGACACCACATTAACAAATTGAAAGATAAAAACCATATATCTCAATAGATGCAGAGAAAGCCTTTGACAAAATTCAACATCCATTTATGATAAAAACCCTCCAGAAAGTAGGAATAGAAGAAACATACCTCAACATAATGAAAGCTATATATGACAAACCCACCGCAAACATTATCCTCAATGGTGAAAAATTGAAAGTATTTCCCCTAAAGTCAGGAACAAGACAAGAGTGCCCACTGTCACCAGTACTATTCAACATAGTTTTGGAAGTTTTGGCCACAGCAATCAGAGCAGAAAAAGAAATAAAAGGAATCCAGATTGGAAAAGAAGAAGTAAAATTCTCACTGTTTGCAGATGACATGATCCTCTACATAGAAAACCCTAAAGAATACACCAAAAAATTACTAGAGCTAATCAACGAATATAGTAAAGTTGCAGGATATAAAATTAACACACAGAAATCCCTTGCATTCCTATACACTAACAATGAGAAAACAGAGAAATTAAGGAAACAATTCCATTCACCATTGCAATGAAAAGAATAAAATACTTAGGAATATATCTACCTAAAGAAACAAAAGACCTATACATAGAAAACTATAAAACACTAATAAAAGAAATCAAAGAGGATACAAATAGATGGAGAATATACCATGTTCATGGATTGGAAGAATCAATTAAGTGAAAATGAGTATACTATCCAAAGCAATCTATAGATTCAATGCAATCCCTATCAAGCTACCAACTGTATTTTTCACAGAACTAGAACAAATAATTTCAAAATTTGTATGGAAATACAAAAAACCTCGAATAGCCAAAGTAATCTTGAGAAAGAAGAATGGAACTGGAGGAATCAACCTGCCTGACTTCAGACTACACTACAAAGCCACAGTCATCAAGACAGTATGGTACTGGCACAAAGACAGAGATATAGATCAATGGAACAGAATAGAAAGCCCAGAGATAAATCCACAAACCTATGGTCACCTTATCTTTGACAAAGGAGGCAAGGATATACAATGGAAAAAAGACAACCTCTTTAACAAGTGGTGCTGGGAAAACTGGTCAACCACCTGTAAAAGAATGAAACTAGAACACTTTCTAATACCATACACAAAAATAAACTCAAAATGGATTAAAGATCTAAACGTAAGACCAGAAACTATAAAACTCCTAGAGGAGAACATAGGAAAACACTCTCCGACATAAATCACAGCAGGATCCTCTATGACCCACATCCCAGAATATTAGAAACAAAAGCAAAAATGAACAAATGAGACCTAATGAAACTTAAAAGCTTTTGCACAACAAAGGAAACTATAAGCAAGGTGAAAAGACAGCCCTCAGATTGGGAGAAAATAATAGCAAACGAAGCAACAGACAAAGGATTAATCTCAAAAATATACAAGCAACTCCTTCAGCTCAACTCCAGAAAAATAAATGACCCAATCAAAAAATGGGCCAAAGAACTAAACAGACATTTCTCCAAGGAAGACATACAGATGGCTAACAAACACATGAAAAGATGCTCAACATCACTCATTATCAGAGAAATGCAAATCAAAACCACAATGAGGTACCATCTCACGCCAGTCAGGATGGCTGCTATCCAAAAGTCTACAAGCAATAAATGCTGGAGAGGGTGTGGAGAAAAGGGAACCGTCTTACACTGCTGGTGGGAATGCAAACTAGTATAGCCACTATGGAGAACAGTGTGGAGATTTCTTAAAAATCTGGAAATAGAACTGCCATATGACCCAGCAATCCCACTGCTGGGCATGCACACTGAGGAAACCAGAATTGAAAGAGAATGTGTACCCCAATGTTCATTGCAGCACTGTTTATAATAGCCAGGACATGGAAGGAACCTAGATGTCCATCAGCAGACGAATGGATAAGAAAGCTGTGATACATATACACAATGGAATACTACTCAGCCATTAAAAAGAATACATTTGAATCAGTTCTAATGAGGTGGATGAAACTGAAGCCAGTTATACAGAGTGAAGTAAGTCAGAAACAAAAACACGTATATATATGGAATTTAGAAAGATGGTAACGATAACCCTATAGGCAAGACAGCAAAAGAGACACAGATGTATAGAACAGTCTTTTGGACTCTGTGGGAGAAGGCAAGGGAGGGATGATCTGAGAGAATAGCATTGAAACATGTATATTATCATATGTGAAACAGATCACCAGTCCAGGTTCGATGCATGAGACAGGGTGCTCAGGGCTGGTGCACTGGGATGACCCAGAGGGATGGGATGGGGAGGGAGTTAGGAGGGGGGTTCAGGATGGGGAACACATGTACACTCATGGCTGATTCATGTCAATGTATGGCAAAACCCACTACAATATTGTGAAGTAATTAGCCTCCAATTAAAATAAATAAATTTAAAAAAATAATAAAACACACACACAAAATTTTTATTGAAGCCTAATTGATTTACAGTGTTGTGTTAGTTTCGGGTGTACAGCAAAGTGATTCAGTTTTATATATATGTAGATCCACGTATATATGTGTATATACAATTATAATAATTTATAACTATATACATCTTTTATATAATATATAACCACACAATTGCACTCATCTCACATGCTAGTAAAGTAATGCTTAAAATTCTCCAAGCCAGGTTTCAGCAATACGTGAACCATGAACTTCCAGATATTCAAGCTGGTTTTAGAAAAGGCAGAGGAACCAGAGATCAAATTGCCAACATCTGATGGATCATTGAAAAAGCGAGAGAGTTCCATAAAAACATCTATTTCTGCTTTATTGACTATGCCAAAGCCTTGACTGTGTGGATCACAATAAACTGTGGAAAATTCTGAAAGAGATGGGAATACCAGACCACATAACCTGCCTCTTGAGAAACCTGCATGCAGGTCAGGAAGCAACAGTTAGAACTGGACATGGAACAACAGACTGGTTCCAAATAGGAAAAGGAGTACATCAAGGCTGTATATTGTCACCCTGCTTATTTAACTTATATGCAGAGTATATCATGAGAAATGCTGGGCTGCAGAAAGCACAAGCTGGAATCAAGATTGCCGGGAGAAATACCAATAACCTCAGATATGCAGATGACACCACCCTTATGTCAGAAAGTGAAGAAGAACTAAAAAGCCTCTTGGTGAAAGTGAAAGAGGAGAGTGAAAAAGTTGGCTTAAAGCTCAACATTCAGAAAACTAAGATCATGGCATCTGGTTCCATCACTTCATGGCAAATAGATGGGGAAACAGTGGAAAAAGTGAGACTTTATTTTTCTGAGCTCCAAAATCACTGCAGATGGTGACTGTAGCCATGAAATTAAAAAATGCTTACTCCTTGGAAGGAAAGTTATGACCAACCTAGACAGCATATTAAAAAGCAGAGACATTACTTTGCCAACAAAGGTCCATCTAATCAAGGCTATGGTTTTTCCAGTTGTTATGTATGGATGTGAGAGTTGGACTATAAAGAAAGCTAAGCGCTGAAGAACTGATGCTTTTGAACTGTGGTGTTGGAGAAGATTCTTGAGAGTCCCTTGGACTGCAAGGAGATCCAACCAGTCCATCCTAAAGGAGATCAGTCCTGGGTGTTCATTGGCAGGACTGATGTTGAAGCTGAAACTCCAATACTTTGGCCACCTGATGTGAAGAGCTGACTGATTTGAAAAGACCCTGATGCTAGGAAAGATTGAGGGCAGGAGGAGAAGGGGACAACAGATGAGATGGTTGGATGGCATCATCAACTCGATGGACATGGGTTTGGGTAGACTCCGGGAGTTGGTGATGGACAGGGAGGCCTGGCATGCTGTGGTTCATGGTGTCGCAAAGAGTCAGACACGACTGAGCGACTGAACTGAACATATATATTTATATGTATATTCTTTTTCAGACTCTTTTCCATTATAGGTTATGACAAGATATTTTATATGGTTCATTGTGCTGTAAAGTTGTTCAGTTGCTCAGTCGTGTCCAGCTCTTTGTGACCCCATGGACTACAGCACGCCAGGCTTCCCTGTCCTTCACCATCTCCTGGAGCTTGCCCAAACTCATGTCCATCTCGTCCTCTGTCGTCCCCTTCTCCTCCTGCCTTCAATCTGTCCCAGCATCAGGGTCTTTTCCAATGAGTCAGCAATTTGCATCAGGTGGCCAAAGTATTGGCGCTTCAGACTCAGCATCAGTCCTTCCAATGAATATTCAAGACTGATTTCCTTTAGGATTGACTGGTTGGATCTCCTTGCAGTCCAAAGGGACTCTCAAGAGTCTTCTCCAACACCACAGTTCAAAAGCATCAATTCTTTGGCTCTCAGCCTTCTTTATGGTCCAACTCTCACATCCACACATGACTGCTGGAAAAATGAAAAACTACTGGAAAAACAAAGGTCTAACTATACGGACCTTTGTTGACAAAGTAATGTCTCTGCTTTTTAAAATGCTATCTAAGTGCTCGCTTCGGCAGCACATATACTAAAATTGGAACAATACAGAGAAGATTAGCATGGCCCCTGCGCAAGGATGACACGCAAATTTGTGAAGCGTTCTATATTTTTAAAATAAATAAATAAATAAATAAAATGCTATCTAAGTTTGTCATAGCTTTTCTTCCAAGAAGCAAAGCATCTTTTAATTTCATGGCTGCAGTCACCATCTGCAGTGATTTTGCTGTAAAGTAGGTGCTTGTTGTTTATTTTATATATAGCAGCTGTATCTGCTAATCTCAAACTCTTAATTTATCCCTGCCCTTTCCCCTTCTGGTAACCATGAGTTTTTCTTCTGGGTCTGTGATTCTATTTCTGCTTTGTAAATAAGTTTACTTGTGTAATTTTTCAAGATTCCATGTAAGTAATATCATATGATATTTGTCTTTCTCTCTGTGACTTCAGTTCAGTTCAGTCGCTCAGTCGTGTCTGACTCTTTGCAACCCCATGGACTGCAGCACGCCAGGCCTCCCTGTTCATCACCAACTCCCAGAGTTTACTCAAACTCATGTCCATTAAGTCGGTGATGCCACCCAACCATCTCATCCTCTGTCGAGTTACATAATCCTCTGTGTGACTTACTTAATATGATAATATCTAGGTTCATCCATGTTGCTGCAGATGGCGTTATTTCATTCTTTTCTACCACATCTTCTTTATCCATTCATGTTGATGAGCATTTAGGTTACTTCTATGTCTTGGTTATTGTAAATAGCACTGCTGTGAACACTGGGGTGCATGTATCTTCTCGAATCAGAATTTTTGTCTTTTGTAAGCATTCCTTTTTAACTTAATTGGTGAGTTGTTTAATGTCTGGCTCCCCCACTAGACAGTGGACCCTGAAACAGGATGAACACTAATTTGTTCTCAGGACCAAGCACACTGCTTGGCACCTACTTTAGAGGTTTAATAAATGTTGAATGATATTAGAAGATATTTGTAGAACTTTGTACCAGACATTGTGTTTCACGTTGACTACCTTATTGAATACAACAGTCCTGAGGGTGAAGTACTATCATGACTCCCAGTTAACAGATTAGGAAACTGAGTCTCAAAGAAGTTCACTCACACCGGTTCACATGGCTGAAACCTGGGGGATCCAGGCTGGCTGAATCCAGAGCCCAATCTCTTAGCTCTGCAATTGGCCAACTTCCCAAGGGAAGAACAGCTTCCAGGGTGCAAAGGGCCCTGGTGCCATTTTTTTTTAAAAACCATTTAAATATTATCCTCCCAGACATTGGGAGCTTTTGAAAACCCTCTATATGCCTCACCCTTTTTTTCCATTTCCTGTATTTCCCCTTCTCTCAGCTGCGGGAGACCATTGAGCAGGAGATTCGGGACATGGGCCTGCAGCCCACCCCATTCACCCTCACCAAGGTCATCCAGTTGTATGAAACCAAGAACTCCCGCCACTCCACCATGATCGTGGGCTGCACCGGCAGTGGCAAGACTGCCTCATGGCGGATTCTCCAGTCCTCCTTGTCCTCCCTGTGCCGCGCAGGGGAGCCCAACTTCAACATTGTCAGGGTGCGGAGCTGGGGCAGTGGGGCTGCTGTCTAAGACTTGAGTAGCAGGCAGGGGCACCAGGATGTAGGGAGGGCAGTACAGACCAGGAGGGAGGCCTGGGAGGGGTGAGAGAGACTGAAGCCGAATTCAAATACCTGGAAATAAAGGGAGTCTGGAAATAAAGGGACAGCCTGGGATTTGTGTCTGCCGGCAGCTCAAAACTCCCTTCCTTTGTCTATTTTAGGAGTTCCCTTTGAACCCTAAGGCACTGTCCCTAGGGGAGCTGTATGGGGAATATGACCTCAACACAAATGAATGGACGGATGGCGTCCTGTCCAGTGTCATGAGGACGGCATGTGCAGGTACCCAAGGGGTCGTGGGGTGGGGAGAGCAGATGCCTGAATTTCCTGAGGGGGTGGGCAGTGTGGGGATAGAAAACTCAATTTGGGGGGAGGGGAATGCTTGGGAGATGCAGAGATCCCAGGAAGCAACTGCTTGCGTCTCCAGGGAGATGATCATGGAGGGAGGGCGAGGTAACAAAGCTGTGGTTTCCTTCTCCTCCACCTCCTACCAAGACGAGAAACCAGATGAGAAGTGGATCCTTTTCGATGGCCCTGTGGACACTCTGTGGATTGAGAGCATGAACTCTGTCATGGATGATAACAAAGTGCTGACCCTCATCAACGGAGAGCGCATCGCGATGCCTGAGCAGGTTGGGGGTTGGGGGTGGAAACTGGAGGGCCCCGGGGCAGGGCTGAGGGGAAGAGCAGGGGCAAGAGAAAAGAGGAAGTTCTATAGGAACAAGGAAGAGGAGGAGGACACCAGGACGCAGGGCAACCTGAAACTGAAGAAGAGATGCCTGTCTGCCACGGACGCTGAGGACAATCGTATAGAGAACTGTGTACCAGGATGCGCTGTGGCAGAAACTAAGGAAACCTCATTGCCACTGACATATAGGGGAATGACCCGCCCTTGTGCACCTGGGCTATAATTTATGAGCTTTTGTAAAGAGCCCACCCTTTCGTACCCAATCAAACAATGTGAGGGGGAGAGAGACTTCTCATAAGGATGACCTTGAATAAGCCCTAATTTTTTAAAATAAGCAAATCATTTGTAAAGCTTAGGTCCTTATTCATCCTGCCACACGTGGTACTCAGCAGAGACACCTTGCAGCATCAGAATTCTGGGTGTTTTTACTACTGAGGGAAAGACAAGGTTCTGACCAAGTATATCTATAGGTGTCTCTCCTGTTCGAAGTGGAGAACTTGGCAGTGGCCTCCCCGGCCACCGTGTCTCGATGTGGGATGGTGTATACCGACTACACAGACCTAGGCTGGAAGCCCTATGTTCAGTCATGGCTGGACAAGAGGCCAAAGGTATGAAGGAGATGGAGGAGCAGAAAGTAACCAGTGGGGCCGCGGGGGTGGGAGCGGGTGCACAGAATAATTCAGAGCCCCTGCTCATTCAATACCAGGTGGAGGCTGAGCCCCTTCAGCACATGTTCGAAAAGTTCATCAACAAGATGTTGACCTTCAAGAAGGACAACTGCAATGAGCTGGTGCCCCTCCCAGAATACAGTGGCATCATCTCCCTCTGCAAGCTGTACTCCGCCCTGGCCACTCCGGAGAATGGGGTGAGAGGGGGCCAAGGCAGGAAGGGCTCTCAACCTCCTGGGAAAATGTCCGGGAAACTATGTGTCTGAGACGCAATTGGAATATGAGGCTTGAGTGGAGCAGAGACTCCAAGAGGAGGCCTCACCAATTGTGGAGGGGGCAAGGGTGTGTGTGAGGGTGTGTGTGTGCATGCGCACGCATGTCCATGTGGGCACACGCGCTGCGAGGCCAAACTATATATTTATATACAAATCAGATATAGAGCACAATGGGCCTCACTATAATTGCCTGCCTGTATTTAAGAGCTGAGGATAGTTCATTTGGTTCCTCATTTCTCCTTTCTTTCTGAAATTAAGTATTAAATCTTGGAATCTGTGAGCCCTTGGGGTAGTGTTTTTGCTGGGAGGAGCTCCCCAATTAGTCTGATGAGGGGCTTTAGAAATTTCCAGATTAACTGATATTGAAGAACATTTTTGTTTAGAATTATGGCATAAAGACCAAAATTGGATATTTTTCTGCTGAGATTAAATCACTGCCTAGAAATGATTCATATTGTTTTCAAGGGCATTGTCAGCTCATTCAACTATTAGTATACAGTTATATAACAATTAAGATCTATAATAGTATGTGTCATTCCCGGTATGATTAATATAAATTAAACCTATGTAGGTGAACTTACAAGGTGACGTGTGGGAAAATGATAGTAATGTAGTATCAATGGCACTCAAATGCTGAGGAGGACTGCTGGGGAAAGAAGGCTGATGAACAGAACAAAGAGAGAAGGGCAGTCTACGCAAACAGAATGACTTTTGCAGAAACACAGACAGGAGTTCCAGTCCCCCGCTGGGCAGGGTGGGCTGATGGGTGGTGTTGGCGTGCGGTACCTCTTAACTGTAGCAGAGACCCTGAGAAGGGGATCGTGAGATGTGTACAGGTGTGAGCTGGAAGGAAAGAATAAGGACTCTGGAATCAATACGGCAGACACCAGAGTCTCAGCACAATTTCCCGTGGTGCTTTTGTAGCTTAGTAGGTTTATGTAAATGTTTTGATTTAGGTTTCTCTACAACTACATGGTTTTCCAAACAGAACCAGGAAGGGAGGGAAATTTTAAGTCTTTGTGATGAGTTGCCAAAATAGATCCCTCCATCTCTCTCTCTCTCTCTTTTTTAAAAATATGTATTTATTTGGCTGTGTTGAGTTGCATGGGCTCTCTAGTTGTGGCACTCAGGCTTAGTTGCCCCACAGCATATGGGATCTTAGTTTCACAACCAGGGATCGAACCCAAGTCCCCTGAATTGCAAAGGAGATTCTTAACCACTGGACCATCAGGGAAGTCCCTCTCTCTCCCTCTTTTCTATTTACCTTTATGTAGCTTTAAAAACTTTTTTTAATTGAGGTATAATTGATTTACAATGTTGCATTAGTTTCAGGTGTATGGCAAAATGAATCTGCTATACAAATACATACTTCCACTCTTTCTCGATTCTTTCCCCATATAGGCCATTACAGAGTATTGAGTAGAGAGATCCTGTGCTACAGAGTAGAGCCTTGTTGCTTAGCTATTTTATATATAGTCATGTGTATATGTTAATTCCAACTTCCCAATTTTTCCCTCTCCCCAACCTTTTCCCTTCGGTAACCATATGTTTGTTTTCTATGAGTCTGTTTGTGTTTTATAAATAAGTTACTTTGTATCATTATTTTTTAGATTCTTCACATAAGTGATATTTGTTTTTCTTTGTCAGACTTACTGCACTTAGTATGATAATCTCCAGGTCCAACCATGTTGCTGCAAATGGGATCATTTCATTCTTTTTAAAGGCTGAGTAATACTCCAGTGTATATCTGTGTCAGGTCTTCTTTATCTAGTCCTCTGTCGATGGATATCTAGGTTGTTTCCACATCCTCGCTATTGTGAACAGTGCTGCAGTGAACATTGGGGTGCATGTATCTCTTCAAATTATGGTCTCCGTCTCTTATATTAATAGATTTAGGGTATTTCCTCTTCTCCTTTTCCATGCAGGTGAACCCAGCTGACAGTGACAACTTTGCCTCCATGGTAGAGCTGACATTTGTGTTCAGCATGATCTGGTCGGTGTGTGCCTCCGTGGATGAGGAGGGCCGCAAGAAGATCGACAGTTACCTCCGAGAGATTGAGGGCACTTTTCCCAATAAGGTCATGGCCCTCCAACCCAGCTGACTTGTTTTTCTATATCCTTGATCCTCAGGCATCTTGAGCCTCAGCCTGCCACACAGCTCTCTTTCTTCCTCCCAGTGATCTATGAGTGCTTTTTCTGGGCAGGGAAAGCCAAAGGCAGGCTTTGGTAATCTGACACACATTCCCTCCTCAGGACACAGTGTACGAGTATTTCGTGGACCCAAAGATGCGGAGCTGGACATCGTTTGAGGATAAGCTCCCTAAGAGTTGGCGCTACCCTCCAAAGTCAGAGCCAAGCCTGGGGGGCGGGTCAGGCTTGGGATTGCGTTGGGGGGAGATGTGGCAAGAGAGTTGAGATGACTTTCCAGGACAGGAAGCAGAAGATAGAGGAAATGGGACAGGGTCCCTGAGGAGAATGCCTGATCCACAGGCCCCACAGGAGGCAGGGTGGGTGATCAGAGAGCAGTGATGCCGGAGGAAGAGTGGGGAGCAGAAGGAAGCGGGAGTTAGAAAAGAGTGGGCCATGATCTTGAGACATAGTCCCTTTCCCCACCCCCAGCTCCCCCTTCTATAAGATCATGGTGCCCACTGTCGACACTGTCCGCTACAACTACCTGGTGAGCACCATGGTGGCCAGCCAGAACCCCGTGCTGCTGGTGGGTCCTGTGGGAACTGGAAAGACCTCCATCGCCCAGAGTGTCCTGCAGTCCTTGCCCTCCAGCCAGTGGTCAGTGCTCACAGTCAACATGTCTGCACAGGTGTGTGGCAGGACCCGGGGCCAGGTTGCCAGCTCCTGCTCTCTCCCTGTCTCTGCTCCCCTTTGGGAGCCAAGTGCCCGCTGGACATGCCTCTCTAATCTTGGATTTCTCTCTCGGGATCCAAGCATTCATTCTGTACCTTTCCCACCAGACCACATCCAATAATGTGCAGAGCATCATTGAGAGCAGGGTGGAGAAGCGAACCAAGGGTGTCTATGTGCCTTTCGGAGGCAAAAGCATGATCACCTTCATGGATGACCTCAATATGCCAGCCAAGGACACGTTTGGGTCCCAGCCCCCGCTGGAGCTGATTCGCCTCTGGATTGACTATGGCTTCTGGTATGATCGAACGAAGCAGACCATCAAGTACATTCGAGTAAGCATCCGGAGAATCTGTTCTTCGAGTCTCTGTTCCTTCCCATGATGGGTTCTGTCCCTGCTCCACTGGGACCCCAGGATAAAGTCCTGTAAGCCTGTGTTCCTCCCCACAGAGGAGGGTCCTGCCTTTCTTAGGACCCAGACATCTGGCTCCTCGGTTATCAATTCCTGTCGATAACTCTCTTCATTGACTGCCCTGTGCTTTGTGACCAAGGGAGCCTGTCCTCCAACTTCCACTCCTTTCCCAGGCCTCTTACACTTCACTTCCATGGCAATGCTGATGCCAACCAGAGCTGCCCACAACACCCCTCTCCAGGCCTCTCCGCCTCCCATTGTTTCAGGAACCACCTCCCTGGTACCAGTTCTCCGCTCCCCACCCAGGATCCAGGAATCTCCTGTCAGTCCTGGCTGTTCTCCCACGGGATCCTGAGCATCTCGTTTCTTTTTTCCTGAATCAGTGGGCAGTCATTTCAGCCTGATTTCTGGGGCGCTCATCTATCTGACACTCAGGGTCCAAAACTCAACTAATAATAGATTCATATGTTTCAGAGAAAGAACATACATATACAGATGCAAGTATATATTAATATATATATTAAAATAGAAGAAAATGTCCAGAAGATGTTATCAAATGTGTGTGTGTTTGTTTTTTTTTTAACTTACCTCTATTTTCCAAGTTGGGAACATGAATTATAATGATGAAATAAGAATAAATAGGGAATTCCCTGGCAGTCCAGTGGTTAGGACTCAGCACTCCCACTGCCAAGGACCTAGGTTCAATCCCTGGTCAAGGAACTAAGATCTCACATGCTGAATGGGACGGCCAAAAAAAGAGAAAGAAATAAGAACAAATTAGTTGCCTTAGTAACTCTATGGACATTAAAAACATCTCAAACCCCTCACCTTTCCCTGCCCCCATTATTCCATGTTTCTTCCTGTTCTTCCCTCTTCCTGTTTGTCCCTCCATCCCCTCTCTTCCTCCTGGCTCCTTTCACATCCTCCCTATTTCTTTGCCCCTCTTCTTCCCCTCCTCCTGCCTGTCTCCCCCTACCCCACCCACCCTATCTGGTCTTTGCTGTCTAGGACATGTTCCTGATGGCTGCCATGGGCCCTCCTGGGGGTGGACGGACGGTCATCTCCCCAAGGCTGCAGAGTCGATTTAACATCATCAACATGACCTTCCCCACGGTGAGGGCATCCTGGGGGCTGGGGGAGGGGCTGTGGAAGGCAAAACAACCCGTGTCCTGGAGAACAAGGGCGCAGATCACAAGCTGCATCCAGGGAGCTCTGATACTTGGAAGGAAGACTCTCTGCTCTCTGCAGGCACCTTTGCCTCTGCTGAGCTGGCTCTGGCGTGTAAAACCTGACAGTCCCAGTGGGCACAGAGTGGGGCCTGAGCAGATTAAGGAAGGCACGCCCTCCAAAGAGGAGACTAGAGCAGCTAGGGGAGAACCCAGGGGTGTCCCCAAACCTCAGAAATCAAGATAAATAATATTTTAATGCAATATTTAAAAAAATCAATACCAAAATTCAGGATGAACAAAACACCAATGTTTTAAACAAATACAAGATCAGTATAGTTCCATGCTGAGCTACATGAGAGCCCAAGGCAAAAGGAAAAACCAACAGTATGGATCCCGTCTTTATTTAAAATGTTCGCATCTGTTCATCATGGACAGTTTGCATTAATTCTGATTTTTAAATATTACACTAAAGCATGACTTCTCTTGATTTCTGAGGGGTTTTTTGCGCCCCCCCCCCCCACTCTGCTCCCAAGTGCTTTACTCCACTGACCCGAGTCCCCGCCTTGGCTGAAAGGCCAGGAGCTGCGAGATTGAGTCTGAGGGCCTGTTTCTAGGAGTCCCAGATCATCCGGATATTTGGCACCATGATCAACCAGAAGCTCCAGGACTTTGAGGAAGAGGTGAAACCCATTGGGAACGTGGTGACCGAGGCCACCTTGGACGTGTACAATACTGTGGTGCAGCGCTTCCTGCCCACACCCGCCAAGATCCACTACCTCTTCAACCTTCGAGACATCTCCAAGGTGAAACTCCATCTGACCCTGCCCCTGGGCCAAGCACAGCCTCCTTGGAGGTATTCTCCCCTCCTCAAAGTAAGCCCTGGAGTGTGGGAGCATCCCACACACCCCAAATCACCCCATCCTGGAATGCCACTTCCTCTATAACTTCTGGAGGGACCCTCTTCCCTACCTCCATCCCACTAGCCACGCCCCTCTCCTAGGTGTTCCAGGGCATGCTGAGGGCCAACAAGGACTTCCACGATACCAAGTCCAGCATCACCCGACTTTGGATCCATGAATGCTTCCGGTGAGGGTGCTGTGCCCCGCCAAATCCAGGCCACCCCAAGCCCAAGCCTCTACTCTCCCATCCCCACCTCCTGCTCCCCTCCCCAGGGCCACACTCTCTTCAATCCCAGATCTCACCCCAGCTCCCTCCCAACAGAGTCTTTTCTGACCGACTGGTTGATGCCGCAGACATGGAAGCCTTCGTGAGCATCCTAAGTGACAGACTTGGCTCCTTCTTTGACCTGACGTTTCATAACCTGTGTCCCAACAAACGTTCTCCCATCTTTGGTGAGCTAGAAGAGGTGGCCCCTGTAGGCTGCAGATACTTAGGAGATGGGTTAGAAGAAGAGGCAGGGCACTGGGGGGGGGGGCAGGGAGGAAAGGGCCCTCTGGGGAAGCCTGGGGAGGACCAGGCATTTGGAATCTGCCCCCTCTTCCCATGGCCCAGGGGACTTCCTGCGGGAGCCCAAGGTGTACGAGGACCTGACGGATCTGACGGTCCTGAAGACAGCCATGGAGACGGCACTCAACGAATACAACCTGTCACCTGCTGTCGTGCCAATGCAGCTGGTGCTCTTCCGAGAGGCCATCGAGCACAGTGAGCACTTCCTGTTCCCGGCCCTTCTCCAGCATCCCAGTGACAGGGTACTCCAAGGAAATGGGGATCTCTTCCCAGATCTTTCCCAAATTGAGCCCCAGAAGTTGCCCTCATCCCTGACCCCAGATGCGCTTGTGTCCGTGGCAGACATTTTCTTTGATGATCGTATTTAACAGACATGGTGAAGGTTGAATGTTGAATTGCTACCCGAGCTTCAGGCACTGACCTCTTCCCACACTGGTGGGTCCCTCTACTGCAGCGTCAGGCGTCCCAGCCCCCAGCCTAGGGCCTGGAGGTCCCCTGAGCTTGCTCAGCCAACTCATTCTCCTCCCTCTTTCCCTCCAGTCACACGGATCGTGCGGGTCATTGGACAGCCTCGGGGCAACATGCTCTTGGTGGGCATTGGGGGCAGTGGGCGGCAGAGTCTGGCCCGCCTGGCCTCATCCATCTGCGAGTACATCACCTTCCAGATTGAGGTCACCAAACATTACCGGAGGCAGGAATTCCGAGATGGTAAGGCTGGGTTTCTGAGACGGAAGTGGGTTTGGGGCTGAGAGCAGAAATAGCAGGAGGGAGGGAAGCCAGGTAGGGAGGATGGTGTCCTGTATGTGTCCCTGGCTGGGGGAGGGCTTTCTAATCAATAGAAGAGGAAAGACAGACAAAAGGGTGAATCTGAAAGGTCTCTGTCTCCTCTGGCCCAGATATCAAGCGTCTGTATCGCCAGGCTGGGGTGGAGCTCAAGGCCACGTCCTTCCTTTTCGTGGACACCCAGATTGCTGACGAATCATTCCTAGAGGACATCAACAACATCCTTAGCTCGGGCGAGGTCCCCAATCTCTATAAGGCGGATGAATTTGAAGAGGTGCGATGCTTCTACACCCACTACCAGTTGATTCCGGCTTTCCTAAGTCCAGAGGATGCCGCTGTTGCGCCCCTTCTCCAGCTCCCCCATTAGGTGGAAGAACTGTTCCTCTTGGGCCTTCTTCCCTCCCCGGACCTTGGTGGGCAGAGCGGCCTTAAAACCCACACCCCGTGTCCCGCGCTGTTCCCTCGTCCCTCCTGCCCTGGGTGCTGTCCTGGAAACCTCCGCCCTCTGACTGGCGCTGGCACTCACCAGATCCAGACGCTCATCATAGACCAGGCGCGCGCTGAGCAGGTGCTGGAGTCCTCGGACAGCCTCTTCACCTACCTCATCGAGCGCGTGCGGAACAACCTGCACATCGTTCTCTGCCTCAGCCCCGTGGGCGACCCCTTCAGGTGACTCGCCTGTCGGCCTTCTTCTCCCTCGGGAGTTGGGGGGTGGGGGTGGGGAGGCACTCTTCCCCGCTCCTGGTCTCCCTGCCTTCTGCGTTCAAGACTCTGGGGTAGCGCCAGCCTGTCCCGCCGCGCCACACGCGTCTCCCCTTCTCCTTGTCGCAGCCTGCGCCAGGGCGTGCTTTGGCCTGCGGGATCTTTAGTTGTGCCGTGTGGGATCTAGTCCCCTCACCAGGGATAAAACCTGGGCCCCCTGCGTTGGAGGCGCATAGTCTTAGCCACTGCACCACCAGGGAAGTCCCAGCCTGTGCCTGCTTTCAGCGAGTTCCTGTTACTTACATGGGACTCACCCTCTCCTTTTTGGTAGATCAGTTTTGTTTATTTTTCTGGAAGGTGAAGGCTGTTTCTTCTTTTTCTTTCGTTTTCAAGTTTTTAATTGTGGTTTAAAAAAACCTTAAATTTTTCCATTTTAACTGTTTTTTTTTAAGGGTTTTTTTTTCATTTATTTTTATTAGTTGGAGGCTAATTACTTTACAATATTGTAGTGGGTGTTGTCATACATTGACATGAATCAGGCATGGATTTACATGTATTCCCCATCCCGATCCCCCCTCCCACCTCCCTCTCCACCCGATCCCTCTGGGTCTTCCCAGTGCACCAGGCCCGAGCACTTGTCTCATGCATCCAGCCTGGGCTGGTGATCTGTTTCACTCTTGATAATATACATGTTTCGATTCTGTTCTCTTGAAACATCCCACCGTCGCCTTCTCCCACAGAGTCCAAAAGTCTGTTCTATACATCTGTGTCTCTCTTTCTGTTTTGCATATAGGGTTATCGTTACCATCTTTCTAAATTCCGTATATATGTGTTAGTATACTGTAATGGTCTTTATCTTTCTGGCTTACTTCACTCTGTATAATGGGCTCCAGTTTCATCCATCTCATTAGAACTCATTCAAATGAATTCTAAAAAGAATGGCTGAGTAATATTCCATTGTGTATATGCACCACAGCTTCCTTATCCATTCGTCTGCTGATGGGCATCTAGGTTGCTTCCATGTCCTGGCTATTATAAACAGTGCTGTGATGAACATTGGGGTGCACGTGTCTCTTTCAGATCTGGTTTCCTTGGTGTGTATGCCCAGAAGTGGGATTGCTGGGTCATATGGCAGTTCTATTTCCAGATTTTTAAGAAATCTCCACACTGTTCTCCATAGCAGCTGTACTAGTTTGCATTCCCACCAACAGTGTAAGAGGGTTCCCTTTTCTCCACACCCTCTCCAGCATTTATTGCTTGTAGACTTTTGGATAGCAGCCATCCTGACTGGCGTGAGATGGTACCTCATTGTGGTTTTGATTTGCATTTCTCTGATAATGAGTGATGTTGAGCATCTTTTCATGTGTTTGTTAGCCATCTGTATGTCTTCCTTGGAGAAATGTCTGTTTAGTTCTTTGGCCCATTTTTTGATTGGGTCATTTATTTTTCTGGAGTTGAGCTGAAGGAGTTGCTTGTATATTTTTGAGATTAATCCTTTGTCTGTTGCTTCGTTTGCTGTTATTTTCTCCCAATCTGAGGGCTGTCTTTTCACCTTGCTTATAGTTTCCTTTGTTGTGCAAAAGCTTTTAAGTTTCATTAGGTCTCATTTGTTCATTTTTGCTTTTGTTTCTAATATTCTGGGATGTGGGTCATAGAGGATCCTGCTGTGATTTATGTCGGAGAGTGTTTTCCTATGTTCTCCTCTAGGAGTTTTATAGTTTCTGGTCTAACGTTTAGATCTTTAATCCATTTTGAGTTTATTTTTGTGTATGGTGTTAGAAAGTGTTCTAGTTTCATTCTTTTACAGGTGGTTGACCAGTTTTCCCAGCACCACTTGTTAAAGAGGTTGTCTTTTTTCCATTGTATATCCTTGCCTCCTTTGTCAAAGATAAGGTGACCATAGGTTTGTGGATTTATCTCTGGGCTTTCTATTCTGTTCCATTGATCTATATCTCTGTCTTTGTGCCAGTACCATACTGTCTTGATGACTGTGGCTTTGTAGTGTAGTCTGAAGTCAGGCAGGTTGATTCCTCCAGTTCCATTCTTCTTTCTCAAGATTACTTTGGCTATTCGAGTTTTTTTGTATTTCCATACAAATTTTGAAATTATTTGTTCTAGTTCTGTGAAAAATACCGTTAATAGCTTGATAAGGATTGCATTGAATCTATAGATTGCTTTGGGTAGTATAGCCATTTTGACAATATTGATTCTTCCAATCCATGAACACGGTATATTTCTCTGTTTGTGTCCTCTTTGATTTCTTTCATCAGTGATTTATAGTTTTCTATGTATAAGTCTTTTGTTTCTTTAGGTAGATATACTCCTAAGTATTTTACTCTTTTTATTGCAATGGTGAATGGTATTGTTTCCTTAATTTCTCTTTCTGTTTTCTCATTGTTAGCGTATAGGAATGCAGATTTCTGTGTGTTAATTTTATATCCTGCAACTTTACTATATTCGTTGATTAGCTCTAGTAATTTTCTGGTAGAGTCTTTAGGGTTTTCTATGTAGAGGATCATGTCATCTGCAAACAGAGAGAGTTTCACTTCTTCTTTTCCTATCTGGATTCCTTTTACTTCTTTTTCTGCCCTGATTGCTGTGGCCAACACTTCCAAAACTATGTTTAAGTACATTCACACTGCTATGCAGCAGATCCCCAAAGTCTTGTGTAGGACTGTAACTGGATACCCAGTGGGAACTGCCCACTTCTCCCACCACCCCCAGGCCTTGGTAGCCACCCTTCTACTTTTGGTTTCTGTGAATGACCACCCCTAGATACCTTATAGAAGTGGAATTATGCAGTATTTGTCATTTTGTGACTGGCTTATTTCACTTAGCATAACGTCTTCAAAGTTTATCCATGTAGCCAGCATCAGAATCCCCTTCCCCTTTAAGGTTGAATAATATTCCCTGTGTGTCTGCACCACATGGGATCCATTCTCCGTATTTGCAAGGGCATCAGAAAGGAGGGGAAGGACAGAGAACTTATGCAGAGAGGCAGTTGGGGTCACCAGTTTGTTTATCTTTGAATATTTTTGGCTTGTGGTGTGTTCACCATGTACCAAGCTCTGGGCTAAGCATCCTTCATGTGTCACCCATTGAATCCCCTAACAACTCTAGTTAGTATGCTTTGTTATTCATTATTCGAGGTGAGGAAACTGATGTTCAAAAGGTTATGCCACTTGTCCAAGATCCATATTTGGTTGGTGTGAAACTGGCTCTTTCTGACCCCTGAAGCTGTTTCTAAATCCTGCACCAAATCAGCTTTGAGGGGAGAGGAATCTGGACAAGGTGACACAGGAGCACAAAGATGGGACTTCGGGGTTCCTAGGGAATGAGTGAACCTGTGGCAAAGACTGTCGCTGAAGGCCAAGTCTGCGAATGGACTTAACTGCCTCTCACAACCCCCGCCAGGAACTGGATCCGCCAATACCCAGCCTTGGTGAACTGCACAACCATTAACTGGTTCTCAGAGTGGCCACGCGAGGCCCTGCTGGAGGTGGCTGAGAAGTACCTGATGGGAGCCGATCTGGGGACCCAGGAGAACGTGAGGCCCTCCTCCCCATCTCTCTTCACCCCCCTGCACCCCCACCCATTTCCAATCTCTGTTTGCCTCTACTCCTGCCCTGTCTCATAACCTCTATGCATCGACCTCAGATCCACAAGAAAGTGGCCCAGATATTCGTCACCATGCACTGGTCAGTGGCCACATATTCCCAGAAGATGCTGTTGGAACTTCGGAGACACAACTACGTCACACCCACTAACTACCTGGAACTTGTGTCTGGATATAAAAAGTATGGTGGAAGAGTAGGGGGCACAGAGGGCCTGGGAACTTGGTGGATTTTTTGGTTTTGTTTTGGTTGCATCTTGTGGCATGTGGGATCTTAGTTCTCTGACTGGGGATGGAACCCATGCTCTCTGCAGTGAAAGCACAGAGTCCTAACCACTGAACTACTGGGGAATTCCCAGGAGCTTGGTGTCTTTTGAGGGCTATTGGTGAAATGATGTCTTGGAAGATGTCCAGGAGCTGGTCAAGGGGACCGACTCGAGGACTGGGATCTGAGGGCAGAGAGGCAGGGGGCTTGTTTCTGTCCAGGAAATTAAACCAAGAGAGGGGTTCCAGGGGACGTGGCCATCTCAGGGGCCCTCTGGCTGTGACCCCTTTATATACCTCTGTGTCCTTATCTCCTGGAATAATGATGTCCCTGATCCCAACCACATTGCAACTGTGACATTGTATCATGGGTATATTTGGCAATATATATCCTCTTCTCTCTGCCTTTAATATCTTCTAGACTTTCCACCATTCCCAAGTTATATATTCATTCATTAAGTTGTATTTGACTATCTTTTTATGTGCACAACACAATAATTTGCTTTGAAGGATATAAGAAAAAGGTAAAAAAAAAAAAAACCTCTTGTTTATTGGATTTAGTATTTCAATCAAGGTGAAGAAAAAGCCATTTGTAGTAATAATGATAGCCAACATTCATTCATTCATTTAACAAGTATTTTTAGCATGTACTCTGTGCCAAGAACTATTTTAGATACTTGTAATATATATGCCAGTTAACAAAATTAAATCCTTGCTTTCCCTGGGCCCATAGGTTTCCATCCTGTTTATGATTTCCCCGTCACTGTGTTAAGCAATTTACATGCACGTGCCTACGTGCTCAGTCACTCAGTCATGTCTGACTCCGACCCCATGGACTGTAGCCTGCCAAGGCTCCTTTGTTCTTGGAATTTTCCAGGCAAAAATACTGGAGTGGATTACCATTTCCTACTCAAGCAAATCTTCCCGACCCAGGGATCAAACCCTCATCTCTTGTGTGTCCTGCACTGGCAGGCAGATTCTTTACCACTGCACCACCTGGGAAGCCCATATTTAGTATTTAATTCAGAAAACAATCTTTCTTAGACATTTTTGGGTGGACTGCACAATATTAAAACTTTGTGAATGAGTTGCCAACATTTAAAACCTGAAGCCTTGGAAACCTCCAGATTTCCAGTCTGTCTTGAAACATCAGAAATTGTGGCAGTACAATTCCACACTCACTCTCAAATGGAAAAAACCAGGCTGAAGCCCAGGGCTTTGTCCACAAAGGTCTGTCTAGTCAAGGCTATGGTTTTTCCAGTAGTCATGTATGGTTGTGAGAGTTGGACTATAAAGAAAACTGAGCACTGAAGACTTGATGCTTTTGAACTGTGGTGTTGGAGAAGACTCTTGAGAGTCCCTTGGACTGCAAGGAGATCCAACCAGTCCGTCCTAAAGGAGATCAGTCCTGGGTGTTCATTGGCAGGACTGATGTTGAAGCTGAAACTCCAATACTTTGGCCACCTGATGTGAAGAGCTGACTGATTTGAAAAGACCCTGATGCTAGGAAAGATTGAGGGCAGGAGGAGAAGGAGATGACAGAGGATGAGATGGTTGGATGGCATCACTGACTCAATGGACTTGGGTTTGGGTAGACTCCGGGAATTGGTGATGGACAGGGAGGCATGGCATGCTGTGGTTCATGGGGTCACAGAGTCGGACATGACTGAACTGAACTGAACTGAAGCCCAGGGGTGGCCACCTCCTTGAGAGAAGTTGGTTCCCTGCAGCCCCGCTGCCTGCTGCACAGTGGGGAATTGCTGCACAATAGAAAGGCCTCAGATAGGGAAGTGGTACAATGAAAACGGTAGCCAGCACGCCAACTCTGACAACGGTGTGTAGAATAAATGAGAGGGATGAGAGTCCGGAAACAGGAAGACCAGTTGGGGGGCTGTTGGCAATGATCCAGGCAAGGAAATGATAGAGATCTGACTAGGGTGGTGGTGGTGGCAACAAGCAGAAAGTCAGAGACCAGGGCCACGCTGGGAAGGGAGGCTACACGGGCCTCTCCTTTCTGGGGGCCCAGCCTCCTGGGGTTCCTGATCCTACTCTGTCCCCTAGGTTGCTGGCGGAGAAGCGGCAGGAGCTGCTGGACCAGGCCAATAAGCTGAGGACAGGGCTGTTTAAGATCGATGAAACTAGGGAAAAGGTGGAAGTTATGTCCTTGGAGCTGGAGGATGCCAAGAAAAAGGTGGCTGAGTTCCAGAAGCAGTGTGAGGAGTACCTGGTCATCATCGTGCAGCAGAAGCGGGAAGCGGATGAGCAGCAGAAGGTGCCCCCACCCCTCCCAGATCGTCCCTGTCCCTCACATCCCCTATTCCCTGTGCCCACCGGGCCGAGGGGCTTCCCAGCCTCCATCAGTTATAGGTCAGGGGGTGCCAGTTCCACTCCTCAAGTCTTCTTTAGCTTTCTCTTGCATCATTACCACTAGCACCATCACCCCCACTTCTGCTCAAGGTGAAGACAAAACCCTTCTCTTATCCCTAGGCAGTCACAGCCAATAGCGAAAAGATCGCAATTGAGGAAGTCAAGTGCCAGGCACTGGCTGACAATGCCCAGAAGGATCTGGAAGAGGCATTACCAGCCCTGGAAGAGGCCATGCGGGTATCAGGATGGGAAGGCGCAGGAAGGAGACTGGGCTGGCCTTCCTTGTTCTCAAAGTCCCCTTGGAAGGGAGGAGAAGAGGGGAACTTCAGCTAAGTCCTGTCTCCATAAAGGATCCGTCTTGCCACCTGAGTTGACTCTGGTTCTCAAGTTCATCCCTTTTCTCAGGCCCTGGAGTCTCTGAACAAGAAGGACATAGGAGAGATCAAGTCTTACGGACGGCCCCCAGCCCAGGTGGAGATGGTGTTGCAGGCAGTCATGATCCTTCGAGGCAATGATCCCACCTGGGCAGAGGCCAAGAGGCAGCTAGGTGAGCCAGGAAACCGGAAGGTAATTTATGCCAGTCCACCCAGCATTCCTCTGATCATCTCCTGGGTGTCAGGTGCTCAGAGAGACAGAGATGAAGGATGCACTGTGCCCATTCTCAAAGCACAGAGCCTGGTGGGGAAGAGGAGGCATAACCATCAGGTAAGGTCTTCGGTTGTAGGTAACTCATCTTCATTTAAGCAAACGAAAGAAAAAAGAAAGAGGGACTTCCCTGGTGGTCCAGTGGTTAAGACTGCGCTTCCAGTGAAGGGGAGTGGGTTCAGTCATTCATCAGAGGATCCCACATGCACCATGACTCAGCCACACACACACACACACACCCAAAGGGAGATGTTGTCGTAAGGATATTGGAATGTATTGCAGAATCTAAGGACAGGAGTGCCTTTGCTACCCCCCCCCCCGCCCCCCGCAAAAGGACAAGAATCAGAAAAGGGAAAACAAGGGTCTCTTTTACTCTTGTGATATTTTTCCTGCTCTGAGTTCTGTTGGTGGAATGTAGCCTGTAAGCTATAGTTTGGTGACCCCTGCCCTAGAAGAAGGTGCAAAGTATATAGACAGAATGGTGTGTGGGATGGGTGGTCAGGCTGAGAGGGTGGAAGGTATGTGATGGGAGAAGAGGCTGGGGAGGTTGTGGAGGCTCTGGGAGCCTCAAGGGTCTAGATGAGGGAGCACGGCCAGTGGAGGGACTGTGGGATGAGGTCAGGCCTTGGGAACTGAGCCCGGGGAGCACGTGGCTGTGCCTGAGCGGTGGAGGTAAGCCCCCAGTCTTCATCCCCCAGGGGAACAGAACTTCATCAAGTCACTGATCCACTTCGATAAAGACAATATCTCAGACAAGGTCCTGAAGAAGATCGGAGCCTACTGTGCCCAGCCCGACTTCCAGCCTGACATCATCGGCCGCGTGTCACTGGCCGCCAAGTCTCTCTGCATGTGGGTTCGGGCCATGGAGGTAGGCGGTGACAGGCGGGGTGGGAGCAGTGAGGCCAGGTGGGAGGAGGGGGATGGAAGGCTCATGGCAGGTGAGTGGGTGGCGAGTGAGAGGGTGCCTGCTGTCTCCCCGCAGCTCTACGGGCGGCTGTACCGGGTGGTAGAGCCCAAGCGGATCCGCATGAATGCCGCGTTGGCCCAGCTTCAGGAGAAGCAAGCGGCCCTGGCCGAGGCTCAGGAGAAGCTGCGTGAGGTGAGCTTCGTACCTATGTTTTCCGTTTTCTGAGGTGGTAGCTCTCCCAGATTTCGATTTATATGATGCTTTCTTTCTGTTTATTTCTCACTAATTTTACCCCCTCCTCCTTATAGTCCTGTCTGCCTCCCACTCTGTGCCTTGTTTAGATGGCTGCCTCTGGCTCGAAAGCTAAGTCAGTTGAGAGGGTTACAAAGGCACAGGGGCGCTGTCTCCAGGGAGCCCTTCCCACAACTGACCTGGAGCTGGCAGTGTTCGCCATCCTTTGTTGGGGCCCTTTGGAGAAGGACCTTGAGACAGTAACTGATGAAATCTGTGTAGCAAATGGGTCTTTGCTCAGGGGATGGGGCTAGGATGTCACATTGCTGCTTGGACCTGGAGGAATATGAGGGTGTTGGAGCCTGAGGTTGTCGTCTGGAGGTAGAGAGGGTTATTTCCTGTGAGAGGGCTAGATAATCCAGAAGGTGCTCTCCTACCAGATACATGCACGAGTAACTCTCCTATCAGGCAGAATATAAGTGCTATTATCAAGAGTTCAAAATTCTTCTAGTCTATCATTTAATTTTCTATCATTGATTTAATAGGTAGTATAAATATATCCACATGGTTTGAAATTCAAAAAGACAAAAGCAGTAAGAATTCTCCCTTTCACCTTCTGTTCTCTCATCACTAGCTCCCCTCCCTTGAAAGTAACTTCTGCCTTCCAATGCAGGGGACACGGGTTTGATCCTGGATCAGGGAACTAAGATCCCACATGCTTCAGGGTAACTAAGCCCATGTGCTGCAACCAAGATCCCGCGTCCACACACACATACACACAAAGAAGATCCCGTTCTGACCCATTTCTGAGGTTTCTAGGGCAGTTTCCAAACCAGGGGTCCCTAACCTTTGCTGTGTGTCAGAATCGGACCTAGGGAAAATATATATTTTCAGAGATCCAAGCAAATGAGTAATGGTTAAAATTATTTACTCAAGATTTGGATTGAAATGTAATATAGCTGGACTCTGGGCCTCTTCCCAGACCTCTAGTCCTGTGTTCAGTGTTTCTCACCTCTGGGTTACTCTGACGGGAAAGAAGGCTTCAAACAGCTGATTTCCAGGCTCCCCCAGAGATTCTTACTTAGTTGGCCTGGTAGGAGCCCAGGGTCAGCACAGTGCTAGCTGCAAGCAGGTGGCTCAGCATGCCTGATTCTGAAGTTCTATTGAAAGCTGTATTTGCATCTTACACTTTCAGTAACAAAGGAGAAATTTCAGTTCCCTGTTTGCTTACTCTTACCAACTAGAGGTCCTCAAGAAGTGGTGTGAGATCCCCCACCAGAGACGTAATATGAGGTGCCCTACAAGTGCTTCTCCCAAGAATGACTCTGTTGGCAGCTGACCCTACAGGCCCATTTTTTTTCCACATGTGAAGGGGACAACCCGTAATTTGGCCCAGGATATGATTCATCCAGAGGTGAGAAACCTTTCCTAATGGATGGCCATACCAGTGAGTGTTTAGGCTTGAAAAATAGAGAGTAAAAGAGTGAAGATTTCAAGAGAGGTTGAGAGGTAATGATGAACCGAGGTGGTGGGGAATTGGAATCAGGAGGCAGGGTTCTATCCCCATTGCCGGCAGTAACCAGCAAGTCACTTAATCCCACTAAATCTTGGGCATTGGAAGGTACATTCTTAACCTCTGGACCACCAGGGAAGTCCCAGAACAGACTCTTCACCCACCACAGAACTCTTAATTAAGGCCACCCTTGCAGACTACATCTCTCCCCTGCCCAAGCCCCATTTCCTAGAAATTGCCCTGCTTCAAACATCCTGTTTCTATAGAGAAAGCCACTCATTCATGGACAAAGCTACAGCCACCTGCCAAGGTCAAAATAACACAGGGTTGGCCTAAAGACTTTCACTGAAGTCATAGAAGTTAAAAGTCAACCACACAAGTGTAAAAACCCACTGGGCCTAACATGAGCCTTACTCACCTTACTCACCTTACTCACCTTACTCAGAACACCTGTCCATATGCTGCAGTCTGATCAGGAAACCCCCAGCACTGTCAAAAATGTCTTGGGGGGTTTTCGGGTCTGCATAAATGTATACTCTCTCTTTTTTTGAACCTGTGCCATTGTTTTTTTCATTTTCTCTTTTTTTCCATTTTTTGGTCATGCCATGTGGGTTGTGGGATCTTAGTTACCCAACCAGGGATCAAACCCACACACCCTGCATGGGAAGAATGGTGTCTTAACCACTGGACTGCCGGGAAAGTCCAAAAGGTATACTCTTGAAAGGATCTGAGAATTAGTAGTCTTATTCTATGCCCGAGTTCTAAGCAAATTGAGAAATAAAAGGCATTTGGCCAAAATATCACCTATAAAGGCTAGGCTGGAGGATGTGGAAGATGTCTGTGAGCAAGTGGCCCTCCTAGTAGGGACCCCCATCTTCAGACAGACTTACCTGGTCTTGGGCGTTGTTGGGGGGGCAGAGTGGGACTTGTGCTCACCCTTAAAAAGAAAGGGTCTGAGCTCAGTTGAGCATTCCGTTTACTCTTTCCAATTTTACCAGTCAGATCAGTCACCACCTCCCCTGGAGAAGGGTAAGAGAAAGTCCTGGAGGAAGTCTTCCAACACACAAGGGAATGACCAAGACAAAAAATTGTAACAAGCCGTGACCCCAAAGGAAAAAAACCCAGAGAAAATTCAGGTTATGGAGAAAAGTTGAAAAAAGCAGACCTCATCTAATTAGTATCATCAGAGAGAGTGATTAAGAAAGAAATGACATCCACAGAACAAAAATAGGATGATAAAAGGCCAAATGAAAAGAATTCTGGGAAATTTAAAAATGATCAAAGTGTGACATTCGGTAGAAGGGTGGGAGGACAACATCTCAGAACATAATACAAAAATCAAAACCAGAGACAGAAAACAGAAGAGAGAGAGGAGACAGAGCCAACCCCTAAGAATTTCTGAAAGAAAAAACACATCATCAGGGATAATAGAAAAAGTATTTAATAACCGGTTCGGTCCACACAGTAACCTGTCTGAGTGTGTCTCACCATGAGCAGCCCAGCCTGGTTCACACTGGGCACCAACCCGGATCATGATGACATTGACGCTGTTTGTTAGCATTTGACCTTTATAATCAGTCTAGAGACGGAGCACAGAAGACCCAGTGTGGCCTCTGAATGTCAACCTCAACGATGTAAAAATAAAAGTACCGCCTAAAAATTGGGGAAGTGGACACAGCTGGGAAAGACAGGGCAGAGCTTTTGCAGCAGATAAAAGGGAACACAGTTTTAACGTGTTGGGACTTTCCAGTTGTTAAGATTCTGCACTTCCACTGCAGGGGGCACAGGTTTAACCCCTGATCCCTGGTTGGCAAACTGAGATCCCACATGCCTTGCACAGTGGCAATAAACAAACAAACAAAATATAAATTTATTACTTATAACACTAGATGTTATTTGACATTATATAAAGGTAGCCAGTAGGAGAGATAAAACTATTAGGAAATTTTGAGAGATCGTGTGTGCTTGCTAAGTAGCTTCAGTCATGTCCAACTCTTTGTGACCCTATGAACTGTAGCCGGCCAGGCTCCTCTGTCCATGGGATTCTCAATGCAAAAATATTGGAGTGAGTTGCCGTGGCCTCCTCCAGGGAATCTTCCCAACCCAGGGATTGAACCTGCCTCTTTATGTCTCCTGCACTGGTGGGTGGGTTCTTTACCACTAGTGCCACCTGGGAAGCCCTTGAGAGATTCTAAATGCCCTTGAAGTGGTCTTTGTGGGTGTGAAACAAATGGTGAGAATTTTAATTGGTCCCTCTTATTATAGTATTGAAATGAAGTCCACTTAATTTATCAAGTCATGTTCATGTTCTGATTTTTATAACTTGTATCTATCAATAAACATTGTGATACTTGGGGAAAAAAAGAAAAAACTGCTAGATGTAGAGATAAAGGGATGAGGTGTGTTGATATAAGGGAATCAGATCTTCATCTATCCTTGCATTAAGTTCACAGAAATAGTCTAATGTTGATAAAGCAGGAAACCACTGTATAAAATATACTTGTAGTATCTGTAGAGGATGAACTAGAAACAGGTCACACTGGCTACCTCAGGAAGGAAGCTGGGTAGTTGGAGAAGAGGGTTGGGAGGAAGATTTTCATGCTTTCATGCCTCTTGAATTTTTAAGTTACCTATTCACAAAGTAAACACAATTAAAATAGAAACTAGCAGCGTCAAGATGTGCTTATGCAAGTACAAGGACACTCATTACAGCTTCCTTAATTATAGAAAATGTTGGGAAGACACAAATGTCCATCAGTAGGAAACTTGTCATATAAATTGTGGTTCCATCATACATAAAATTTTCAGCTGTTAAAAAGAATGAGACAGCTTGACAAGAATGGATTTGAAGACAGGTGAAAAATAGTAGAGTATAAAACAGTGATATTGAATGTTACTATTTATCTTTTTGAAAAAAATCATCCATTCAAGAAATATTTATTGAGTGCTGGGCACTACCTGAGTCTAAGGATTCAGTGGTGAATGTGGCTCTCCCCTCACGGTGCTTACATTTTCTTTACTATTGATGGACTCAGTCTGGAAAGTTACACTAGAAACTGATGACAGTGGTTCCCTCTCAGGTTGGGGCTGGGAGCTGGGGTCAGGAGTGGGAGGAAGACAAACCTGGGCACACTTTTCTTCCTTTGGAATGTTGATTTGTGTGAAACATATTCACCATTCAAAAAAAAAAAATACAAATGGGACAAGTTATTTTCAAAAAAAGTTAAAGATGTTAGGTGTGATAATCATGTTATGACTATGTCCTTTTCTAAAAAGAGATGTATTATGAGGTATTTAAAGTTGAAATGTCATGAGTTTGTAACATTCTTTAAAATACTTTGGCGAAAAACAAGTAGATGGAGTAAATATAGCAAAATGTTAACAAGTGTTAAATCTGGGTGATGGGTGTGTAGGTATTGCTTATATTAGTCTTTTTTCTTAGGTTTGAAATTTTTCATAATTATTTTTAATTAAAAAGGTGAAAACTGCAAAAATTTAAAGCTATATATATATGCGTGTGTGTGTATATATATATACACACATACATATAGTAGCTGCATAAGCATAATAGTCAGAGATAGGTAATTACTTGAAGAAAAGAGAAATGGTTAAAAAATAATTTGCTACTGAAGAATGGAACTAAGTACAAAAGTGGGCTAGAGGACTGTTGCTTTTCCTTATAACCTCTTTTATTTTTTATTTAGGTTTTTAACCTCTGTATTTATTTCTTGTGTAGAAAATCAAAGCAGTGAAAACATACAAAATAAATAATGAAATATAGATGTATCACGTAGGTTGGCTGCCTCCCCAGAGCCCAGTCTCCACGGGAAGCCAAATTATAATCAGAGTGTTGCTGATGAGTGTGGGCTCAGTGCATGGAGGTGGTTGCGTTAACCTGATGACAAGTGTCGTGCAGCAGAGCCTGCCAGACAACCCAGCACGTCTGTGTGAGAGCCAGAGCACCCTTTCCCTGTGGGCCCCTGGCCTCTGAGTGGCCCATCTGATCCCTGAGTGACACCTTCTTTCTTTAGACGCTCAAGTCACTCAAGGGTGACATTTTGAATCTCCACTTTGCTTTAAAAAATCTTCCCTGGAGGGAGTTCTCTGGTGGTCCAATGATTAGGGCTCCACACTCCCACTGCAGGGGCATGGGTTCAATTCCCAGTTGGGGAACTAAGACCCCACATGCCTCCTGGCACAGGCAAAAATAATAATAATAATAATTCCTTGGAGAGCTACTTATCTCATTCCCAAGTTCTTGGAAGTCAACCTCAATAGCTGGGAAAAAAAACGAAAATTTCCTTGTGATGAGAACTCAGGAGCCTCTCTCTCAACAACATGGAATGGCGGTTATTTTTGTGCTATCTCCTCTCTTGTCAAAACATCCTGTGTGGTTTATCCCTGTGCTACGAGAGGCCCGTCTCTTCCTCAGCCTTGAGTTCATGACCAAGCAGTTTCCAGGCTCAAGGAAGGAGTGGTGGAGTGGTGGAGGCTCAGGAAAGACAACTCACCTGATCACATATATTTGATCTTGTTTTTTCCTTTACAACAACCCTGCAGGGTAGGTGTTAATTTTTTGTACCTGAGGAAACTGAGGCTCCAAGAGATCATTTTTCCCTGAGGTCATAGAGCCACAACATGGCAGAAGGGTAATCGGAAGCCAGAATCGTCTGGCCTCCAGCCTGTGTTAGATCCCCACACTCTGATCCTTCCCAGGTGGCTGAGAAACTGGAGATGCTGAAGAAACAGTATGATGAGAAGCTGGCACAGAAGGAGGAGCTCCGCAAGAGGTCCGAGGAGATGGAGATGAAGCTGGAGCGTGCTGGGATGCTGGTGTCCGGGCTAGCCGGCGAGAAGGCCCGATGGGAGGAGACAGTGAAGGTGAGGCCAGCTGCGCCCCCTGGCTCTCCTCGCTGTTGCCCACTACTGCCACCAGCTCCCGGCCCATTCAGGTGGAGGGACAGGAGGGGAAATGATGGTGATGCTTGGGTGTAGGGACACCCAAGAATGCGGGGTGGGTGTTCTTCCTTCCCATTTGGTGAGAATAGTGGGAGGAGAGGCTTTTGTGCCAGGAGGAATCTGCCTCCTTGTATAGGTGGAGCTGGAAAACGCTCACGAGGACCCTGATAGAGCCCACTGGCCTGACTGAAGCCAACCTGGGGCATCTCATCTCTGATCTCAGTGAGCTCCTGGCTTCACAAGAGGGTTAGGCCTTATCACAAGAAGCTAACACTGCTGAATTCCCTGGTGGTCCAGTGATTAAGACTCCATGCTCTCACTGCCGAGGGCCTGGGAGCTAAGATCCCACAAGCCATGTGGCACGACCAAAAAAGGAAACAGAGAAGAAATAAACATTGCTGTTAAAGTTGGGGAACTCAAGGGAGTCCCCTCGTGGTCTAGTGGTTAGGGTTCGGCGCTGTCACTGCCACGACCTGGGTTTGATCCCTGATCAGGGAACTGAGATCCTGCAAGTCACAGGGCACGGCCAAAATATGAAAAAAAAAAAAGATGGGGAACTCAAAAGTCATGAGAGTAGGGTAGAGTTCTTGGGGCACAAGGATTTAGGAGAGGGAAAGACTCCCTCTAATCTGGACAGTGTCCAGAGGGGAGAGTGCCTTTGGAGTTGTCCATGTGCCTCCAGTACTGGGGCCCAGGAAGACTTACACCTACCTCCCCTGCTGTCCTCCAGGGCCTGGAGGAGGATCTGGGCTACCTGGTGGGAGACTGTCTCCTGGCAGCTGCCTTCCTGTCCTATATGGGGCCCTTCCTGACCAACTACCGGGATGAGATTGTCAACCAAATCTGGATCAGGAAGGTGAGGCAGGGCTCGGGTGTGATGCATGAGCTCCTGGGCTCTGAGATCACAGACTCTGGGAATAACAGAGATGTTGGGAAGGGGCAGGTGTGCTGGGCTCTGATATCCAGGCTGAAGCTCGGGGCTCCTTCCACACAGATTTCAGAGCTGCAGGTTCCTTGCTCACCCCGCTTCACGTTCGATAACTTCCTGTCCAATCCTACCAAAGTTCGGGACTGGAACATTCAAGGGCTGCCCTCGGATGCCTTCTCCACTGAGAACGGCATCATTGTCACCCGTGGCAACAGGTGAGGATGCTGCTGGGAGCACAAGGCCGAGCAAAGGCTGAGTCTATCTTCTGACTCACACTTCCTCCTTCAGGTGGGCACTGATGATTGATCCGCAGGCCCAGGCCCTGAAATGGATCAAGAACATGGAAGGAAATCAGGTACGGGGCTGGGGATAGGGGAGGGCTGATTCGTACCCTTAGATTCTCTTCCTAAGCCTGCTTCTCTCTGAGGTTCTACCCTTTGGCTATTACCGATCTTGTATCCCTCAGCATTTCTTCCATAGTTTTCCTTGCTTTCCAGGGCCTACAGATCATCGACCTGCAGATGAACGATTACCTCCGAATCCTAGAAAACGCCATCCAGTTTGGATATCCAGTTCTGCTCCAGAACGTGCAGGAATATCTGGATCCCACACTCAACCCTGTGCTCAACAAATCTGTAGCTCGCATTGGTCAGGGCCCAGGCTTATGGGGGGTTGGGCTGAGACAAGCCAGGTCGGACCCATGTTAGGAAAGCACTGGGTCTCTGGCTGTGTCTCCTACTACCCTGTCCCTGTATTCACACAGACCTGGGTTGGGGCCGTAGGCAGGCTGAGTCCCTGCTACTGGATTCCAGCTGGGGAACAATGGGTCAGCCCACACTTGGTCATGTGGAGTCCCTGCCCTTGACCCTCCTGTCAGTGCAGGTGGTCGGTTGCTGATGCGGATCGGAGATAAGGAGGTGGAATACAATCCTAACTTCCGTTTCTACATCACCACCAAGCTCTCCAACCCCCACTACAGCCCAGAGACCTCAGCCAAGACCACCATTGTCAACTTCGCTGTCAAAGAACAGGTGGGTGGGGGAGGATGCCTAGACTGAACCAGAGTGAATCCAGAGGGCTGTAGAGTCAGCCAGGACTGAGAAAAGGCTGAGATTGTGTCGGGCAGCTGGGGATGTCGGGCTTGAGAGGTGTAAAGGGATGTAAAGGGTAAAGGTCACCGGAGTGGGATTCTTACCACGGGTCCTGGCCATCTCAGGGCCTGGAGGCCCAACTGCTGGGCATTGTGGTCCGGAAGGAGCGGCCGGAGCTGGAGGAGCAGAAGGACTCGCTGGTCATCAATATCGCTGCTGGCAAAAGGAAGCTCAAGGAGCTGGAGGATGAGATCCTTCGGTGAGACCCTGCCTCCCTCAGCCCACAGCCCGCGGGTCTGCTCGCAGGCTTGACCACAGTCCCAGGGGTGCTGATAAGGGGTCGCCCCTTCCCTGCTCCCGGCCGGGCGCAGCACCCGCTGAAGCCCCTTTATCCACGCGCCTCTTGACTTTTCTCCAGGCTGCTGAACGAGGCCACGGGCTCCCTGCTAGATGACGTGCAGCTGGTGAACACCCTGCGGACCTCCAAGATAACCGCTACCGAGGTGACCGAACAGCTGGAGACCAGTGAAACCACGGAGATCAACATCGACCTGGCCCGAGAGGTGAGCTACATCGACCTCCGGCCCTGCCCCCTTTCCGAGCCCCCGCCCCTCCGCCCCTGACTCCGCCCCCTCCACAGGCTTACCGCCCGTGCGCCCAGCGGGCCTCTGTGCTGTTCTTCGTGCTCAACGACATGGGCCGCATCGACCCGATGTACCAGTTCTCCCTGGACGCCTACATCAGCCTCTTTATCCTCAGCATCGACAAGAGCCATCGCAGCAACAAGCTGGAGGACCGCATCGACTACCTGAACGAGTACCACACCTACGCTGTCTACAGGTCTGGGCGCCTAGCCGCGCCCGCTGTGAGGCCCAGAGGCTCTGTGCACGCCCGCCCCTCTGGTTACTTGTGCTTTGGAGCTGGCCCTGCCTCCGCCCCTGGTCCCCTGCTCTTCTCACCATACACCTCCCCTGGACAGTGTCCACCCTCTGGCTGACCATCACTCACGGGCTGACCAGTCCCAGTCCGTGTCTCCCTTCCGTTAGCCTTGTGTGGAGAACCTTCTCCTGTGCCAGCACTTCTCAAAAGGTTAATGTGTCCATGACGCAGGCTAATGTAGACTCCCGACTCAGTAGGTCTGGGCTGGGACCTGGGAGCCTGCATTTCTAACAAGCTCCCGGGTGAAGCTGCTGCTCCTGGTCTGTGGCTCCCACTTTGCGTAGTGAGGTTCCTGACCCCCACCTGGACATCCCACAGACCCCTCAAGGTCAACCTGTTTCACGTCCAACTCGTTGTCTCCCCTCTTTCTTCAGGGGCTGCACCCCTGAGTGGCACCAACAGCCACCTCCCAAGCACCTGAACTGTGAGAGATTCCTGGCTCTTCACTGTCCCTAACCTCTCAGATCAGTCCACAGGTTTTGCTCATGATTCGTCCTGCACACTGTTCCCCCATCCCACCCAGGTCTCTCCACTGCCATGACTCACTTCAGTTGAGGCTGCTGTGATCTTTCTTTCTGAATTCCCCCATGGGTTCCCAACAGATCCTTCTGCCTTCAGCTCTGTGCCTCTCCAATCTGTCCTGTGGTCAGCAACATGAGCCTTTCAAACACATGAATCTGGCCATGCCACCCCAGCCCCGGCTTCCATTCTGTGGTGGTTGTTTTGTGTCCAATAGCCATAAAGTCCTCCATACCTTGGCTGCCACCTGCCCCCTGCCTCACCTTCCCCCTCCTTACACTGGACCCTGAGCATCGCTGATGCCCTGCACACCATGGTTTTCTCACCACCACTGCCTCCTTGACCTGTATCTGAGCTCTCCCTGGCGTCCTCTCCTCTCCTCTCTGCCATATCACGGTAACTCTGCTGCACCTCCGGCTCCGCTCCAGGCAGGGGGAGTGCTGCCACTCTTGTATAGGATTCATCTTGTCACATGGTAACCTCTTGTGTCCTTCATATGGTCTCTTGCTTGTCCTCCCCACTCTGTCTGACTTCCTCCAGGACAGCAGGACAGAGACTGTATTTGTTCACCTTTGTGTCTTCAGGACTTGGCAGAGTACCTGGCACATAGCCGGGGTCCAGTCAGTGTTGAGGAAATTCTGGGAGAATCACATCCTCTCTCTAGAGCCCTGAAGGCTAGGCTGTTTACAGGAGGTTTGGATTAGAGGTTGATGAAGGTCCTCCCTATAGGCAGGGCTCTGTGATTGTTGGGCCTTCACCCAGGAAGCCTCGATGCTGAGTATCCTGCCTCCCACACCCCCCACCCCTCTCCCCTCCCAGGTACACCTGCCGCACACTTTTTGAGCGCCACAAGCTGCTATTCAGTTTTCAGATGTGTGCCAAAATCCTGGAGACTTCTGGGAAACTCAACATGGATGAATACAATTTCTTTCTACGCGGGGGCGTGGTGAGTTGGGTAGAGAGTATATCTGAGTGTGGGGTGAACAGTCGGGAGTGGACCCCAGATCCAGAGGGTAAGCCCAGGATCCAGCAAATGAGTGAAGGAAAGCTGGCAGGAGAGGTGTACGACAAGCTCTTGGGGGCCGTGGGGAGTGGCTTGCCCGCATTACAGGTGGGGCTTTGAGCCCCTTCCCTGTGACCCACTGATTGGTGTGACCTGGCCACTCTTTCACTGTCTCTCAGGCCACTCCTTCCCCATCCTGAATTCCATGGTCACTGTTACACTCTCTCTCTTCCAAACACCCTCAGCCCCTTTGCCTCCTCCCCACTCCAGCTGCACAGGCTACTCACTGTCACAGGCATGTCCCACCCCAGGGCCTTCACACCAGCTGTTCCTTCTGCCAGAAAAGTGTTCCCCCAGGTGTACACTGTGCCCGCCTTCTCCTCCTTTAAGGCTTGACTCCAATCTCACCTCACTGAGATTTCCTTAACTGTCTTATTATTTCCAGCTACCCTTAAGCACTTCCAGTACTTAAGCACTTCCCTTAAGCACGTCCACTTAATCTTCCTCAACTTATTCTCTTTTTCCATGGCACTGCCATCTGTAACCTACTAGATAATTATTTGTTGTGTTTTTGGTTCATTATCTGCCATCCCATGTGGGAAAATAAGCTCCTCAAGGGCAGAGGTATTTGTATGTTCTGTTCAGTTGTGTGTCTTGAGTGCTTAAAACATAGTTGGTGAGCAATAAATATTTGTTAAATTAATAAGTGACAGTGAACAGGTTGTGCTTCTCATAAGGGTGCAGCTGCAATTGCCATCATTCAGGTAGAAGGCAGTATTGCCAGGAAACCACCAGAGGGCGCCCACTTCCTAACTTTGGACTGTGCTGTCACCCACATGGTGGCTCAGAGAAACAGGCTCCCCCTTTCCTTCCATTTATTTCCCCAATAAAGGTGGATTCCAGTCCATCTCAGATTCCTGCATTCATTTCTTCATTTTGTTTCATGAAATACTCATCTTGGCTTTTTCACCTTGAAAAAAAAAAACAAAACCTATCTATTGGGATAGTCTGGGTCAATGCTTTTCTCCTCTCTCGTACCCCCCGCCCCAGGTCTTGGATCGCGAGGGCCAAATGGATAACCCATGTACCACCTGGCTTGCAGACGCCTACTGGGATAATATCACAGAACTGGACAAACTGACCAACTTCCATGGGCTCATGAACTCCTTTGAGCAGTATCCTCGGGACTGGCACCTGTGGTACACCAACGCCACCCCCGAGAGGGCCATGCTGCCAGGTGCTTGGTGCCAGGCCTCCCTCTCCTTTCTCTTCTCTCCTTCAGCCACACACCTGCTCTTTCCTCTAATTCCTCCCGTGTCTCTCCCAAGTTCCCTCAGCGTATCTGCCCCCTGGCGCAGCGTCCCCGCAGGCGCCTCTTCGTTCAGATTCCCTGCTCCTCCAGGCTCACTAACGCTAACCTTAATCTTGTCCCCAGGTGAGTGGGAAAACGCCTGCAATGAAATGCAACGAATGCTGATTGTTCGCTCCCTGCGCCAGGACCGCGTGGCCTTCTGTGTAACTTCTTTCATCGTGTCCAACCTTGGCTCCCGCTTCATTGAGCCTCCTGTGCTAAACATGAAGTTGGTCAGTGGCTCTTTTGCCTTTCCACCTGCTTCTCCCTGTCCCCGTCTGCCACCCGCACTTCCTCAGTCTCTCCCGAGACCTCACCTGGCCTTCTGCCTAAGGTCACGCCCTGTGCTCCTGGCAGGTGATGGAGGACTCGGCCCCACAGACCCCACTGGTGTTCATCCTGTCCCCTGGCGTGGACCCCACCAGTGCCTTGCTCCAGCTGGCTGAGCATACAGGCATGGCCCAGCGCTTCCATGCCCTGTCTCTGGGCCAGGGCCAGGCCCCCATCGCGGCTCGGCTTCTCCGAGAGGGTGTGGTTCAGGGTCAGTGTCTACCCAGTTCTTCTGCCCCCAACCATGGCCCTGGCTTGACTGTCCACCAGCTCCCACCTGTCACCCTGCTGTCACTGCAGCTCCTACTCCTCCAGAAGGCCTTGGGGGCTGGCACCTGAGCACTTGGACCCTCCCCCTAAACTACTCCCCCCCAACCAGAGGAACAGTGGGGGGACAGACAGGGCATAGGGAGTGGTTCCCACCACATCAGCACCTCCTTTCAGGACACTGGGTGTTCCTCGCCAACTGCCACCTGTCGCTGTCCTGGATGCCGAACCTGGATAAACTGGTGGAGCAGCTGCAGGTGGAAGATCCTCACCCTTCCTTCCGCCTCTGGCTCAGCTCCAGCCCCCACCCAGACTTCCCCATCTCCATCTTGCAGGCCAGCATCAAGATGACCACAGAGCCACCAAAGGTATTGGCAACTGTAGACAGCCAGCAGTGACCATGCCAGCGGGCCTACCTGTCCTCCTCCTGGCCTCAGAGACACGGTTTAACCTTAACAAGAAGGCTGCTTTTTTGATTCTACCTTCCTCTAAAAAATTCCACCTCTGTGTGCCAAACTCAGAACATAGTAGTAATAGCTAACTTTTTTTGAGTGTTATTACATGCCAGGCATTGTTCTAGATGCTTATGTTTATTAATTCATTTAACACACACACACACACACACATCAGGTAAGTACTATCAGCCCCATTTTACAGGTAGGAAACTGAGGCAAAGGAAGAGTATATAACTAGCGTGTGGACCTGTCAGCCCCTTCCTCCTCCGGACACTTCTTACATTCTCTCCCTACTGTCACTTGCTGGCCTTTCTCCTTCCCTCCAGCTCTACTGAAATTTTCATCTCCAGTACTACGAGGTCACCTTGGAATGCAATCATACCAATCTTTTAAAATCTGATCATGTCACTACATTCTGCCCACTTACCTCTGCTTAAACTGTTTTAGTAGCTTCTCATTGCTTTTAATCAAGTTCAAAACCCCATTCACATGGCCTGTGTGTCCCGTGAGCACCTCTGCTGCTTTGTCGCAACTTTCCCCTTCGCTTTCTTCGTCGCAACTTTCCCCTTCGCTTTCTTCACCTACACTATCAACTTTTAAAATTGTTCCACTGTCCTTCCTCAACAGACTCTGTGTTCTCCAGCCTGGTGCTTTTTCATGCACTGTCCTCCCTATTTTTCCTCCCCACCCCCTTCTTTGCCCCTTCATGTCTCAGTCCCACCAGCACTTTCTCAGGAATCCTCTTCACTGTTCCCTCCGACCTTCCGCTGTAAGCACTTTACACCTATTAGTGTGGTTCTGGTCAATACCTGACTTCTTCTCTAGACTGTAAGCTCAAGAGGGCAGAGACCATGTCTTTTTCTTCTCCCTCACCATTTTGCTCATCCTGTGACGAATACAGGGACCTGTTGGTAGTAGGTGCTCAATAAATGAGGACTAATCAGATGCACAGGCATGCGGATGTCTTTCATCATTAAATCCTTCTTTGGTCACCTTGGGGAGGCTGGCACAGTTGACTGTCCCCCCAGTTTCCCTGACACACTCCTGGTCCCCCTTCTGTTTCTTGCGACATCATCGATTACTTCTGTGTTTGTTTCTCCTCCTGTCCTCTCCTCATTCTACATTTCCTCCCTTCACAAGTTGATGGAGAAACTGTCCTCTTCCTGATTTCAACCCCAATCCCCATCTCTGGTTCCATTACTGAACTCAGTGCCAGGTGTGAATTCCATCTGGTTACAAAGTACTTCTTTTTGCCACTCCAGCACCATAAATTAGGAGCTCTCAAAACAAGTCTTCAGCTTCTGCACGCAGATTGTCTCCTCGGCCCATTTTTGTTAATCTGTCAGTTCAGTTGCTCAGTCGTGTCTGACTCTTTGTGACCCCATGGACTGCAGCATGCCAGGCTTCCCTGTCCATCACCAACTCTTGGAGCCTACTCAAACTCATGTCCATCGCATCGGTGATGCCATCCAACCATGTCATCCTCTGTCGTCCCCTTTTCCTCCCGCCCTCAATCTTTCCCAGCATCAGTCTTTTCCAATTGGTTCTTCGCATCAGGTGGCCAAAGTATTGGAGTTTCAACTTCAACATCAGTCCTTCCAATGAATATTTGGACTGATTTCCTCTAGGATTGACTGGTTGGATTTCCTTGCAGTCCAAGGGACGCTCAAGAGTCTTCTCCAACACCACAGTTCAAAAGCATCAATTCTTCAGTGCTCAGCTTTCTTTATAGTCCAACTCTCACATCCATACATGACTACTGGAAAAACCATAGCTTTGACTAGACGGATCTTTGTTGGCAAAGTAATGTCTCTGCTTTTTAATATGCTGTCTAGGTTGGTCATCACTTTCCTTCCAAGGAGCAAGCGTCTTTTAATTTCATGGCTGCAATCACCATCTGCAGTGATTTTGGAGTCCCCCAAAATAAAGTCTCTCACTGTTTCCATTGTTTCCCCATCTATTTGCCATGAAGTGATGGGACAAGATGTCATGATCTTAGTTTTCTGAATATTGAGTTTTAAGCCAACTTTTTCACTCTCCTCTTTCACTTTCATCAAGAGGCTCTTTAGTTCTTCTTCGCTTTTTGCCATAAGGGTGGTGTCATCTGCGTATCTGAAGTTATTGATATTTCTCCTGGCAATCTTGATTCCAGCTTGTGCTTCATCCAGCCTGGCATTTCACGTGATGTATTCTGCATATAAGTTAAATAAGCAGGGTGACAATATACAGCCTTGATGTACTCCTTTCCCAATTTGGAACCAGTCTGTTGTTCCATGTTGTTAATGGCACCATTGATTTTTAAAAGTCTATGTTTAAAGTTGATTTTTATTTACCTTTATTTTCTTCTGTCAACAGAAGTATTCTGTCTTCCTGTTAAAAAAAAGTCAAACAGTTCAGATATGTGTTGTCAAAGAGATGCAACCCTTCTTTTTTAAGAGCCTTTCTTATTGCCTTCTAAGAGAGACATGTGCCTTGTAGCCAGAGGGCCCTCTGTTGGCTGAACCCACCCTCTATGATGGGTAGAGGTGTGTTGGCCCTGAGGTAGGTGCTGTTTAGGTCAGTTTAATAAGCAGTAAGCATGGAAGCAATGATGAATGGGAGTAAATCCCAGGAGGAAAGAGGAACCAGACAGGATGGCTCTGCAGTGGATGGGTCACCAGGGGAGGGAGTCCTGTCAGAGGTCAGCCCAGGAGAGCTGTCCATGAAAGGCCGCCTGCTGGTGATGCAGAACCTTCCTGCAATCCACCAAACCTTCTGAGAAAGGACATTCAGGCGCGCTTGGTGCAACTGAATTCCTTTTAGAAGCTGACAAAGAGGCCAATATTTAAAAATTTTTTTTGAAAATAACTTTACAGAAAAGTTGTAAGAATAATAGTACAGAGAACCCCCTATACGTTACTCAGATCCATCTGTAGTTAACATTTTGTCCCACTTGCCTTATCATTTGATGTCTGTTTTTCTCTCTCTCCACTCACACTTCTTCTGAAACATTTGAGAGTAAATTGTATATCCTGGCCCTTTGCTGCCACATACTGTAGTGTATTTCAGTGGAAAGGACTCACTCCTAAGAATCAGGGTGTTCTCTTATATAACTGCAACACAGTTGCTGACTTCAATAAATTGATACACTATTTTAATCTAAATGTATTATGTGTTCCAATTTTGTTAAGTGTTGCAGTCCTCACATACATATACAGATGGGTTTCTAGGCCCTTTATGCTGTTCATTGATCAAGTTGTTTATCCTGGGGTCAGTATACACTGTGTTAATTACTCTCTAGCTCTAATAATTCTTGATGGCTGGGGAAGGCAAATCCTCCTACCTTATTCTCTAGGCTATTCCTGATCTTTTATTCTCTAACATAAATTTTGGAATTAGCTTGTCAAGTTTCACCAAAAATGTCCTATTGATCAATTTGGGGGAAATCAACATCTTTAGGATATTGAGCTTCTCAATCCATGAGTACAGTAGGTCTCTCCATTTATTCTTTATTTTAATAAAATTTTGTAAATTTTCTAAAGATATATATATTTATATTAGATTTATTCTTTGGTGCTTTACATGACTTGATGATGTTGTAAATGATAGTTTTTAAAATCAGATTTTCTTTCTGTTCCTGGTCTCCCCGATGTTCTTACTTCGGTTTTCTCCCTGCTCCCTTCTGTCCATCATGATGAATCTCCTTAGAACACTGTTTCAGTGTATCACTGTCCTATTCAATGTATCACTGGAGCCTGAAGTGGCTCCAGGGTTCCTGGTGAATCTGGTCCAGTCGGCTCAAACTGCCCTTCTTACTGTATCGCCATCTGCTCACGGTCCTTCTTACTCTATCTGAGCGCTTGGACTTGATTTCAGTTAGATCCTCTTCTCACTTTATCTCCCCTTCGTGCCTTCTCCCTTTATTCCTTCAGTTCTTCCCATCTCTGGACAGCCAAGGCCCTCCTCTCAGCCTCATTACATTCTTCCTATTTGTAAGACTTAGCCAAACTCCAACCTGCTCATGAAGCCTGATAAATCCAATCATATAGCTCATTCCTCTTTGATGATATGTCACTATATACTGACCCTCTGCACAAAATTGTGTACATTTCTTATTAATTTGGCCATGTCGGGTCTTAGTTGTGTCACACAGGATCTTACATTGTGGCATGTGGATTCAGTAGTTGTGGTGCAAGGGCTTAGTTGCTTGGTGGCATGTGGGATCTTAGTTCCCTCACTGGGATCACACCCACATCCCCTGCATTGCAAGGCAGATTCTCAACCAATGGACCACAAAGGAAGTTCCTATGTTTATGTTTTTGTTAATATTTTCTGGCAATCACAAATTGAGTTGGTCTACCCACCACTGAGAACATCACGGTTGAGGGGATCAAGGCATGGGGGTGGAGACAAGGCAGGGCTGCCACAAGTCCCTACAGTGCCCGTGTGTGAAGGGAAAGACAGCAAGCCCTGTGATGAGTGCATGTCTTGGCCTGCAGCTCAAGGGCTGGATTTCAACCTTCACTCATTTCTTCAGCCAGTGCCCTTATGCAGTGAGCAACCTCCACAACTGAACACGATGGTGCGTGTTAGGGCCAAGCAAGACGCATGTCATCCAATCTCTGTATTTCCTTGTCCCCAGGGCCTAAAGGCTAACATGACCCGTCTTTACCAACTGATGACAGAACCACAGTTTTCCCGCTGCTCCAAACCCACCAAGTATAAGAAGCTGCTGTTCGCACTGTGCTTCTTCCACTCTGTGTTACTTGAACGCAAAAAGTTCCTGCAACTTGGCTGGAACATCATCTATGGCTTCAATGACTCTGACTTTGAGGTTTGTGCTGACCAGGGTCCCTCACCCCGCCCTCCCTCCTTACACTTTCTGCCCCGAGGCTGCCCTGCAGGAATCGTCACTGACCAGAAGCCCCTGGAAGAATTCCTGCCATAACTGTGTGTGGGGCTGGGGGCTTGGGCTGGGGCCATGCACAGGTGTCCGAGAACTTGCTGAGCCTCTACCTGGACGAGTATGAGGAGACGCCCTGGGATGCACTCAAGTACCTCATCTCCGGGGTCAACTATGGTGGACATGTCACGGATGACTGGGACCGGCGCCTGCTCACCACCTACATCAACGACTATTTCTGTGACCAGGCTCTCTCGACTCCCTCCTACCGGTGAGGGGGGCACTGAATGGGGTACCAGGTGGCAGGATTGGGGGTAGGGGCAGTATTTGAGGAGTAAATGGGAGATTGACTGGGGGGGGTGCAAAGTAAAGAGCAGAGAGTTGGATGGATAGGGCCTTGGCTTGGCATGGGAGCCCCAAGTCCCCACAGCGCGGTGATAATTCTTCACTGACTCTCCAGGTTGTCAGTGTTGGAGACCTATTTTATCCCCAAGGATGGGAGCCTGGCCTCGTACAAAGAGTACATAAGCATGTTGCCTGGCATGGATCCCCCAGAGGCTTTTGGCCAGCACCCCAATGCCGACGTGGCCTCCCAGATCACGGAGGCACGCACTCTCTTTGAGACTCTGCTTTCCCTGCAACCCCAGATTACACCCACCAGGGCCGGAGGCCAGAGTCGGGAGGAGAAGGTAAGGACAGACAGATAGACACCTGGGGGAGGGAAAGCAAGGAGGAAGAGAGGTCTGCACTCAGCACTCCTGCCTCGGCAGGTCCTTGAGTTGGCTGCCGATGTGAAACAGAAGATCCCGGAAATGATCGACTATGAGGGGACCCGAAAACTACTGGCTATGGACCCCTCCCCACTCAATGTGGTCCTTTTGCAGGAGATTCAGAGATACAACAAGCTGATGGAGACCATCCTGTGAGATGGGGGGAAGTGGGGCTCTGTGGAATGCAGGGAGGGGGCAAGAGGAAAGGCCTTCACGCCCTGCCTAGGATGGCTTTCCCAGACCCATCCCGTCCATAACCCTCCACCTTTCCCCATCCAGCTTCTCACTGACAGACCTAGAGAAAGGCATCCAGGGCCTCATCGTCATGTCTACCAGCCTGGAAGAGATTTTCAATTGCATTTTTGATGCCCATGTCCCTCCGCTCTGGGGAAAGGTAAGATTATCTCACTGTTGATCCTTCTCCAACAATGAACTCTCCTTTCACCCCTGGACCCACAGCCTCCTGGTCCTAGGGAAGCCTATAGCAGAAAGCAGTGAGCCTAGGCTTTGGAGTCAGACAGGTTCAAGGCTGAAATCTGACTCTGCCCTTCACTGACTGACTTTGCAAAGTTATTAACACAGAAACTTACCCAGGGCAAGTTCCTAAGCTTCTCCAAGGATGTCTCAAGGATTCCTGGTACTGTGCACCTTAAAAGGTGCTTCATTAATGGTAACTGGTTAGTATTGCTGGTGCTGTTGTTAATAGTTGTCATTTTATGCTTCTTTCCTGGAAATGGGCTTTTGGAGAGCTTTGCCGAACTATGGTTTGGGGGAACAGGGGCTGACACCATATGTTCTTCTATCTGCTTCAAGTGTTCACAGTAAAAATTTGAATGCATGAGTAAGTGAGTGAATAAATACACACTACCTCCTGCTCCAGGCCTACCCCTCACAGAAGCCATTGGCTTCATGGACCCGGGACTTGGCCATGCGTGTGGAGCAGTTTGAGATGTGGGCCAGCCGCGCACGGCCTCCTGTGATCTTCTGGCTCTCTGGCTTCACCTTTCCCACTGGCTTCCTCACTGCCGTGCTGCAGTCTTCAGCTCGCCAAAACAATGTGAGCCACATGGACAATGTGATGGGAATGGATACTGATGATAAGTATTTGCTCTTCTCTCTGTGTGTGGGAGGATCCTCCCTTATTCTCACCTTCAATCTCCAGATTTCAGTGGACAGCCTCTCTTGGGAGTTTATCGTTTCCACTGTGGATGACAGCAACCTAGTGTATCCACCCAAGGTGGGTGCCACATGTGCTTAGGGTTCTGAGCAGAGGGGAGTCTGGTGGAGGAGGAGGGGCTGGGAGCAAAGGTGGGAAACAACTGGTTGAGAGGGAGGGGAGGAGAGAGGTGACAGGACAGGGGTGGGGGCATTGGCAACTGAGGGTCTGGATTTACCCCCAACCTGTCCCCATGTCTTCCCAGGATGGTGTCTGGGTTCGGGGTCTATACCTGGAGGGTGCTGGCTGGGACCGGAAGAACTCCTGCTTGGTGGAAGCAGAGCCCATGCAGCTTGTCTGCCTCATGCCCACCATCCACTTCCGGCCTACTGAGAGCCGCAAGAAGAGTGCCAAGGGTGGGACAGTTTGCCCCCTCCCTAGTTTGCCTGCCCCCTCCCTAGTTTCCATCCTAACCCAGCCTCCACCCCACCCTTCCCCCACACCTGCTCCTGCCCTGCTCTTCCAGCGGCTCCAGGGCCTGATTCATTCGGCTCTCCTTTCCTGCAGGCATGTATTCCTGTCCCTGCTATTACTATCCCAACCGGGCAGGCAGCTCAGACCGCGCATCCTTCGTCATTGGCATCGATCTCCGCTCTGGGACCATGACCTCTGATCATTGGATTAAGAGGGGCACTGCTCTACTCATGAGCCTGGATAACTGAGAGGGCCTCCTCTTCTTTCCGTTTGGGGGGTGGGGGTTGAGGACTCCAGGAGCCAAGGCTGATACTGTCCCTCGGACAGAGGCTAGGCTTCACTCAGTCCTTGACCTCGCTTGAATTTGTCGCGTGATGAGGCCCTGGTAATACCTAGTCGTGTTAATCGTGAAGAATTGTATCGGAGCTCAGCTCAATAAAACACCCCGACCACAAGCCCCAAGTCTCTCAATGGGATGGTTGGGGCTTGGGGGGGTGGGGGGGGGCGGGGTTGGGAGGAAGCCCAGGCCTTACGGAGGATGAGAGCTCCTGTGGGCTGCTGCCGGATAGGGAAAGCAGCAAGGGAAGTGGGAGGTCTTGGGAGGGAGAGGAGGCGTGGCCTCAGCGAATGGGCAGGGCAGTGGGGCCTAAAGGAGGTGTGGCTAAATCTCTGGGCAGGACTCAATCGGGTGGGGCGGGGCTTACTTTGGAAGGGCGCGTGATCCAAATGGAATAGGGGTTTGTCAGTCAGGGATCCGTGCTGGACCCCGTACCTTGCACCTTGAACCCTGCACCCCGCATTCGGCATCCCGTTCGGCACCTGTGCAGAGGCGAGCGGGGCCGGCAGAAAGCGGGGCGGAGCCCGGGAAAGGGACTCCGGCGCGAGAAGGGGCGGGACCATGAGAAGGGGGCGGGGCTGGGGCGCGGGGGGTGGGGGGGCGGTGTTTGTGTTGGAAAATCCAACTGCGCCACGGGGCGGAGCGGCCCCCCCAGCCCCGGCCTGGGAGAAGGGGGGGCCGCTCGACCCCCTGGGCGACCTTGGGGAACCTGAACACCTGGGACACCCCAGAGCCAGGTAACGGGGAGCCGCAAGGGCGTCTGGAAGGAGAGAAACCGTCTCGGCGCAGGGGGGGCGGGACGCCTGAGGCGCAGGAGGGGTAGAGATGAGGATGGACGTTCGGGTCTCTGGAGAGGCCCTGGGAAGATGACTGGGTGCAGGACGTCTGGATCCTCTAGAAAAGGGTAGGGCGGCGTGAGGGAAGAACTGGGCGGCAGATGTCTTGGGTTCCGGATGTTGAGGGGGGCCTGAAAGGACTCCCTGTCCCTCTTGGGCTGGGATTCCCCTTCCCGACACTAGGGCGGGGGCGCGGCGCTGCGGTCCCTCTTTGAAGGGCAGGACTAAAGGTCAGGGTTTGCAGTTGACTCTTTTTGAGGGCGGGTGTGGTCAGAAAGTGATGTGTCTCAGGTCCCGGGACCGCGTTAAGCCTCCCTTTGGTTCTTCCCACGGATGAGGTGTGTAGCCTCAGCTGTGACTCTCACACCGGCATCCCCGACGGCTTCCCAGCGGTAGCCTTCGCCCCATCCCTTCCGTGGCACCTCACCCCGCTGCACTCGGCCTCACCGCGCTAGTCTCCCCATCCCCGGTCCTGCCCCCGCTCTGCCACCTCCGGTTCCGTGCTCGGGTCCTTCTCCACAGAACCTTCTCTACGTATCCGCGAGATGGCGAGAGCGAGACGCGTACAGCGCGACTCAGGGTTCTGGGGTGGGGGATGTGGCCTTGAAAACAGCCGAAGCCCCCTGCCCGGGCCAAAGGGAAAGGTGGGCTGAGGTGCCTGTTTGACTTCCAGTCATCTCGGCCCCCTCACAGGAAACTGTGGGCGGGAGGGCGAAGGGCAGGGGCGGGAGAGGGGCTCGGGGCTCAATCTCCGCCTCCCCGATCTGGGGTAAATAGTGGGGAGGGGGCACGCGGGCAGGTTACTAAGCAACGGAAATTCGCTTCCTGTCGGCTGCGGCTTGTGGCTGACTTAGGATGGGAGTTGGCAGGGTGGGGGGCTGGGAGACCGCGGCGAAGGTCGAGGGCAGGTCGCCAGGTTCTCGAGACAGAGAGCCCTAGAAGGAAGCCGGGGAGCCGCGAGCTGCGCTGCCACAGAAACGGACTCGGCGTGAGTCCGGAGGGAGGCGGGACCCAGGAGCGGCGACGAGCTCCGCTCCCTTTCCCTCTTGGGGGTTGCTTGCCCTGTTGCCAGAGTAACTGGAGAGCTAGACTCAGGGGCCGGATTCCCGAACTCGCGCGTCCGCCCAATCCGCTCCAGCGGCTGCCCCTGACATCAGGGCCTTGGCAGCCAATGTGGAGGAGGCATCGTAGAGCGAAAGGAAGAGGGAGAGGGGAGGGGAGGGGTGGAGGCGGGGAGCGGGGAGCTGCCCGGGACCCGCACGTGCACTCCCACACGCTCGCGCCCACCCCTCTCCCTCCGCCGCACGCGCCCGAGTACCCCACCCTGCGCTTGCGCGGCTAGTCGCCGCGCGCCCCCCTTTCTCCTTTCTAGAGACTCGGTTAGCAAACGAGTACCGGGCTGCGCTTCTCAGCCTCTGGGGACCCAGACGTCTGGGTCCGCTAGCCTTCTTCCTAGGGGTCTCAAGCAGTTAATGCCCAGCCTGGCGTGGGAGGAGCCAGCTACCTGTTCCCCACCCCAGCTGGCGCCCCACTCTCCCAGGTGGGCTGGGCGGAGCTGTGGTTTCCGGCCCCATATGCTCCGCCGCTCCCGTCCCGGGCTCTGGCTAAAGTTACCTCCCCAAGAGGAACCGAAGGAGTATCAGCTCCCCTTCCCGAGGCTTCACGCGCTCGGGCCCGGCTGCTGTTGGCAGCAGGGAAGGGCACTGCGGGGAAGCCCCGGACGTCCCAGGTGACTCTTCCCGGACCGTCACAACCCGTCTTCGCGTGAATTCCTCCCTTTTGATGTGCACCGAAATCTTCCCCATCCCTAACGTTTCTTCCCCACTCGCCCTGGTGCTCTTTGCACCTCCCTCGGCTCCTTTCAGGCTGTCTCTCCCGGTCCTCACTCATCCTTCTCGGCTTCTCCCAGTTATATAACTCTTCCTCTCGCCGTGTCCTGATTTCAACTCCACAGACTCCGCCCTGGAACAGCGCGGGGAGGGGCAGGAGAGTTGGGACCCAGACAGATTCCGGCTGGCGGCCGGCTGGGCACAGGGGATCCCGCTGATGGGAGACGGAGCCCCGCGGGACCTGATGCCCCCGCCCCCCACTTCCCGCCCCCCCACGCGAGATCTCGCCCAGGAGAGAGAAGGCACAGTATCTCAGAGGCGTGTCGGGACTCCGTCAGAAATGTGGGTTGGGAGGTCAGGGCTGGAGGCGGAGAGGAGGAGCCGAGAGGCCCGAGTCCCTGGGATTGGAGCCGCGTTGGGGGCAAAAGATAAGGGCGGAACGCCTGGGTTCCTTCCTTCCTCTCCTTTTTGGGTTCCCAGAATTCCTGAGGCTATTTCCCAGGAAGCTTAGCCCGCGGCTCCTCTCCGCCCCTCGGGGTCAAAGGTCTGTGTTAAAGGTGGCCTGGGATGATGTCACCCGTGCACGTGCCCTGGGATAGTTGCCAGGCGATGAGGCCTCCACCCCTTTCCATTCCAGCCCCCTCCCCCCACCACAACCTCCGCCCCGAGTCCAGCTGCAGCCCCGTGCCATCTTTCTCCCTCCTCCCTTCCTTTGGCCTTAGCGTCCTGCAGGTGGGAAACCCTGGCCTGGAGTTTTTGAGGGGGAGGGGCACGGGTGTGGTGTGGTGGACTTTGCCCGTTTGCTGGGCTAAGCGAACCTTGGGTTACTTTTCCCTAGATTGGCACTGAAGAGCTTTCCCTCCAAGCTCCCTGTACCCCCTGGAAAGAGCCTCCCAGCAGTCTTTTTCCTTTCCCACCTGCTGCATTGCCAAGAGGCTCATGGTCCCCACCCCTGTATTGAGTTGAAGTGGGAGTGGTTGCCAGTCCCCTGGAGAAGAGCTGTGTGGTATACATCTGGACGCCAGCTCAACCCTGACCTTAATCAGTGGCACCCCACCCCCACCAGTGAGGAAACGGCTCAAGAAACTATATGAGACTTAAAAGTCAGGGTCTTTATTCTGTGTAGGAGTGTGGATCTCTCTCTTGAAGGAAGGGGAGTCAATTGATAGCTACGGCAGTCCTTCTCTATTGAGTTAAGTCCTGGGGTTGCTTATGGTATTGGAAAAAATTGGTTTCTCTTTTCATGTACCTTTAGGGCTTGGGTTGTCAGATCAGACCTGGATTCCATTCTCAGCTCTGCCACTTAGTGGCTACAGGAAATTGGAAAGGTCACAACCTCTCTGAGCCTCCTGTTCTTAGTCTGGAAAATTTAAATATCAATACTTACCTTCTAGGCAGTTGATAGGGAAAAAAATGAGATAATTTATGCAAAGCACTTAGCACAGTGCCTGGCACAGAATGTACACTGAATGCTTGTCATGAAATGCTTATTATTTTTAAATGCTGTCAGTTATTTTTATTATTCTGGATGGTAGGCCTGCTTCAAACTGGCCAAGACCTTAGGAGTGGGTCAGGGAGGAGTGGAGTGTGTGCTAATGTGGTCGGTGGGGGGGAAGGGGGCTGGGGATTAGCTTCCCCTGCATTGTGCACTTTATTTGATGAGGGCTTTCCTCAGATTTGTATTGCTTTCTTTGGGATTATTTTTTTCCCCCCTTCTTGGAGAAGAAACAGCTAAGACTATTCCTCTGGCTGTGAAAATAAAATAATTGTATTGTGGTTCTTGATTTTTGAGCAAGACCCCAGTCCCCTCCCATGTTCTCTGGAGCCTTTCAATTTTGCCAAGGGACTGACTCTACAGTTTCCTTTGCGGGGACAGGGCTGGCTGAGGGGTGTGTAAAAGGTTCGGGTGGGTGGGCAGAGAGACTAGTGCAGGGGGCTGGGGGGGCGAGTAGTTAAAGGAAGAGACCGGAAGGGAGGAGGAGGGAGCCTGCTGGTGGGGAGGGAGGGAGGGGAGGAGGAGGTGGAGGAGGAGGAGGAGGAGGAGGAGGGAGGGGGTTGGGGAGAGCCTGCTACAGTTCTTTGTTTGACTCCGGGACTCAGGGACGGGGAGGAGGAGGGAGGGAGGCCGAGGCTGCAAGCGCCGGGGCAGGCCCAGGAGGCAGAGGAGGGACCGTCTCCCCCGCCCCCCCAGCCCCCACTCCCCCCCCTGCTGCTCCCCCCCTCCCTACCCGGACTCCGGGGGCACCGCCGGGGGACAGACACCCAGCAGGTAACCCCGGCCTGGCTCGCCCTCCCCTCGGGTTTTCCTCCACACCCTCCCTGTGACCCCTTTCCCCGGTTCCGTCTCCCCGTTTCCCCCGGGCTTGCCTCTTTCCCCGTGGCCCTCGGTGTTCCATCTCCCCACTTGGGGTAGTCGCCCACTGGCCGCGCCGCTGTCTCGTGCAGCCTGACTCCCTTCCCCTCGGCCGACAGCTTGTGCACCCCAGGTCTGCCCGCGGCACCTTTCGGGGCTCTGTCTGGCCGCTTCTCTAGGCTTTGCTTTCCTTCCGACCTATCTATCCCCTGGGGCTCTGAGGAAGGAGGGAGTCCCTGTCCTTTTCTCGCTCCCCTAGTTCCCCGCCCCCCAACTCTGGCCCCCTTTCTCCTTCTAGCAGTCTCTAGGGGGTGGGGAGAGAACCGGAATTTGGGGGGCCCTCTGGAGGGGCAAGGGGCTGTATGTCTGCGGGCTAAAGGGGCTGTGACTGTGTTGGGGTGGGGGCGGGGGCGGTTAGAGACCCGGCTGCCTGTCTGTTGTCCCTTTAAATGGCCCTCACATTTCTGGGGACTTGTAGGGGGGAGGTGGCCAGCCGCCTGCCTGGGGGGCAGGGCCCTCTGTTCGTCCACACAATCAGGGGTGGTAATGATTTAAAGGGACAGCCTTGGTGTGGCCGCTGCCACCCTTGGCCAGCTGGAGAGGGAGCCGGCAGGCCTTGTCTGGGGAGGCTTGGCTGGCGAGCAGGGCATTTGAGGCAGAATCTGTCTCAGGGCCTGCCAGGTCTGGGACAGTGCTTCGGCTGGGACCTGCACGAAGGGTGACAGCTTGCCTGGAGGGCACTCAGCCTGGGCCTTCTCCAGGGCCCCACCTTTGGGCTCAGGGACTCTTTGGCCAGAATCCTGGAGTCTAAACTACCGAGTCCGTCAGCCACCAGGTGGGGGCCACTGGCAGGTCTGCAGGTGAGCAGCCGGCCAGGCACACTGGAGCTGGCCCTTCAGCTCCCCCTTTTGTTGTTTGGCTCTGTGCACAAGAAAGCCCCAGCCCCTCCCCCAGCTCCCCCTTCCCGTCCACATGCCCCCGCCCCCCCACCACACACACACCCACCCCAGCTGTTGGACAGATGAATTACAGCCTCCGGCTTGGGGCCAGGACTGGTGAGGGATTAAAGCTCTGGGGCTGGCCCTTTAAATGGCTGTTGGCCCCTCCCCCACTCTGGTGTCCAAGACACCCCATACACACCCTGCTGACCCCCTTGGACGCCCCTCATTTCTCCTCTTGGTCTGTCCTAAGCCCTGCTGCTCCCCATTTTCTAGGCTGGACTCTCCCCAGCATTCCCTTCTCCCCCAACATAACCATATATACAAATGCTACAGACTGCACACACATACATACACACACTTACTTTCTGGTCTCACATTCTGGGAGTCCTTGTCCTGGAGGGTTCCAGCCTCAAGCTCCCTTCCCCAGCAGAAGGACCTTGCCTGCCTGGCCTCCCTAGCCTGCAGCTGACCACTACCCTGGCCAGGTGAGGGGCCTTGCATGGGTCAGAAATAGCACCTCCCTGGGGGCAGTGTCATCAGCAGCTGAAGCAGCTTGCAGCACATTGCATCATGGAGGCTGGGGGCTGGGGGCTGGTGGCCTGAGTCTCTGGGGCAGGGGGAAGGATGGGGGCTGGAAAGCCATAGAGTGGAGAGGCTAAATGCTGAGCCCAAGTGTCTGGGTCCTTAAGGGCAGAGAACTGTGGCTAAGAGGGCAGAAAACAGGTCCCTGAGGAGTGAGTTTGAAGTGAGGGCAGACAGGTGTGACCCCTGGAGGGATACCTGATTCTTGGCCCTGGACCTAGACACCTACCTTCTTGTCTCTGAGAGTTAGGAGGGGAGGGAGTGGGCCCCTATCGCCTTCTTGGGCCACAGAGAGGAAGGACGTGATGGGGAAACAGGATATGGTCTTGATGGGTGGATGGAAGGGAGGGTTGCAGCAGAGGCCACTTCCAGACCCAGGCCTAGAGTCACAGTCCCTGATGAGGAGGAAGGCTTCTCCCTGCTGGGCCCGTTCATCTAGTCTGGCCACCTGTACTGCTCACCGCGACCTGCCTGCACCTGCCTGGGGGAAGGCAAGGGGGCAGAGTCCAGAGGGTGGGGTTGACTGGTGTCTTGATAAGGTTAGGGAGGTGGCAGCGCTGAAGGAAGAGTATTTGCAAGCCTGAGGCCAGGACTGAAGCTGACTTGGGTGAGATGTCAGAGGTGGTTGGGACTACTTTGGGGCCAGAACTCTCAGCAGGAAGGTCCAGTCAGAAGAGGGATCATGGGCTGGGTGTCCACTGTGAACTTAACACCAATGCTGTAGCATGTGCCCTCACTCCCTGGTCCAGGCTGTTTCCTAAAGGGGAAGGCTCTTGGATTGGCTTTTTCTGGTTGCCATGGAAACAGATTCGATTCTCTCATCCCATCTGACCACCAGAGCCAGGTTTCTCCTCAATAAGGGGATAGGGGGCACAGGAAAATTCTCCAGCCTGGGAGGTCCCACCTCTAACTGACTTCTTTCTTTTAGGTTCCCCCAGGCACCATGCCAGCCCCGTAGTACCACCCACCTCACCCACTGTGGTCTGCTGCACCCTACTGCTGGGACACTGGTTCCAATGAGACAGGGCACACCAAACTCCACCTGGTAAGTCCTGCCCTGAGCAATGCAGTACCTCCCCTCAACAGTCCCAACTCTGCACCCCATGCAAGAAAGATTGGTATGATCTAGATCATGCCCACTCCTCAGAATGGTCCAGTCCAACTCTGAGCATCCCCCCACCATGTGGTGATTGAGTGGTTCAGTCTTCCTCATTTATGGTGCTCCCCTCTGTTGCCTGTGAATGGTTCATCCCTGTACTTCACCAGCCTCTTAACTACCACCAAAAAATCTACCCCCTCCCCAAGTGCCTCAACTCGGTTACTTATTGAATTAACCTGGGGTTTGCAGGCCAGAAAGTAGAGATAAGATAGCTGGAGGGATTTTTTTTTTCTTCTCTTTGGAATGAGGAGGGCTTTGCCCGGGTAAGAGTTGTTGAACATCTTGGCTTCTGGAGGGTGATTGGAAACTGAATTAGATACTGGAGGCCATTGTCACAAAAACCTGTCTCTTCTGCTTACCCGTCTCCTGCCAGTTCTCTGCCTAAGGTCCTGCTCCGCCCCCTCTCCCACTCTGCAGAAGAAATTATACCTGAGCTCAAGACTTCAGTTCTCTTAAGTGCGTGTTGTTCATCTCCACTACTCAGTAATACTGTTTTGAATGGGACTTAGAGAGTTTCCTTCTGTGTATCTCTCATTGTTTGGCAAGATGGTTGGCACATAGGGGTGCCTCAGAGGAATTGCGTTGAATGGGTTAACTGAGTGAGCTTCATGGCCAAGAAACTGACGGCTTCTGAGAAATGCTGCACAGCCTCCTACCTACATCTTCTCTAGAGGACATGAGACATTTGGGACGGTAACACCGGGGAAAGCTGAGGGACAGGCTGACCCCAGAAACGTCCTGTGAGGATAAAACCAACAGGGAGTAGTACAGGGGCATTATAGAACAGTGGTAAGAAGGCGTCTCTGGAAAGAAGCCTAGCTCTTACTAAAGGACTTGACCAAGTTATATAACCTCGCTGAGCCTGTTTCCTCATCTGTAAAATGGGGTAGTACGACGTCAGATTCTAGAGAGGGGTTTTAAAAATGTCTATAAGGTGCTTAACACTGTATCGGGTATGTACTAAGTATTCACTAAATGCTAGCAATTAACCATCACAATGGGAGCCACAGGAAGCTGGGAGGATAAGCATGGTTGTTGAAGAATAGGACGTAACTTAAATGAGGGCAGTGCCTGTGCCCGCAGTCGTGTCTGACTCTTTGCAACCCCGTGGACTGAAGCCTATGGAGTGGGTTGCCGTCCTCCAAGGGATCTTCCCCACCCAGGGATCGAACCCACATCTCCTGCACTGGCGGGCGGATTCTTTACCACTGAACCACCTAGGAAGCTCCACAAATGAAGGCAGGCAAACCTCTAAATACTTGACTCAAAACAGAAGGCTCACTGATCCAGCAAGACGTCACGATGCGGGGGAGTGGGGCGAGGAGTCAGCAGGGTCAGCCTGCTCCAGTGTCTCCCTGACTCTGTTCAGGAACATGAAGGCAAACACAGAAGGGCATGTGCAGAGAGACACACGTGATCACGCAAGTGATGCAGAGGCAGTCCCAGACAAAAGACCGAGACAGGAGCCAGGCAGACACACAGACCGTGTAGACAGGCGTAATGACAGGAACGCGTCAGACAAGGACTGAAGGAGACAAGATGAGCAGATATGCAGGTGCGCACGAAGACAGACACCGGGGCCCACACACTGCCGACCTTGTCAGACAGACTGGTGAACACAGCGGTCCAGTCAGAGGCAGACACAAGGCTCGCAGTGACACACAGCGGGCCGGGGCCGGCACTGTCACTTCTCGGTGAGGGGCGGGGAGGGGCCAGCAGCGGGGGAAGGCTGGGGAAGGGAATCCCGAGCGGGCGGCCTGCCCGGGGTGGCTGAGTCACAGCGGAGCCCCAGCCGGCGGCCCTCCCCTCGCCTCCCCCTCCCCCAGGTAAGAAGCGAGGTGTAACCCCTCGCTGCCGCCAGGCAGAACGGGGCCTGACAGCGAGCGGGACGCGGCAGGGTTCCCGAGCCGGCTCCACCTCCTCGCGCGTGCCGCGTGCCTGCTGACGGCCTGCTCGGTAATACCCTATCTGCGGGGTCTTGTCTTTGGCCGGCACGTGAATCTGCGTGCTCACGTCTGGCCCCTCATCCCGCACGGCTGGAGCGGTGTGCGGCTCCTCCAGCCTCGCGCCCAGAGAGTTAAGTGGGTGTGATTGATAGAGTGGTCTCTCTCGGGGCTCTAGGGGGAGGGGGGGGTGCCGGTTAAAGTCCCCGAGTCCAGAGCCCGGATGGAGGGGGCGGGGCTGGGCTTAGCCGGGAGTGCCCGGATGGAGAGGGCGTGGCCTCGGCAGGAGAAGAGTTAACCCTTTCGGAGCGGCTGACTCCCAGGACTGTGGGTCCGACGGGAGAGGCTGGAATGCCTGCCCAGAAGTGTACCGTCCTCCCAGCCTGGCTTTGGCCGCGTGCGTCTGCCGCTCATCTGTGTTTGAAGAGCCTGTGGGTGTCTGTGCCTGCTAGTCATTGTCCCGTCCCCTGGGTTAGTACGGACAGCGGGAGCCGGGGCGGGCTATTCCTACCCCAAAGCGAGAGTGGAGGTGAGAGTGGACCGCGGGCCGGCTGCCGGCCGCTGGGGAACAGGTGTGAGCGCGGCATCGGGGCTGCCCGGCGCGGGGAGGGGCCGTCGTGAGGGAAGACGAGAGGGGAAATTCCGCGGGACCGGTGGGGAGCGGTGTGTGGGCTGAGTTGTGTCTGCCTCTGACTGTGTGTGTGTCTGTGTGTGTTCAGGGAGGCGGGGGCTGAGTCAGTGGGAATAAGGGGAAGGTTTTCTGGGTGACTCACGCTCCCCCACACCAAGCCTGAATCAGACCGCGAGGGAGAGCTTTGTATTGGAGGCGGGTGGGAAGTCAGGCGCCTGGGTCCCGGGTGGGGACAAGGACCCGAGGTGGTCGGCGAGAGTGAGTGAGTGTTTAGTGTACAGGAAGTTTTTGTTCTCGAGAGAGGGCTGCTGTATTCCGAGTACCGGCGTAGGGGTTTGTGGAAAGGAGCTGGAGGACGGCACTGGCTGTTTTAGGGAAAGCTGAGTCAGTTCCCCGTGGGAAAGGGGAAGTGGTAGAGGGGAAGTGTCATCATCGCAGAAGGGGAAGTTGCATTTCCTGGTAACTGGCAGCGCCCTCGGCACCACTTCCCAGTCGGGGGTCTGTTCCTCCGATGTCCGGACCCTCGGTTCCCCGTTTTCCCTTGTCTGGTCCATGAGTCCCAGGACTTGGGTCAGGGCAACTGGCCAGGGCTATGCTTGACCGTAGTTAAGCGCTGTATTCGATCCGGGGCTTGGTAACTGACATACAGGCTGTTTGGTGAGAAGAGAGTTCTGACCGAAACTCCGCGTAAATCGCGGAAAGGGTCCGCAGAACCCCAGCGCCTGCCAGGACTCGCCGGGGACCTGTGGGGTCCAAGCGCTTGCGTGCAAATAGATGACCTTGCCCTGCGGAGGGTGGACTGTTTTCACCAGAAACCTGCCTGCCCTTGTGGGCTGGCTGGAAATTTCCCCACAGGGCAGACTTCTCTCGGCGAAGGCGAACTTTCCAGCCGCCCCCAGCCCCTAGTCGCGCGTTCTCCCCCGGCTTCCTGCCCGGCGCTAGCTCCAGCTGGAGCGCTGGCCCCGCCCCCGCCGCTTTGTACTCTACACTCGCCTCTCGCAGCTCTTTGTACTCTAGACTCTCAATGGACCGATCCTGGAGCGGAGCCGGCTTCCTACCTGCCGGGACGCCGGGTAGGCGAGGAGGCGGCGAGGGAACCGTGATCCTGGGCTCGGAGAGGCGAGAAGGAAGAACTGGGGCTAAAGGGAAGGTGCCCAGGAATGGGAGCGCTGCTCCCTTCGTGGGTCTAGCCAACACCGACGGGAAAGGGTTGGGGGGCGGGGTGAAGGAGGAAGTGAAACGGGTTCTGGGTTCTTTAAGGGAGTGGGCGGTGAGAGTGGGACAAGGGTGATGTCACCGCCTGGCGGGCCCCGCCCTCCTCCCTCCCGAAGGACACCCCCCCCCCCGTACTCTTACACACGCCGCTTCCGCTGCGCAAGTAGCCACGTCACGGGCAACCCCCGAAATCCCCCCTCCCTTGGGGGGCGGGGGCCACGTGGGCCGTGGGGAACCGCGTGGCCCTGGCGGGTAAGGGCATAGAGGATTCGGGAGCCACGCGAGAGGGGCCACTCGGGACCGCAGTGCGCGACTTCTCAGAAGTTGGGGGATTAGAGGGGGGTTTTGGCTTTGGGGGTCGGTTGGTATTGAAGACCTACAGAGCCGGGGGAAGTGGAGCTGGAGGAACTGGGTATGAAGCTGGGGACTTGACCATGTTTGGGGATGGGGGTCAGGGGTGGGGGGTGGAGCGCGCAGATCGCGGCGCGGGCGGGTTTGTGTGCCATAGAAGTTGCCCTGAGTGGCCAGCCCTAAGCAGTTCCTACAGGGTGGGGAGGTCAGAGGCTGGGCGAGATGAAGTGAGGAGGGGGAGTGACGCCTATGTCGGCCTTGTGCATCCGTGTGCCAGCTTTTCGTCTTAGGCGGCAGGGCAGGGGGCGTTTCGGGCGGTCCAGCGCGGACTACTGGCGGCTCTGGCGGCGCGTGGGACTTGCGGGTAGCTCCATGCTCCAGGCTGGCCCTAGTGTGCGACCCGCCGCCTTCACCCGCACGGGTCGCAGACTCCGCTTGCCTTGCCCGGTCGAGTGTCAGCTTGGAGTTGGAGACCCTAGGTGGGAGCCGCGGGGTCACGTCGGGGTCACCCCGGGCAGAGCCCGTCTGACCGGCTCCGCCGCCCCTCCTCCCCCGGCAGCGGCCGGGCTAACCTTGCTCCTATTGGTCCCAGCCAGGCTGTTACTGAGGCGGAGACACGGGTGATGATTGGCTTTCTGGGGAGAGAGGAAATCCTGTGATTGGTCAGGTCTCCGGAGCTCGCCGACGCCGGGAGAGGACGCTCCCACGGAGGCCGGGTAAGCGGCCGCTGCGCTGCAGCTCGGCCTCCGGGGCTCCCACCTGGAAACGTGGCTGCGCAGCCACCCCTTCACCCCGGCTTGCCCTCCCGCGTGCTCCACTCTCTGGGCCTCCGAGGGTTCCATAGGCCAGGTGGACCGCTCCTCGGGGATAGTCATCTCTGCGGAGATCAGAGACCTATAAGGGCCACAGCCAGCGGCCCCGACTGTGTGCTGGCCAGCTCACCTCCTATTCCTCTCCTCTCCGTAGAATTGTCTGTGAAAAGCCCTGGGCGACTCTCTGGGAGCAGTGGGCACTCCTGTCAGAGCGGCTGGAGCGGGACCATCGCCCCAGGGGGCTGGGGCAGGGGGCCGTGCCCTATCTCCAGGGCTCCTGGGGCCACTGCTGACCTGGTAAGGGAAGACTGGGCCGGAGTCGGCTGTGTGTACCGACAACTCAGTCTTTGTCCCCCGTAGGATCATCATTTCTTCTCCTTGATTTAGGCTGGATGCATCGGGCAGTGGACCCTCCAGGGGCCCGCACTGCACGGGAAGCCTTTGCCCTTGGGGGCTTGAGCTGTGCTGGGGCCTGGAGCTCCTGCCCGCCCCATCCCCCTCCTCGGAGCGCATGGCTGCCTGGAGGCAGGTGAGAACTTGTTTAGTCTCTGCCTCCAGGCACTCCTTTTCTTTTCCCATCTCTGTTCCTCAGCCTCTGTCATCCATCTGGTGCCATCCCTCTTTTCTGCTGTCCATCTGGTGGGCCTCAGTGTAGCCCTCAGCTGCTTTCTCTTTTTTTCTCACAGTTTTCCTCTTCCCTCAGTAGACAGAGACAGGATTGTTCCACCTTGCTGTAGATTAACAGAACTCTTCTCTCTCCAGGTGCTCTGCCAGCCTCGGGCAGCCTCCACTGTCTGCTCCCCTACCCCCTTCACACGGCAGTAGCTCTGGGCACCCGAACAAACCGTATTATGCTCCAGGGTGGGTGAGGATTGCAAGGTGCTGGGGGTGGGAGGTAAGGCTGGGCCTTGTTCCTCAAGCCTCACCACCTCCCCTCCCCTTCTGCTCTGTAGGACACCCGCCCCAAGACCCCTCCATGGGAAGCTGGAGTCCCTGCACGGCTGTGTGCAGGCATTGCTCCGGGAGCCAGCCCAGCCAGGGCTGTGGGAGCAGCTTGGGCAGCTGTACGAGTCCGAGCACGACAGTGAGGAGGCTCTCCGCTGCTACCACAGCGCCCTTCGATACGGAGGAAGCTTGGCTGAGCTGGGCCCCCGGGTCGGCCGACTCCAGCAGGTGGGATGAGGCGGGACACAGGGAGCTGGGGTTGTGAGTTCTGACTCAGGGCCCTCATTTTACATCTGCTTCTGCCCTGTCTTCTGCACTCTCCCCCCACCTTCTCAGGCCCAGCTCTGGAACTTTCACGCTGGGTCCTGCCAGCACCGACCCAAGGTCCTGCCCCCATTGGAGCAAGTGTGGAACTTGCTGCACCTTGAGGTGAGGCTGGGGCTGGGTGTGCTAGGGACGAGGGCCAGCCTGGTCTGCGCCTGTGCCATTCTCTCTCTCCTTTTTGTCCTTAGCACAAACGGAACTACGGGGCCAAGCGGGGGGGTCCCCCAGTGAAACGAGCCGCTGAACCCCCAGTGGTGCAGCCTGTGCCTCCCGCAGCACTCTCAGGCCCCTCGGGGGAGGAGGGGCTCAGCCCTGGCGGCAAGCGCAGGAGAGGCTGCAGCTCTGAGCAGGTACGCTGGCACCTGGGTGGTCAGCAGTGGGCGGGCAGGGCTGGGGTGAGGAGTGGGCCTCTCACATTCTCTTTTCTTCCAGACGGGCCTTCCCCCAGGGCTGCCGCTGCCTCCACCACCGTTGCCACCACCCCCACCCCCTCCCCCTCCCCCACCTCTGCCTGGCCTAGCCACCAGCCCTCCATTTCAGCTGACCAAGCCAGGGCTGTGGAGTACCCTTCATGGAGATGCCTGGGGCCCCGAGCGCAAGGGTTTAGCACCCCCAGAGCGCCAGGTGAGCTCCCCTCTGTGGCCACTTGCCTCTCAGCTACAGGTTGGTCCCCGTGTTCTCCATTTCTCATGCGGCATCCTCATTTCTCACTGACAGGAGCAGCGGCACTCGCTGCCTCACCCATATCCATACCCAGCTCCGGCTTACCCTGCTCACCCCCCTGGCCACCGGCTGGTCCCGGCTGCTCCCCCAGGCCCAGGCCCCCGCCCCCCAGGAGCAGAGAGCCATGGCTGCCCGCCTGCCACCCGTCCCCCCGGAAGTGACCTTAGAGAGAGCAGAGTTCAGAGGTCGCGGATGGACTCCAGCGTTTCACCAGCAGCAACCACCGCCTGCGTGCCTTACGCCCCTTCCCGGCCCCCCGGCCTCCCCGGCACCACCAGCAGCAGCAGCAGCAGCAGCAGCAACAACACTGGTCCCCGTGGCGTGGAGCCGAGCCCAGGCATTGTGAGTGACAGCCACAGGTGGCGGGGGGTGGGGTGTTGTGCCTGGAGCAGCCCTCTGACCTCGGCCCTGCTCCTCTTGCAGCCCGGCGCTGACCATTACCAAACGCCCGCGCTGGAGGTCTCCTCTCACCAAGGCCGCCTGGGGCCCTCGGCACACAGTAGTCGGAAACCCTTCCTGGCGGCTCCTGCTGCCACTCCCCACCTGTCCCTGCCACCCGGCCCTGCCTCGCCTCCTCCACCCTCTTGTCCCCGCCTCTTACGCCCCCCACCCCCCCCTGCCTGGCTGAAGGGCCCAGCCTGCCGGGCAGCTCGTGAAGATGGAGAGATCTTAGAGGAGCTCTTCTTCGGGGCTGAGGGACGCCCCCGCCCTCCCCCTCCCCCACTTCCCCACCGCGAGGGCTTCTTGGGGCATCCGGCCCCCCGCTTTTCTGTGGGCACTCAGGATTCGCACACCCCTCCCACTCCCCCAACCACCAGCAGCAGCAGCAGCAACAATGGCAGCCACAGCAGCAGCCCTACTGGGCCTGTGTCCTTCCCCCCACCTCCTTATCTGGCCAGAAGTATGGACCCCCTTCCCCGGCCCCCCAGCCCCACACTGAGCCCCCAGGACCCACCCCTTGCACCCATGACTCTTGCCCTGCCTTCAGCCCCCCCCTCCTCTCGCCACCAAAATACCTCAGGAAGCTTCAGGCGCCCGGAGAGCCCTCGGCCCAGGGTCTCCTTCCCAAAGACCCCCGAGGTGGGGCCGGGGCCATCCCCAGGCCCCCTGAATAAAACCCCCCAGCCTGTGCCGCCCAGGGTGGGGGAGCTGCCTGCCCGAGGCCCTCGACTTTTTGATTTCCCCCCTACCCCTCTGGAGGACCAGTTTGAGGAGCCAGCTGAATTCAAGATCCTACCTGATGGGCTGGCTAATATCATGAAGATGCTGGATGAATCTATTCGCAAGGAGGAGGAGCAGCAACAACAGGAGGCAGGCGCGGTCCCCGTCCCCCCGCCTCCTCTGAAGGAGCCCTTTGCATCTCTGCAGCCTCCGTTCCCCACCGACACAGCCCCAGCCACCACTGCTGCCACCGCCGCCGCCACCACCACCACCACCACCACGGCCACCCAGGAAGAGGAGAAGAAGCCACCAGCCCTGCCACCACCACCGCCTCTAGCCAAGTTCCCCCCACCACCCCAGCCACAGCCGCCGCCACCCCCGCTTCCCCCACCAGCCAGCCCGGCCAGCCTGCTCAAGTCCTTGGCCTCCGTGCTGGAGGGACAAAAGTACTGTTACCGAGGGACTGGAGCTGCTGTTCCCACCCGGCCTGGGCCCTTGCCCGCCACTCAGTATTCCCCTGGTCCCTCATCAGGTGCTACCGCCCTGCCGCCCACCTCAGCGGCCCCGAGCGCCCAGGGCTCCCCGCAGCCCCCCGCTTCCTCGTCATCTCAGTTCTCTACCTCAGGCGGGCCGTGGACCCGGGAGCGCAGGGCCAGCGAAGAGCCAGCCCCAGGCCCCATGGCCCCCGCCCCGCCGCCCCCACCCCTGCCTCTGCCCCCTGCTCGCTCTGAGTCTGAGGTGCTAGAAGAGATCAGTCGGGCTTGTGAGACCCTTGTGGAGCGGGTAGGCCGGAGCGCCACAGACCCAGCAGACCTGGTGGACACAGCAGATGCAGCGGACAGTGGAGCTGAGCGATTGCTGCCTCCACCTCCGGCCAAGGAGGAGAGTGTTGGGGTGGCAGCCGCTGCAGGACCTGGGAGCAGCAAGCGGCGGCAGAAGGAGCACCAGAAAGAGCACCGGCGGCATAGGCGGGCCTGCAAGGACAGTGTGGGGCGGCGGCCCCGTGAGGGCAGGGCCAAGGCCAAGGCCAAGGCCCCCAAAGAAAAGAGCCGCAGGGTGCTGGGGAACCTGGACCTGCAGAGCGAGGAGATCCAGGGTCGGGAGAAAGCCCGGCCGGATCTTGGTGGGGCCTCCAAGGCCAAACCACCCACAGCTCCGGGCCCTCCACCAGCCCCTGCCCCTTCTGCCCAGCCCACACCCCCAGCAGCCCCTGCCCCTGGGAAGAAGGCCCGAGAGGAAGCTCCAGGGCCACCAGGGGTCAGCCGGGCTGACATGCTGAAGCTGCGCTCGCTCAGTGAAGGGCCCCCCAAGGAGCTGAAGATCCGGCTTATCAAGGTAGAGAGCGGTGACAAGGAGACCTTCATCGCCTCTGAGGTGGAAGAGCGGAGGCTGCGGATGGCAGACCTCACCATCAGCCACTGCGCCGCTGACGTTGTGCGTGCCAGCAAGTGAGTTGGGGGCTGTCACCTAGGAGGGTGTTGGCCTGGCCTGGCCCGGCAGGAGGGCCCCTTACCCAGCCTGCTAATATTTGTGTTTTAATAATTTCGCTGTCCTTCCACAGGAACGCCAAGGTGAAAGGGAAGTTTCGAGAGTCCTACCTGTCCCCTGCCCAGTCTGTGAAACCGAAGATCAACACTGAGGAAAAGCTGCCCCGGGAAAAACTCAACCCACCCACACCTAGCATCTATGTACGTGTGCCCTGTATGCTCAAAACCGCCCCTGCCTGTGAATTTTAGGACAGGGTTGGGGCTGTTGGGGTGCCCTGAGCCTAGGACAGGGCTCTGACCCCAGCCCTGTCTCCTTGGTTGTCCCTCAGCTGGAAAGCAAACGGGATGCCTTCTCGCCGGTGCTGTTGCAGTTCTGTACTGACCCTCGAAATCCCATCACCGTGATCCGGGGCCTGGCAGGCTCCCTGCGGCTCAGTGAGTGTGTGGGTAGAAAGGTGTGGGGAGGGCTGCAAGGATCTGGGACTTCAGGGACCTCTGAGGGTCCCTCCTCTGGAAGACCAGACCACAGCTATAGTGAGCTCTCCTCAGTCACATGTAAGCCGTATTTGACGAGTGCTCTGAGTGGGGGGTCAGCTGACTTCAGGTTTCCCTTCCATCTGTTTGAACCCAGCGGTAGGCAAGTGGAAAGGGGGAGGGATCTCAGGATCTGGTTAAGAGTCATTTCTGGTTTTCTTGGTGATGAAGGATCTGAAGAATACAGATTGTGCAAAACCTGAGAAGCCTCGTGGTTTAGGGCTTTCGTCCTTTTCAGCTTTTTATAGTGCACAATTTCAAACAGATACAAAAGTAAAGGGAAACCATACAGAATTGTAAAATCAGTCTTGTTTTTTCTATACTTGTAGCTCTCCATTACCCACATATCCTCCCCTTCCTTCACTTTTACTTGAAGCAAATTCTAAGCTTTCACTTGACAGAAAGAAAACTTTCATTGGATCCTGTGATAATGTAAAGAAATTGTTCTTCATTGAGCATATACTGTGTCAAGTGTTCTGCATGTGTGGCCTCATACATACATGAGGACTCTGGGGGAGCGGCTGGGACCAAACAGCAGGGGGAGAAAGGGGGTTGGCTCTGATCCAGGTAAAGGCCAGGTCAGGGAGGGCCAACCCTCCCAGCTTCATGAGCGGCTAGGGTTCTCATCTGTGCTTTCTGGATCGAGCTCTGAGAAGCCTGTGTCCACCCCGTCAGAGGTGTGAGGAGCAAGAAGGGACAGGGTGAGTTGGGGCCTCACTCCCTTCTCCGGCCTCCCTTGCAGACTTGGGCCTCTTTTCCACCAAGACACTGGTGGAGGCGAGTGGGGAGCACACGGTGGAGGTGCGCACCCAGGTGCAGCAGCCCTCGGATGAGAACTGGGACCTGACGGGTACACGACAGATCTGGCCCTGTGAGAGCTCCCGTTCCCACACCACCATCGCCAAGTACGCGCAGTATCAGGCTTCATCCTTCCAGGAATCCCTGCAGGTGAGAGCTGCCCATGCAGGCAGAGGCAGGGGGTGTGGGATCAGGGGACTTGGAGCCCTGGTTGTGGTGGGCAGACTCCAGGAAGGTGGCTGACCCAGGCCTGCCTACCCCTGTGGCTGAGCAGGAGGAGAAGGAGAGTGAGGACGAGGAGTCAGAGGAGCCGGACAGCACCACAGGAACCCCTCCTAGGTAGGATGCTTTGCCCCTGCCGTTCATGACTCCTTCCCTTCCCTGCACTTCCCCACCAACCTGTGCACTTCACTCCTGCAGCAACACACCAGACCCGAAGAACCATCACATCATCAAGTTTGGCACCAACATCGACCTGTCCGATGCTAAGCGGTCAGTGGGGCTGAGGCGAGCCAGCTGGGGCGGGAATGCCAACCGGTCGGCAAAGTCCAGATAGTCGCTCACCTGGCTGCCCCCTCGCCCCCGCAGGTGGAAGCCCCAGCTGCAGGAGCTGCTGAAGCTGCCCGCCTTCATGCGGGTCACTTCCACGGGCAACATGCTGAGCCACGTGGGCCACACCATCCTGGGCATGAACACGGTGCAGCTGTATATGAAGGTGCCCGGCAGCCGAACGCCAGGTGCGCTCCTAGCAGTGCTGCCGCTGGCGCTCCTCTGTAAACCAATGAGCGCCCAAGGGCGGGCTCATCGCGCTACGCAGGCTCAGCTCCCACTGACCGTGCAGTTCTCTATCGCCCCCTGCAGGCCATCAAGAGAACAACAACTTCTGCTCGGTCAACATCAACATTGGCCCAGGTGACTGCGAGTGGTTCGCGGTGCACGAGCACTACTGGGAGACCATCAGCGCCTTCTGCGACCGGTGCGCGCCACCTTCCTCTCCAACTAGATAAGCCCCCACGTCCTGTCCTTGGATCCCCAGATTTCCATCTGACTCTGTGGTTCTCCTCCAGGCACGGCGTGGACTACCTGACGGGTTCCTGGTGGCCAATCCTGGATGATCTCTATGCTTCCAACATCCCTGTGTACCGCTTCGTGCAGCGCCCCGGAGACCTGGTGTGGATTAACGCGGGCACCGTGCACTGGGTGCAGGCCACTGGCTGGTGCAACAACATCGCCTGGAACGTGGGGCCCCTCACCGGTGAGAGAGTGGTGCCAGGTGGTGGGGTGAGCCACTCAGCGGTGAGGGGCTGGGTCCCTGGGGAGTGAGCCCTGTAGAGGGGTCGGCTTGGAGGGCGCCAGGGCTGCGGCCCAAGTGGCTGGAGCTGTTGGTCACTTGTGATCCTCTCTGGCCTGCAGCCTATCAGTACCAGCTGGCCCTGGAACGATATGAGTGGAATGAGGTGAAGAATGTCAAATCCATTGTGCCCATGATTCACGTGTCCTGGAACGTGGCTCGCACGGTCAAAATCAGCGACCCCGACTTGTTCAAGATGATCAAGTGAGGGAGGGCCCTGTTTGGGAGGGAGCCCATCCCCATCCGACCTGGCCCGCAGAACAATTCCTGGTTCCACCCCTTCCTCCAGCCACCTGTCCGCCGGGTCAGTCCTGCGGGGCTGCTGTGCTGGGTCGTCTGACAAGGCCCCCTGCCCTGGAAGCTTTGTTCTCTCGCAGTCTGAGTACATGAAATTTCTCCTGTGACGGATGTGTCGGGAGGTGACCGGGGAGGCCCGGCCCGCCCCATCATCCCCTCGCCCCGCCCGCAGGTTCTGCCTCCTGCAGTCCATGAAGCACTGCCAGGTGCAGCGGGAGAGCCTGGTGCGGGCCGGGAAGAAAATTGCCTACCAGGGCCGGGTCAAGGACGAGCCCGCCTACTACTGCAACGAGTGCGACGTGAGTGCCCCCGTCCCCGCTTCCCTGGGGGCCGGCACTGTCCTTGGGCCTCCCTCTCTGTGACCTCCGCCCCCTCCCCGCCGCAGGTGGAGGTGTTCAACATCCTGTTCGTGACGAGCGAGAACGGCAGCCGCAACACCTACCTGGTGCACTGCGAGGCGTGCGCGCGGCGCCGCAGCGCGGGCCTGCAGGGCGTAGTGGTGCTGGAGCAGTACCGCACCGAAGAGCTGGCGCAGGCCTATGACGCCTTCACGCTGGTGAGGGCCCCGCGCGGCGGGCGGACGGGCAGGCGGGGACAGACGGGGGCGCCGGGGCGGGCCCGGGGGTGGGCGACCGCGCCCCTGAGCCCCGCCCGCTCTCTCCCGCAGGCCCCCGCCAGCACGTCGCGATGAGGCCGGACGCCCCGCCCGCCCGCCCGCCCTGCGGGCGCCGCGGGGCCACCAGCACACGCCTGGGCTGGACCTAGGTCCCGCCTCTGGCCGGGAAGGGGGTCGGGCCCAGCCCTTCCACCCCATTGGCAGCTCCCCTCACTTAATTTATTAAGAAAAAATAATTTTTTTTAAACAAATATGAGGAAAAAAAGGAAAAAAAATGGGAGACGGGGGAGGGGGCTGGCAGCCCCTCGCCCATCAGCGCCTCCCCTCACCGACTTTGGCCTTTCTAGCAACAGACACAAGGACCAGGCTCCGGCGGCGGCGGGGGTCACATACGGGTTCCCTCACGCCTGCCAGCCGCCCGCCCGCCCGCCCGGCGCAGACGCACGCGGCTCGCGTATGTACATAGACGTTACGGCAGCCGAGGTTTTTAATGAGATTCTTTCTATGGGCTTTACCCCTCCCCCGAACCTCCTTTTTTACTTCCAGTGCTAGCTGTGACCCCTGTACATGTCTCTTGTTTATTCACTTGGTTATGATTTGTATTTTCTGGGTTTTTTTTGTTTTTTGTTTTTTGGTTTTTAATTTATAACAGTCCCACTCACCTCTATTTATTCATTTTTGGGAAAACCCGACCTCCCGCACCCCAAGCCATCCCGCCTGCCCCTCCAGGGACCGCCCGCTGCCGGGCTTTCCTTGCGCCCTAGTGTGTGTCCGGGCCCGGCCCGACCGTCTCCGCCCGTCCACCCGCCCGCCCGCGGCTCCAGCCGGGTTCTCATGGTGCTCAAACCCGCTCCCCTCCCCCTATGTCCTGCACTTTCTCGGACCAGTCCCCCACTCCCGACCCGACCCCAACCACGCCTGAGGGTGAGCGACTCCTGTACTGTAGGGGAAGAAGTGGGAACTGAAATGGTATTTTGTAAAAAAAAAAAAGAAAAAGAAAAAAAATGAAAAAATTTTAAAGTTTTAAAGAAAGAACTATGAGGAAAAGGAACCCCGTCCTTCCCAGCCCCGGCCAATTTTAAAATCACGGACCTTCCCCTCACCACCCCACTCTCCCCTTTTTTCTTTTTAAGCGTGAAACAGCCCAGGCCAGGGCCTCACTGGGGCAGGGACACCCCGGGATGAGTTTCTGGGGCTCTATTTTCGTTGTGTCGGTTTTTTGTTTTTTTCTCCTCCACGCTGGGGCTGCGGAGGGGTGGGGGATTTACAGTCCCGCCCCCTCGCACTGCACTGTCTTTCTGCCCCAGGGGCAGAGGGGTCTTCCCAACCCTACCCTTATTTTCGGTGATTTTTGTGTGAGAATATTAATATTAAAAATAAAATCAGAAAAAAAAAATCCTGTTTCGGTAACGTGCTAGTGGTAGCAGGGAGAACCCTGGGAGGAGGGCAGACCGTGATTGATGGGGAAGGACTGCGCAGACCCCGGCTAGGGGAGCCCCTCCCCGGAGGCGACTGTGGAATGTCCAGAGCTCCGGTCTCTCCTTGGTATGGGGGGGTGCCTAATCCTGGAGTCGCATTCCAGGATAAGGGGGGGGGGTGGGGAGAGGCTGGGCCGGGGGAGGGGCAGGAAAGAGGACTATAAGGGCCGCGGCCCAGGCGGGAGGGAGCCAGGCGGGCCATGGCGGATGTCCCCGGGGCGCAGCGACCGGTTCCCGGCGGCGGCCCAGAGCCCCGGGACCCCCTGGATTGCTGGGCCTGCGCTGTGCTGGTCACGGCCCAGAATCTCCTGGTGGCCGCCTTCAACCTTCTCCTGCTGGCGCTGGTGTTGGGGACCATCCTGCTGCCCGCTGTCACCATGCTAGGCTTTGGCTTCCTATGCCACTCCCAGGTGAGCATGCGCCCGCGTTGTCGGGGAAGGGTGGCGGCGGGGTCTGCGGGCCACAGCCTCGCCGGGCCGGGCTGTTTGGCTTGGGCCTCACGCCGCTTCTCCTCCCACAGTTCCTTCGCTCCCAGGCACCCCCTTGCACCGCGCACCTGCGGGACCCGGGCTTCACAGCCCTGCTGGTCACTGGATTCCTGCTCCTCGTGCCGCTGCTCGTGCTTGCCCTGGCCAGCTACCGCCGCCTCTGCCTGCGCCTCCGCCTGGCCGATTGCCTCGTGCCTTACAGCCGAGCCCTCTACCGGCGCCGGCGCAACCCGCAGCCGCGGCCAGCCCGGTCCTCGCCAGGGCCCCAGGTTGCTCCAACCTCAGGAAAGGTCTGGGTCTGAGGACCCTCGAGTCAAGAACTACCCTGATGACTGCCCTCCCTCCCGGTCGGCCCAAGGACTTGAAGCCCTCACTCGTGCCTAAACCCGGTCCAGCATCCCCTTAGGGAACTGAACATCTGTTGGCCCAATTCTGGTGAAAATTTGCCACACCCTGAAATCCCACTTTCGTCTCACTACCCCTATCTGAATCCTGAACATTTGGGCCGGACCCTGCATCCCCCCAGCCCCCTGTGAATAGACCTCACTGGTGCTCTCCTTTTTCGGTGCTGCTCCTAGTATTTACGGACTGGGGGGCGGGGGGGTGGGGGGCAGTGGCGAGGTTGGAGGGGAAGGAGTCATCACACATCAATAAAGAATTAATGAACTGAACGCAGTCCTGGGATCCTGTGAACAGAGGGACGGCACAAACACTATCATTCCTGAGACGGCCCAGGAGCAGGAAACAGCAAAGGGGTGGGGGGTGGGGGTAGCGCTAGTTCGTAGGCCGGAGCATCCTTAAGTCTCCTGGCCTTTCCTTATCGCATTAGCCCGCTCTTCCTGGCCAGACCCCAGAGCTCTGTCCCTGACCCCAAAGGCACCTTCTCACCAATAGAGTGAAGGGGGCCCGGCCTCTGTCGCCTGCCCTGCTCCCCTTGGGGACCCAAGTCTGTTCTCTGACCCCAGCTTAAGAGGAACTCGGTGTTGCCAGGCCGGAGAGGGAAACAATGGGCCTTCCGGAGCAGGATGACACCCCCCTCCTGCCACAATTCTGGAGCAGCTGCGTGGGAGGGAAGACGGAGGGGCCCATCCTAGGGCCTGTGGATCTGAGGTTCAGCCTGTCCCCCATCCTGACCTCGAATGTGAGAGAACCTTTTGCAGTCCTGGACATCCAGGTTGTGGAAGGAGGGCTGAGTGCTCCCGACCTCAGATAAGCTTGCTCTAGGGATGAGATGTGCAATCCCTGCCCCAGCATCCCAGCTACACACAGACACAGGTTACGGTCAGTTACAGGTTTAATGAGGACTGAAAGGCATGTGCGACAGGGCTCAGAGATAGGGAGGCCCCGCCAGACTCTCTCTTTGCACCTCAATAGAAACGATGTGGTGTCCAGGTACCATGGCCAGACCCAAGACACGGGGTTCCCCGGCAGAGAAGGAATCTGGAAAGAAGAGTCAGAGAGCATTAGGGAGGCAGGACAGGGTCGGCCACGCCCCCTCTGAGCCACGACTTCTAGCCCCAGAAAATAAGGTGTGCGGCCAGGCACTTCAGGGGAAATGCCTTGCGTGAGGCTCCGCCGCATTCCCCGGTGGGTGTGCAGTCCCTGAGCACTAACCCGACGGCTTGAGGAACTCCTGCGCCGAGCCCAGGATAACGTTGCAGTCACGGTCGGTGCAGAGGAAGCAACCGACCAGGGTCCGTCCATCTGTCATGCGAATGCGCATAGTCTTGTTAAGCAGCGCCTCCAGCTGCTGCCTAGCGCGCGCAGCCGGCGAGTCCTCCTCGCGCTCCCCGTCTGAGTCCTGTGCGGGGCGGGACAGGCGCTCAGACCGCGCCGCCCGGCTGCAGCCCGCCCGCGGAACCACAGCTCCCGACAGCCTGCGGGGCGCTCACACGAAGCCCAGAGGCTGCCGGGACCTGCAGTTCCCCTTCCGTTCCCCCATCTTGCTCCCCGACAGCCCCTCAATCCCAGAACCCGAGCTAACCCCGGCGCTGGAGCTGCTTTGACGCCGGCTGCAACAACCATTTTCCTCTCGTAGCAGCATCGTTGGTCCAGCTCCGGCCATTTGTTCCCGGGCCTCCTACAAGCCCTTCAACTTCCTAAGAATCTTTTGAGTCCGGTGGTCTGAGATCTCGCGAGCGCTCCCGACCTATTTTCTTTCGCGAGATCACCTCTCCAGTTCTTCGTCTCTTCGGCAACTGCAGAGATCTCGCGAGCTTCTTCTACACCAGTGCTGCGGCTCAAGGAGGCCTATTACGCCGGACGTATTACGATATCGCGAGAATTTTTCAACTCTCTAGATTCTTACCGGTCTCACTGGAATTTAGCGACAATTTCATAATTACACTCCTCCGCTTCGTTTTTTTTTCCCTGCCTCGCGAGATAGTCTGTCTCAAAGAGTCCCTGTAACCCAGACCACTGAATGAATTAAAACGGAGTGTGTTCTCTTTCCCTCGGACCTCTTGAGGACACAATTACTTGAACGCCGGAATCGGACTACGTTTCCCATGAGCACCCGCAGCCCACGCCCCTCTATGCCTGTACAGCGTTCAATCTCAGTAGACGGTGGCCGGAAAGGAACAATGGTTTCCATGTCAGCAGATAAACGCGCTCGCCTTAGCTACCGGACGAGGGAGGATGCAGTAGTGAGTGCGTGCTGAAAAGCGAGGAAGCAACTAAAGTCAGTGAGCAATAGAGCAAGAGCTATGCCAAGCCGGGGCCTAGTGGCCGGGCCAAACTTTGAGTATTTTCAACGTCGCTATTTCACGCCTGCCGAGGTGGCCCAACATAACCAGCCGGAAGACCTCTGGGTGTCTTACCTGGGAAACGTGTACAACCTAACCCCGTTGGCACAGGAGTACAAGGGTAAGGGCCACAATTTGGGCCAGCGTCGGGGGCGTGTGATTCTTAGATGGCTAGCACTGACGGCGGCTGCTCCTTCCCAGGAGACTTGCTGCTGAAACCCATCGTGGAAGTGGCAGGCCAGGATATCAGCCACTGGTTTGATCCGAAAACCAGAGACGTGAGTTCTTCTGGAAACTGGGGTTGAGGGGAGGAGGCGCTGGAGGGTGAAGAGGAAAAATAGAGGCCAACCAGAGCCCGAGATAGTGACTGCTCCCACCCTCCTCCCCTGCTTTAAAGATCCGCAAGCACATAGATCCGCTGACCGGTTCCCTGAGATACCGCACCCCCCGGGGCCGCTTTCTGCACGTGCCGCCTCAGCTACCCCGTTCGGACTGGGCCAATGATTTCGGGAAGCCTTGGTGGCAAGGGTCGCGTTACGAGGTGGGGCGGCTGTCCGCCAAGACCCGGAATATCCGCATCATTAACACGCTCACGTCGCAGGAGCACACACTGGAGGTGAGAACTGGTGCCTGGGGGCAGGATAGAGGGAACTAAGAACCCCAGCAAAACTCCAAACAGCTCTGCAGGCCAGCAGCTCTCCACAGCCAATGGAAGCTGTGTTTTCTTCCCTTTTAGGGGTAACAGAGGAAAGGTTACCTGGGTTCTGGGGGTTGGGAATTCGAGCCCAGGGCGACAGTTTGTACATCTTAGTGATGGTGGTCCTCAGAAGCTCTTTCGTGCTGTGTTTTTGTACAGCAGTTCCAAGAGTACTCTTACTAGTCTACTTTATTGTGGGGATGAGGTCAGGGCAGTGACGTTTGGGCCATCTGTTTATTAGAAGTGGCTGCCACAAAGGCAGGTAGGATTCGGGGGCCATTCATTGCATGCTGGAGCTTCAACTTTATTTATGGGACCGTGGAGTGCCTTAATCTGCTGTTATCTGCCAAGGGAAGCACCCTAACCCCAGCTCTGTCGCCTTCTGGGCTTCTGGCCTTTGCTTTGTGTGTGTGTGTGTGTTCCACCCAGAATTCTGGGGTGGCGTGCTTTCATGTTCTCCAGGTGGGGGCCCTGGAATCGATGTGGGAAATCCTACACCGCTATCTCCCCTATAATGCACATGCTGCCAGCTACACGTGGAAATATGACGGCAAGAACCTGAACATGGATTATACTCTGGAGGAGAATGGGATCCAGGATCAGCAGGAAGAATTTGATTACCTCAATATGGACAGTACACTTTACACACCTGCAGTACTACTGTACTTCAATGATGACCTCACAGAACTATAGGACGGGAGGCGTATGCTCCTGTAGACTCAAGACAGATTTGGAGTTTAGCTGTTTCTGTGCCCTGGAGGAAAAGAGGTGGGGATGGGGAGGGGCGATGCCTGGACCTAGACCTTTCCACTCTGGGAGCTGGCATGAGGTTCCCATGCCCTACTGAAGTGTAAAGATCCTGTTCCTCAGGTTCATTAGCATTTACTCTGAGAAAGCTAGGAAGAATGCTAGAAATGGATTCATTTTTAGGAATGATACAAGAAAAATAAGGTATCTTAGATCAGGGAGATGTAGAAGAGGATAGTCAAATAGAGCTCAGAAAGAACTTATCCATAGTAAGAGAAAGAGAAGTTCTACACAGGGATGAGGGATGGAAGAACTTTTCTGGCAATGATGGAAATGGCATAGCTGCACGAAGATGGGATTTACAAAGACAGGAAGAGGAGATATCTGCCACTGGCCACACAAAACTGGTTAGTCTTTCTTCTGAATAGTATTTGGCAGCTGAAACCGAAGAGGAAGAGGGGGAGTGAATGGTCACCAGGTAATTCAGGCCAAATATTATGCTATATATGCTAATTTAATATAACTACCCATAAGACAGATACCATTCCCACTGTTCTACAGATAAATCTTCTCAAGCTTAGCAAGAAGCTTAATTGCACAGAAGGTACACTAGTTCGCAACCAGAATGTAAATGCAGGTCTTTCCAATTCCAAAGTGTGTGTTCTTTTCAATATGAAGAGAATATGTCAGTGTCCCAGCTTACTGCATAGTGGGAACCTATAGGCCTATTGTGTAGTTAGCCATGGTGTGGTTTTTTTGTTTGTTGGAGTTATTGTCTCTGGAAGGGAGTTAGCAGAGTTCTCCTGTGGCAGAGAGGACACAGGGAAGGGTAAGTGTCAGCTAAATAACAGCTGTTGAGGCTACTTCATGGTTAAACCCACAGCAAACCTTTCCTCTGACTCTTCTGAGGCACAGAGGTGGGTATATACTGACTCCAGGAAAACGAGAGTGGGTAAGGGCCACTGGATAGGCCACTTTGGGTACAAAAGTGTATCCACATGGGGTACAAAAAGGAAGCATTGGCATGTATATTCATGATGGGCCTGTGCCTCTGATGGGAAGGTGAAGAAGATGGAGTTGGCCTTGCCAGATGGTGACTCTGCAAGAAGGGGCTTGACAGGGGTGATGCAAAGGGAGAAGCTAACTAAGTCAACTAAGCTAACTAAGTTCTCAAAGGAGAACAACCATGGAGGGCAGTAGCCAGATTTAGTCCCCTATGACCTAAGCAGGGAAGGGGAAATGAGCATAACAGGTGAATTTCTTGACAGTTTCAGGCAAAAAAAATAAGCAGGGAGATTGTTAGTGCATCTTCCTGGAAGGTGGCCCCCTAGGAGACAGTGGGTGGGCTGCACAGGAGTGCTGAGGGGCTGATTAGGAATGGCATGGACAGAGGTAGGGATGTCTGTGTCCCCCTTTGGCTTCAGCAGTGTCTTAATTCACTGTGAGACAGCTTCCATTCAGTCCCATGTAATGACAGAATCCATGAATTATCTCAATCATTTTGACCTTTCATCAACTCTGCAGCTGTTTCATGTGTATCTTGTTTGCTCAGTTAAACCCGGGAACTATTTGAGAACCAAAACTATGCTGTTGCTCTAGCCTTGGCCTTAGTGCCTGTGCCTATGCGATCTGCCCAAACTTGCCCCTCTTTCCACATTTCCTACTTCAGTACCTCTTGCCAGACACACATCCCTGTCCTCACACACAGTCACTCTCCAAGCAGATTCTATCACCTAAATATCCCTGGGATCCATCTGCTTTTCTCAAAGCTGTCACTATTTCTGGTCTGGAGTGCTTCCTAACCAGTCCTCCCATATCCACTTCTGTCCTCCCTGGTGGCTCACTGGTAAAGGATCCACCTGCCAATGCAGGAGATGCAGATCGATTCCTGGATTGGGAAGATCCTCTGAAGAAGAAAATAGCATCCCACTCCAGTATTCTTGCCTGGAGAATCCCATGGACAGAGGAGCCTGACAGGCTGCACTCCATGTGGTCACAAAGAGTCGGACACGACTTAGTGACTAAACAACAGCCTCCACACAGAGCAGAGTGAGCTCTGAAAAACAAACCTAAACATCTAACTTTCCTCCTGCAGATATCCCAGGGGCTTCCAGTTGCTTCTGGAATAAAATCCTAAATCCAAAGACCTTGCATAAATCAGCCTCTACCTGGCATCATCCCATCTTCATTCCCTACCTCCCAGTCACACTGGCTGGGTTTCTGTTCACTAAATGCCTTTCTGCCTCAGAGCTGACACACAGGCTGTCCTCCCTGCTTGCAACACTCTCTCATTTCCCACCTCGATAAAAGTGTTTCTTCCTCACAGCAACCTTGTTTGATTTCTTGATGTAGGTCAAGACTTTCTGTTAAATCTTCTCTTAGCACCAGGCCTATTTCAGAGCGCTTATTACAATAGTAATGTTAACATTATGGATGTAATTGGCTGGCTGGCTGCTAGATTGTAAACTCACAAGGGCAGATAGCATGTCCATCTTGTTCACTGCTGTATTCCCAGTGTTGGGCACACAGTTGCTGCGCAATAAATTTTGATGAACTCAAATGTTAAGTGAATTCCTCTGCCTGTAATAACTAGTGGATGGATGCTGTGTCCTGGGGGGCAAGATGGGACCAAGAAATAGGATGTCTGGGTCCCAAACTGTAATCTCTGTCCACGGGTTTCTTTCCTTGCTTGCCATAGATCCAAGACCAAAAGTGACTCCATAGAAGTTCTTCCCCGATTTTTTGGGGCAATTGACCTGTCTTTTCTCTATATGGCCACCAGGTGGCTGTAGTCACCTATAGAGTGAAGGGAGAGGGGCCTAGCCAAGGAAAAACACTTTCAACTTCTAAACAGGTTAGGATTAAAGGTAGCCCATGGAAATACATAGGTGGGAGGAAAGGATTAGGAAAAAAGAGAAAACAACATGGCCACTATTCTGTTAGCATTAGGTTTATTCCTGTTTTTTTTTCATAAGCACATGCCAGAAAAGGAGTGTAGTTTGACAAATAAAACTCATGGGATAGGCCATGAAGGGGGTCTGATTACAGGAGTGGGTGTGTACAGGGTGAGGCACAGAACTATGGAAGGGATAAAGTTCAAAAATTTTTCAGATAATAGAGTATGTTCATTTATTCTTAGTAGGCTTGTTTTGCTTGTATAAAGCTTTCTACTGGGCACTACCTTGATTCTCTAGATATCCAAGACTGGATATTTGCATGAAGAGTATGTGAATAATGCCTGTTCCTAAAACCTAGATTCTAAATAGAACATGAGTGTAGGCTTCAGGTCCTTCTGTGGTGGTCTCTCGTTTTGGAGGGAGGTGGGGTGGGGGTATATTGAAAGAACAGTTTCCTATCCTAAGTAGATCACTGCAGCTTCAAAGAATTCACCTGGTGAATATTTCCCACAAGCCTCAGTCACTAGATGCACATATCCTTTGCAGGAAGCTTGCTCACTCAATGGGCTACAACATGCATACATGAAAAGGTAAATGAATGGTAAAGGACAAAATTATGGCAAATCACAATTAGCCTGGGCCTGCAGAAATGATTTCTAAATATTATGTGTATGTGTTTATGTCTGCATCTGCAGAGATGGAGATGTGTATGATTTTGGAGAAAAGTGCTGTAATTTCCATCTTAGTCTCAAAATGGCCCAGCCCCTGACCCTGAAATAGTACACACATAAGCACAATCATAAAGACCCCAAAAGTAAAGTATCAAAGGTGACAATACAGTGTGGTCCCAGGATTCCTGTCACCTGCCTCAATGGTCTACTTCAACCTGATTATCTGTGAAACAAGATAGTAATAGGCCACACTGAGTGGCATCACCTCCTTGCATGACAAACATAGGCCGCTGTTCCAGTCACCTAGTGTTGCTTAAAACCATCCCCAAACTTAAGTGGCTTCAAACAACCACCATCACTTATTTTGCTGAGTCTGTAACTTGGGCAGGGTTCAGTGGGGACAGCTCATTTTCACTCCATAAGGTATCAACTGGGTAGATTACTGGAAGCTGGAGAATTCACTTTCAAAATGGCTCACTTGCAAACAGCTGGAAAGTTGATGCCATCTATGGGCTCTTCTCCATGAGAGCCCCTTCTCAGCTTGGGTGGGCTTCCTCAAGGCATGGTAGCTCAGTTCCAAGAGCAAGTCTCCCAAGAGAACCAGGAGGAAGCTCAAGCACTTATTATAACCTCATCTCAAATTCAAGGGGAAGGAACTAGGCCTCACTTCTCAGTGGGAAGTGTCAAAGTCACACTGTAATAAAAACATGTTGGATGTGAGTTATTATTGTGGCCATTTTTGGAAAATACAATTGACCACAGATGCCCTGGAGGCAAAAGGAGGGACATTCAGTCAGTCTTAGGTAGCAGTGGGGTTTTGAGTCTTTCTGAAAACCAAAGTTGGAATCCTGGCCCCAACATCCACTTCTTCAATTCATTAACCCAATACTGAGCATCTGCTAATGTATCAGGCACAATACTGGACTCTGTGACTATACACTAAATAGTAAGACACAACTTCTGCCCTCAAGGAGCTTAGAGGATAGTGGGAGATTCATACAAGTTTGTGAAGCTCCTAACCAGTCATCTTGCTTCCACTTGTACAAAGCAGCCAACGGAAGTATTTTGTGTTTGTTTTTTACTGGCATATAATTGATGCTCTTGAACTGTGGAGTTGGAGAAGACTCTTGAGAGTCCCTTGGACTGCAAGGAGATCCAACCAGTCCATCCTAAAGGAAATCAGTCCTAAATATTCATTGGAAGGACTGATGTTGAAGCTGAAATGCCAATACTTTGGCCACCTCACATGAAGAGCTGACTCATTTGAAAAGACCCTGATGCGGGGAAAGATTGAAGGTGGGAGGAGAAGGGGACAGAGGATGAGATGGTTGGGTGGGCATGAGTTTGAATAAACTCCGGGAGTTGGTGATGGACAGGG